TAACATTAAATGAACTTAGTCATTTTAGAGGTCAAATATTTTCACATGTTATATTTTTGCATATGTCGTTGTGTGCATGCTATATTTGTAGGTAGCCTTATTATGTAATTGTGAAGGAAGCAGGCTACATGGACTTAGCAGTTGATGCCGTGTATTAGACGTCCTTGGACTTGGTAGATTGAAGATTGTGATAGTTTGACTTATACATCTACAGAGAGGAAGTTCCAGGACTTAGCAGATTATCCAGCGAGATATTTTGACTTTGATGATCTTGTGTCATTGAAGTTAGAATATACATCTACATTGAGGAGGATCCTGGTGATAGTCGTTCACAGAGCTGATAGTTTGACTTGGATTATTTCACATAATCAAAGTTGAACTATACTACAACACAGAGAGAAGGATCCGGGAGATAGTCATTTCCAGACTTGATAGTTTGACTTAGATTATTTCACATAATCAAAGTTGAATTATACTACAACACTTTGAGGAAGATCCAGGAGATAGTCGTTTACAGACTTGATATAGTTTGACTTGGATTATTTCACATAATCAAAGTTGAACTATACTACAACACAGAGAGAAGGATCCAGGAGATAACCATTTACAGAGTTGATAGTTTGACTTAGATTATTTCACATAATCAAAGTTGAATTATACTACAACACATTGAGGAGGATCCAGGACTTAGGAGTTTACACAACTGATAGTTTGACTTAGATTATTTCACATAATCAAAGTTGAATTATAATACAACACAGTGAAGAGGATCCAGGAGATAGCCGTTTACAGAGCCGATAGTTTAACTTAGATTATTTTACATAATCAAAGTTGAATTATACTACAACCCAGAGAGGAGGATCCAGGAGATAGCCATTTACCGAGCCGATAGTTGACTTGATGATTTCACATTATCAAAGCTGAATTATACTACAATACAGTGAAGAGGATCCAGGAGATTTACGTTTACGGAGCAATAGTTTGACTTAGATGATTTCACATCATCAAATTTGAATCATACTACACTACATAGAGGAGGATCCAGGAGATTACTATTTCAGGTTCAAGTTACAAGTACAATACAAGACGTACAAGTATTACAACATATATGAACTTTTAATATTGGAGATACAACAGTGGTATATAGTGATCATCTACTTTAGTTTATATGGACTCTGGATATTGTGTTCTTAGTGATTATTATTAGCTTATACGGACTCTAGATATTGCTTTATTAGTGATAAATATTAGCTTATATGGACTTTTGAGTTGTGAGTTTTGAGAGAGATAATAATATCGTAGCATTTTAACCTTCATACTTGACATTTAATGTACATCTTTATTTGGGCTTATAAACGCCACAATATACTGTTTTATATTTATATTTAATTGTATATGTCTGTTTAATTCTTTAGGGACAATCGCACATTTAACGTGTGCCGTGTAACTCACCAAGTAAACACCGTTTACTAAACAGTGGGCCTATTATAAGCCACGCTACCACGTATATCCACAAAAATAGGCCAAACTGTTACAATACGTTAAAATGGGGCCATTTTTCAAAATGGCCACCTTCTACCAAAAGTGTCATTAGACAGTGTGCCATGCTTTTAGTATTCACATACCAAATATAAACAAAATCGCTCCACTACTTTTCAAGTTATAGTAAAATACGTTAAAATGGCGGCCATTTATCAAAATGGCCACCTTCTACCAAAGTGTCATTAGACAGTGTGCCATGCTTATAGTATTCACATACCAAATATGAACAAAAGCGCTTCACTACTTTTCGAGTTATAGTAAAATACGTTAAAATGGCGGCCATTTTTCAAGAATTTTTTCAAAATGGCCGCCTTCTACCAAAAGTGTGCCATGCTTATAGTATTCACATACCAAATATGAACAAAATCGCTCCACTACTTTTCGAGTTATAGTAAAATACGTTAAAATGGCGGCCATTTTTCAAAATGGGGCCAACGGTATTTGAGTTATTGCCCGGACGGACGGACGGATAGACGGACGTACGGGATAATTACGAAAATATTGGAGGCAGGTTCGGAATATAAGGTATGAGGTTCCATATCCATCCGCCAAAAGGTATATAGTCCATTTAACAATTTGTAGTTTTGTTCTAAATAACGCCATAGTTGGCTTCTAGGGTACCTAGTATGCCACTAATTGGTATCAAAATAAAGGGGAGGAGTTCAACTTCCATTTGAATTACGAAAATAAGTGGAACTGATCAAAGTGATACACGTTTTTGATCTTACTTTCTTATAGTAACTTTAGAGACATTCACGTGATATCACATGTTTTTCTGTCTAAGGCATTAGTGATTGTATAGTTTAGTGTAGTATGAGTTTGACTTTGTACATAATTTTCTATTGTTACTATAAGCATTGTTTGTGACTGTTTTGGGCTCATAAAGAGCAAATATACAACTTTACTTTTATTTTGTACTTGAATGTTCATTGTTGTATTGTAGTGAGTTCCAGAGGGAACTTGTGTAGTGCAAACCCAGATTGCGTAATACTTTCTTTCCCCTTGCATTCCCTTGGAGTAACATCTCAGGCGACTGTAGCGAGCGGAGTCAACGCCGCTCCGTAAAATCCCGCAATAAAGTAACACGCGGGAGAGTCCACCTTCCCCGCATTTTCCCCGCATTCCTGACCCCGGGAAAAACGTTACAGTACATCAATGTGCAGGGATTTCCTCAAGTTTTTCTTTTTGATATTCGTGTACGGCATTGTAACAACATTTAAAAAATACAAAAACAGGACTGCATGTAAATAAGTGTATCTAGTGGGAACCCAAGGTGAAATTATGTTCTGCATACTGAAGCGATATAATTCTTGCGTCCAGTACATTTTCATTGCGTCCAGTATTTTTTCGAATTTCTGAACGTCATTTCTCTAATATCAATCACTCCGAAGCTAAAATTTGCTGACTGGATGGTGTGTTTTTGTTTCAGACACAAGAAATGGCATATATTGTCTATTAAATTGTAACTAAAAGAAATATAACTCGATTCGTGTATTTCCTAAAAAAATCAAATTATTTCCGTGCTTAACCCCACATCACAGAAAAACTAGATTGATGACTGTCATTTTACAAAAATGGATGTTCTTCAATATACTGGGAATCTGATCAGACTGTTGCTAAGTAATTAAACACTGTAAAACTCTCACAAACTACCAATTAAAAGTACACCTACCTCTCTCTCCATCAAAAATGGAGGTCTGCGTCAAGTAACGAAAATACTGGACGCGTTTCTGTCCCCTGAATAAAAGTAACAGAAGAAACAATCAAGAGCTTTTACATGTACTTCTTATATTATATATAAATCATTGCAGATACTATTTAGCATACACATCTGAACAAAGATCAAGAACAGTCACATATTCTGCCCAAGTCTGCTGTAGCGGATACACGGGATCGAGCTGCAATACACGTAAGACAGTCAGTCTGTCCGTCCGCCTGCCCGGATTTCTAGTTTAGTTTGCTCAATAATTTTCTAATTCATTGTGGGTACACTTATGGGTACGGATCCTTTCACGCAGAAGAAGCATGATTGACATTGTCGTTGCATGTGCCGGTTCATTTTGTCTGCGAATAAGCATGTAGCTGCTTTTGAGTCAAGCAATAGATTGAGTGAATATCTTGAAATTTCTTGTAAAAAACTCTGCTCATGCACTTTGACCGGCGATGACACCCCGGGATTTTCTATGGTTTATTTGTAAAATTATATCTATATCTAGCAATTTGCCATGGAAGGACAGCATGCAGCAATGGAGGGACGTGTATTAGACCAAACTACTGTGCATGTCGTACCGGATATTCGCCTCCAAGTTGCTCAGGTGAGTCATTGGGTGTGATGTCTTCTTCTGTCATTGTGATTGAGAGGGACCAACAGACAATTTTTGTTTAGAGAACACTTGTTAAATGTATATGTATCTTTATTGCCTCCATAGTAAATTGGAGAGTACATAATATGCAATAAAATTCAATTATGCGGCACTGTCCATTCCAGGGCTTCAACTATGCTGATTTTTAACTTGGATAAATGCGTCTGCGAATGAGTTTTTCCTATGATAAAGAAAGAATTATGTTTTCAAAGGCGTAATGACTACTTGTGCTTCTTGTGATATCAGCTTGTTGATACAGTTATTTCCCTCAAAGTCATATATACATTTTCATTGCTAGATATAAACGAGTGTTTAGTCCAAAATGGTGGATGCTCTCATATTTGTGTGAACACTGGTGGCTCCTATAGATGTTCTTGTAATATTGGATATCGCATATTTGGAAAAACTTGTGTAGGTGAGATGAAAATTGTCATTTTAGTCTACGTAACATTTTAGTTTATCGTGTTATTGCACGTCTACTTTCATAGACAATTCTCTGCCTTTTACTCTCTTGAAATATCATAGATTTAGATTTTTAATAATTCACATCAACATTTTGTACTACTTTTTTCTAACCTTAATACATCTGGTCAAGTACCTATGAATTGTATATTACAATTTTTAGCAAAAACGCTTTGAATTTCTCTTTACCATAAACATTTGCGTAAAATACACACTTCTATTAAAGATATAAATGAGTGTTCTACAAACAACGGTGATTGTAACCACAGGTGCACCAATACAGAAGGATCATATCGGTGTTCATGTGACCCTGGGTACGAGTTACTCTATGATGGTCATACCTGCGAAGGTAAAATTGAAACTCGATTTTGATATGTTCCGTTCGCCAAATGACTGAAAATAAACTAATTATGCTGAGATACATAACATGATAACAGCAGTGAATAGTGTCAACAAATACACGTACAGTGTAGTTCATTCTGTTTATATACTACCTCGACCAGATTTCTGTGTCACCTTCAAAATGATATTCTCTTTTTCTATTATTTATCTTCTATGTGTAAGTATGGATGTTATAATGATATTTTAATGTGATTTGTTTGATTCTTACTTCTCGTGATACCAGCATATGCGATGACAACAGCGACATTCAGTGTTACAACAGCTAATGATTTGACAACAGAACAAGAATATGTTACTCAAGAAAAGAAATATCAAGTGACAACTGAACAAGGCGTAATTACAATGGATTATGATGAGGAAAGCAGCAATACGAACAAAAACGAAGAACTGACGTTCGACGTCACAACAGCCGATGTTGCAATGGGACTGGAATATGAAGTTACAAAAGACCTGGAAAAACAAGGCGCAACCACGATGGACTATGCGGGCGCAACCACGATGGACTATGCAAGCGCAACCACGATGGACTATGCAACTAAAAGCAGCGATACAATCAAAAACGAAGATTCTACTTTCGACGTCACGCCAGACGATGTCGGATCAGGACTGGAATATGAAGTTACAAAAGACCTGGAAAAACAAGGCGCAACCACGATGGACTATGCGGGCGCAACCACAATGGACTATGCAACTAAAAGCAGCGATACAATCAAAAACGAAGATTCTACTTTCGACGTCACGACAGACGATGTCGGATCAGGACTGGAATATGAAGTTACAAAAAACCTGGAAAAACAAGGCGCAACCACGATGGACTATGAGGGCGCAACCACGATGGACTATGCAACTGAAAGCAGCGATACAAACAAAAACAAAGATTCGACGTTCGACGTCACGACAGACGATATCGGATCAGGACTGGAATATGAAGTTACAGTACAACCAGAATATGAAGAATATAATGGATACACGGAATACCAAGTGACAGCAGAAACAGGCGTCACCACGAAGAACTATATGTATGAATGGGGAAACAAAAAAACTAACAAGAATGGGGAATATTTTGGTAAGTATATAAGTATAATTGGATAAATTCAAATCATTTCCCGATGATGCTAGTGATCCACTTAGGTAAGAGTTGAGACTAGAGAGATGGTTGAAGTTGCTCATGAGTTTTGCAAAAGTAAAAAGAAAGTTTAAGTTAAACTATGATTGATCATTATTTCGCGAATAGCTTATTATTTCATTGCAGCATTAGCATTTATTACAAGTGATTTGACAAAAATTAAAAATTTCCCCCTGTTAAAGTACAACTCTTTTTACTAACTTAAATTGGTGGACACCATTACACGTTTGAAATAGTGAGAAGGGATATATTTAGATACAGACGAATGTACCACCGAGCGACCATGCAACATCAATGCTAACTGCTCTAATACCGAGGGATCTCACACCTGCACGTGTAAACCTGGTTACCATGGTGATGGGGAAACGTGTGCTGACATCGACGAATGCAGTGATGGCAGCTTCGATTGTGAAACTAATACAAAGTGTACAAATACTCAAGGGTCATACATTTGTCCTTGTTTGGAAGGATATAGTAAGGTATACTTCGCCAATTTAATTTTAACACGTATTTAATAATGTATTTATTTATTTACGTTTATGTGAAACGTGTTGTATGTTACAAGCATGGGTATTCAATCTATTGAAAGCCCATGGTTGTACTTAATAAGTATATCAATTTGCAGATAAACTCTGAATGTGTCAAACCAGCTGACAATTTTACATCTAACAACAGAGGTAAAGTTTATTCTATTTTACAGGTCCCACCTAGGACATTGGCCTTTTTACATTGCCTTTAGAAATGTAGAATTAGATCCTGTAGAGCGTTTGAAATTCTGCTACAATTGAAATATAATTTCGATATTGATTGCTTCTTTTTCTATTTTAGAGACATTCGGAACGTTTGATTGCAGACGTGAGAATACTGGATGTCAGAATGGAGGAACGTGTAACTGGGTAGCAGATGGTGGTTCGTGTATATGTCCCACTGGGATCTCGGGATATGCCTGTAACATTGATGAAGGTATGTCGAATACATGATAGATCTAATGCAGTTGGATAATGTTTGTGTAAAAATGTACAAATAGTTCAGAAGACAAGAGAATACCGGTAGTCAATTCAATAGAGAGGTTAAGCAAGACGACTTTTATGACGTGAACCGCAAACGTAAACCTGTAGGTTCCCGTTTACGTACTATGAACAAAAGTGCTTTAGGCTGAACACTTTAGACGCAACGTTAGCGCCATCCTCAAAATGATTTTTTCCTTTTTCTTAGCGGCCTTTCATTTTATTTTCTACTTTAAAAGTATATAAACTATTATTTTATTGACAAATTGATGAAAGTGTTTACCGAAGAAGATGTTTCGCAGCCTGAAGCCTTATTCATAAAGCCAACGTAAATATTTCCATTTACGTCCACGTAACTCAATTATACGTTGGACGTAAAAACATCTCTCCGTCGTATTCATAAACATATGCGGAAATTGGAGATCTACGTCTAACTTTCCGCAAGGACTTACGCAATGAAAATAATATACTACATACTCCCATATCATGTCCCAATTTTGTGATCACGTGCATGTACGTATTTGAATATGATTGCATCGTTCACGCACGCGTAATTTGACGCGTTCCTCATTGTCACGGTTGCTCCTTGATTATTTATACCCCTATATAAAAGCTTACCGTATTCCTTTCGACTTCATTTTCTCATTCATTGATTTACACAAAAGTACTATTGTTTTTGACGATACCTGAATTAATGGTGGAAGGGCACAGTTCCTCCGTGTTAGGGAACTTATCATGCATGGCCGTAGGGACCGGGGGTTCGATGGGTTCGGACGAACCCCCGGTCGGGATTTCTCCCAAAAAAATATTTGTGGAAAAATTCATTGCAATAACCAGAAACATATATTCAATTTATATGACGAGTAGGAAAAAATAGTAAAGGAAGAGGTGCGATTATTGGCAAATATTCCTATGGTCAAAATGAATCATTCTTATGTGTAACATGAAGAATAGAATGTCATATAATACTTTGGAAAATATCAAAGTGCTCGGGCACACATAAGCTGAGTTAGGGATCATTTCGTTTAATAAGGTAGTATTGACTTACATGGGGCTATGCACCATTGACTTAACATGAGGATATCAGCAGATCCCAACAGAGGCCATTGGTTTCCATTGATTATCACAGAAATACCAAAAATACACTATGACCTGAATCGATTGCAAACTTTATAATTAAACAATATGACACAAATGGTTCATTTCATCAAATGTGCAAATATGAAGTTTGCAATCGATTCAGGTCATACTTTAAATTTAAGGATTGTACATTTTTTCATCATTTTTTTCCCTACAAAATGGCTATAAAAAATGCTCCAAAAACATATTTTTAAATTTACTCTTATCAAATATCATAAAACCTTGCAAATCAAAGATTATAATATTATATTTCATTATTTAGTATCATATTTGGATATACTAAGATGTAGGGATGCCTAAGTTGCAAATGGATTTTGATAGACACAAAAATACTTCCTGGTTTGAAATATACACCTCTACACAGGGGGGGGGGAGATTTCCCAAAGATGACCTTTCATATTGGCACGTTCGAAAACAAATTTTATAGACAGGCCTCATTTGCCATTGAACTGAATCTCCCAATGTTCGCGTTAGTTTTATGAGTATTCTCTACAAGTTTGGATCGAGTAACTTCAATAGTATTACCGTAGGTTTAAAATGATGATATTGAATTGATGTTAACGCCACAGTTCCACGATTTCAAATTTTAGGTTCACGTGATCGCATCCTGCAATTTGATTGGAGATGATGCGGGAGATGACGTAATGGGGAATCCCCGAGTACGATAGAATATGAAAGAATTATGGGAGCTACTCACTTCTTCTGACCTCTACACTTCATGATTAAATGATGAGCCTCATAAGTGGCCAATACATCAATACAGTGCTAAATATAGGTCAGCAAGATACTAGTGTGTATATAAATGTAATAATAAAAGCAGTATACTCATTTTGAAAAATCAGATGAATTAATTTTTTTCATGGGGAGATCACAATGGCAAGCGCATTACTTCCTTTACACTTCTCTTCAAAAGATTGGCAACTTCAGGCACGGGGTGGGATTGTCTAATTTTGGGAAGACCCCGGAGCATCATGACATTATGCAAAGAAAAAAATATCAATAATTTCGCACAACTTATTCTCCAACTTAAAAGCTGCTCCATAGTGAAATAAACCAACTGTCTAATACTGATGAAAACACTTTTTTCAAATCTGTGCCCCTTCGTTTTGTTTTATTTCAAACAAGAAATTCTTGCTAAGTCCCCGGGGCTGATAAGTCCTCAAAAGCAAATATTAAATAATAGAAACATTTTGAAATGCGTTATTATTAAAAGCATATGTATCATTTATAAACACAAGCATTTGATCGAATGGGTATTTATTATCCATCACTTTTTAAGGAAAAATAAATCCATTGCGAAAAAATCAGTTTTGTTTTTGCAGATGCACGTTTATCTCGGAGATCATTTTAAGATTAAATTGTTGCTGTTTCAGTGTATTTAGTGTTTACTCTATTTTCAAGAATATCAAACTTTAGTGGATCGTGTTAATGTCATTAATTATATATGTTTAACAAATAAATGGATTAAGGGAGGCAATTAGGTGGGTATGTCTCTGGTACTAAATACAAGTGTAGGCTAAAAAGGTGCACCCATTACTTGCAGTGGAAAGTTCTGTCCAATAAAAAAGCCAGTTGCAGTCATCTTTTGCTGAGGAAAGCAAAGGCATATATAAGGAGGATTATATCAAATAAGACTAGATTTATTAAGGACTTCGAATGAGTATTTTATATCCACAGTTAAGGGGAAAAGTTCATCATAAAAAATATTAGAAAAATCACGTAATGTACCAATATGCATTGCTTCCTGATATACTATTTGTCATCTGTCACTTCTATCGTCAGTACCAATTGAGAGTATTCGTGCAGCCATTACGACTTTTTTTGTGCGCCATGTAAATAAGTATTATATCTTAAAAAATATTTGCTTTTGAATATACTAGTATTCAGAAACTAACTGTAAGTTCATGAGGTCATTATGAACTCCTCTATTACAAAATGAAATGGCAGATAAAATTCTTTTGATTTGGATTCTTCTCAAAAATCATCTAAAAGTGTCACTGGGTATCTTTGAATGATGAATTGGGAATGACGATTTTTCAATGGTAGCTCGTTAAAAATATGTTCCTTAGAGATATGTTATAATTTGCCCTTAACAAAAGTTGTCTCAATGTATGCTAACCCTTGATTTGGATTTCATTGAACAATTAAACAATTGTTATATAAAATGTATGATTTTGCTACCAGATTTCAATATCTTTCAGTAAAAGATTCACCAAAAACTATTTCAATATAGAAAATCAAATTGTTGCCAAACTTTTGGAGGGGTGTAAATTGTATGTATGACAAATAGAAAAAATTCTTTTATGTGAGGTACACCGATGAAGGGGGAGATTTGTGGATACATAAAAAATCGAACCCCTGGTCACCAATTGCTGGCTACTCCAAAATTAAATGCCTCGGTAATCTAAACCTCGTAAGAAGCTCCCTATCCTTCAAAGATTTCGAGGGAATTGCTACGATCCCTAAGCAATCGCTCATCAGATTTTACATTTGAAATGGTAACCTCAATATTTAAGTTACATTTGATTAGATTGGACACAAATGATCTCGATATATACACAGATCAATGTGTCAAACATATTCATGCATTCGACCAATACCATATTTATCTCGATCGAAGTTGATAAAGTACTAAAAATCCTTTACGGAACGACCTACCTAGACTTTGGTTTTTCACGTCATGTTTAGATGTACCAGTAAACCGGGAAATAAGTAGAACAATATGACGTCACATCTTGAGAAAAACCTGCGTGTGATTTGGTTTTCTGAATAAAAAGTCATTTTCTCCTTCCCTACCCCATTGGAGCGCCATCTGGCGTTTGGGAAGTGAATCGGGACTAAATATTTATAGGGTAGGTCCTAATTTATCTGAAAACATGTCAGAGTTCAGCGGGAAATCTCATTTTAAGCTGGCGGCGGAGTGATTTTGACCTTGGTGATTTTACCAGATTTCTCTGAGAAATCTGACGATAGAGGGGGTTAGTGTCTTCAAGTTTATTTATTTCAAAAATTCGGTGGACAACCCATGGTAAGATTGTTATAGCAGGCTAGGCGAGTCTCTCCCGAACACTGTGGTATGTTGCACTAGGCTTGGATACTAATCGTTAATAAGATACAGGGTAAAATGTTATAATGGCCACCTATGGGAAACTCTACTGTGGTCTTCAACCGTTGTAAAAATTAGTGTTGCTTAACCTCTCTAATGTCTCACTTTTGTTACGTAAACGGAACTTCAAAAACGGTAAAGATCTGCTTTTCTAACCCATTCCGTTTATTGATCAATAGTGTATTAACTCGACGATTCCAGTCCTCTGAACTTACTCACTTCGAGAGCCATGTTAGATTTTGAAACTTATGGCTCTCAAACGGAGAAGTGAACAGCTGATCAATCGTGACCTTTGAAATCGAATTAAGTCGATCCGCGGCTTACTTTTGGTCTCTAACTGTGTCTTACATCAGTATCATCAATCCGTGTAAGTATTGGAGCGCTGGAGTACTTCTTTTTCGATCAAGACTTGTAAATTGTTCATCGAGTTAAAGTTTTACAGACCTATTTCCAATATGGCGGTTTGCTAGGTGCGAGATACGCAACGAACGAAATGAATTTTGAAAATTAGTTAGGTTCGGACAACCTCCGGAGATTTACGAAAATCTCCGAGCAGAAACCGCCATATTGGAATTTGGCAGTAAAACGATTCACTCGACTAACAATTACAAGTCTTGATCGAAAAAGAAGTACTCCAGCGCTCCAATACTTACACGGATGATGATACTGATGTAAGACACAGTTAGAGACCAAAAGTAAGCCGCGGATCGACTTAATTCGATTTCAAAGGTCACGATCATTGAGCTGTCCAAATGCTCCGTGGGAAAGCTATTATATCAAAATCCAAATAGCTTTCGCAGGAAGTAACTCTGAACTATTTGTTCACAAACACATTTCCTAAACATGTGACGCTGACGCACGTTTGTGATTAAAATGTCGTGGTGATTTTGCCTACAACGCGTAAAATAAGGAAAGAAAAATCTAACCTTCGGGGTTCCGACATTTTGTTACGAAAACGTTCCGTTTCTGTAACCAGCGTAATCGAGTAGAGCACCAGTGAAATGAATTGTTTTCGTTTCGGCAATCTTAATTATACAATGCCACCTACATGAACAGATGTATATCTATTTTGATCGTATTTTATAACCAATATGACAAGAGGACAACTGAAGCCCGGGGATGAAGTAATAAAATGCACTAAATTAAAGTCTCTAGTCTCTAGGGGATTTTTGAACATTTTATAAGGAGGACGGACCTTGAAGTACTTGACACATTGAGCAAGAAATAAAAGGCCATGATATACCCAACTTATACCATTGTCTCCAAAGCAGAAGCCCCTATTCTTGTCCAAGTCACCTCATCTCTCTAACAAGTAATAATTAGTCCAGCTTAACTTCATCTCTTGCACTCTCTTTCTTCCATGGACAAACTGAGTGCATAATATACACAAATTGCATTAACGTGGTTGCGTTATCATATTCATATATGCCATGGTCGAGTCCTTGCATTGAATCTTCGTCCATTTTGTGAATGTAGAAATATATTTTCCAGATAAGGTGGCCAGCCCTGAAGATTGCAGTTCTAGATGTGTAGAGGCAAATACACTACAATGTGTCGCGACTGATCAAGGAACTGCTGAATGCATTTGCAAATATCCTTTCACAGGAGATGATTGCTCAAAACGACGAGGTAAATAGTAAAAGCTAGTGTCGAGCCCACTAGTTCATTAAAACTTTATATCAAGATAAAAAAGTTTTTGGGTCAACCAATAATACATAGTGTAACATACACTGCAATTATTTTGTAAACCGAAATGTACGACTGTTCATATTCATTTCAACACATGTTTTATATTTACAGTGGATGTTACCTGTTCTCCGACAGCCATGACGGTTACAATAATTCCATATTCTGGGACATCACCTTTAACCATGTTTACTGGTCGGATATTCATTCCAAACCATCTCAACGCCCCTTGTGAGTTCACTGAACAAACAGGGGCATTTGTCAGCAGCGAAATTGGTCATTCGGACTGTGGAATAGTCGCCAAAACTGATACACCCTCGGTATGAAGTTGCTTTGCGGAGTGAAGTTTGCTTGAAAACATTTTATGTCTTAATATTTCCTCGTAACAGATCGATTTGAGATTTCATACGATTAGTTTTGTCGTATATTTGAATTTATTTTATCGAAAAACTTTAAAGTGTTGGAACAATGATCATGATATTACTTAGTCCAAACTACTATTATTTTACAAGAAACTTATTTCGGTCGGATTAAATCTATTGAGCACCTATATAGATATTACTAATGCCCTGGTCACATTTGCTCCGATCCATCGACCGGCGCCCGCCCGCCCGATTGAGTGTTTTGTTCAATATTGCATTCAATTTTGAACAAAATACTCAATCGGTCGGGCGCCGTAGTGAAAATCGGTGCAAATGTGACCAGGGCATTAGTTTACTAAATAATGGCCCATAGCCAGTTTATGCAAAGGGGAGCTTTTGACAGTTTTGGCTAAAAAATCATGTGAAAGGTGCTCAGAAGGGTAAAAAACTGTATGATTTTGAAAGAATTTCTGGCCAGGAGGAGCTTCCGCTCTCCCAACTCCCCCTCCCTCACGGCTACAGGCTTATCTGTATGTATTATATATTGATGCATGCATGTCTGGTTGATAGATTATAGACTTAAACTTTATCCTATCAATTTCTAGATTGGCATGGTTACTTATGAAGTGAGAATTGTGATTCAGTATGACCCATATGTCATCACACTCCTTGATGAGATAGTTACTGCCCGGTGCTCAGCTATGGCACATGGTGAACTAAGTGTATCCTGGGGTGCAGTAGATTCTATAGAAGAGTAAGTCAGAAAAAGAACATGATTTAAGACCTTATATACTACTTTAATCAAATGAAGTAACCAGTAACGTTTTTTTTCTTAATAATACAATAGGCTAAATGAAAAGGGGTTATAGCTTGCTCATATTCAAAGATTTCTCTCTGTGAAGACAAATCCGGGGTTAAGGTAGGACTGACAATATGAAAGTCTTAATTCTTTCAACTTTTAAGAGATAAGCTCAAAGACGGAGGGACTGTAATTGGAGAAATCTCCCCGATTGTAATAAAAGTCACAGATACTGAGGGGAAGGATATAGGAGACAACGTGCACATTGGGGATCCATTGCAATTGAAGTTCATCCAAATTGAAGGTACTCTATCTTTACTGAGTTCAAATATTTGTACAAATTCAGTGTGTATGATTTCAAATCCAAATGATATTGACGTTCTTGGTGCAATTATAGGTGGTGCCCCATACACAGTAGAGTCGTGCGTTGCAAGTGACACAAAGGAAAATCCTGAAAGCGAACTTGTCATTATTCAGGACAGGTAACAAGTTCGAATAATTTCTGTTTCCATAACACTTGATTCCATTAACACTTGATTTAAGTCAACTGTAGAACTAGAATATGCCATTGTCCACAGGTGGTTTATAACAGATCCATCACCTTTACCTGATAGCATTCTCTCTTACTACCGATCATGTTGTCTCAATTTGATTTGTTTGCATATACTACTATTTTGTACTTCCTTGATTTTTATTCTTTAAAACAATATATTTTATTTAAGATGCATAAGCCGGAGATCATATACAATTTTTGACATGGAAAACCCGGTTGAAATCTTGGATGAAACGAAAGTATTACATCTAAAAGCATTTAAATTTCCGAGTGGTTCCACTGTGTTTCTCAAGTGCACCGTGCGACTATGCAATGAAAAGGATACAACGGCTTGCGACCTAAAGGTGACACGACCATATTCCAAGATATTTTAATTGAACAATGCAGTTGTTTCCGTATTAATTTATGAACAGTTTTATTTTTTTTAATTGTACTAGTTCGCATCAAAGATTTAGAAGAGGGCGGGCTACATGCCTAGACGTACTTCCGTTTTAACACGTATATTTTTACAATGTTTTAGACTGATTGCGATGGAGAGATAACTCAAGGATTGAGAAAACGTTCTGTTTCTGACGATGAGATACTTTATACTAAGAAGTGGATTGTGAATGTGGATGGATCCAGTTCTAATGGTAAGGGGTCTCATATCGTTGTTATTGAAAATTGTTCTATGGATTATAAGTTAATGTTTTTATTTGATTGCTAAATAGTAGTTTGGGAATTCCCTTTCCTGTCAATCATCCAAATATACAGCAATCAGCTACTCTGGGAATTCCATAAACATGCCTGGGACCCTGTTGCCCACAACATGACATCTCATGGAATCTAAGTTCGAGGTTTCAGGGAGTCACTGGCACATGTGACCATGGACTTCAAGTTAGTCATGGGACTGATGTGACACTTGGTTCTTTTACAAATTGGTGTACGTTCGCAGCCTAACCAACGCTATTGATTGAAACCATCGTACATTATGTCTGGTTTAAAGTGAATCATACGTTTAATTTTGTCTGCTGGTGTAGTTTTGTTAGTTTGAACGAGTTTAAGTTTAATATAGTTTATTTCTGTGTCACAAACAATCCATATAAAATTCATGTAAAACATTTTTTAAAAGATTGCTTCCAGTTAATGCCGCTAATTATATAGACATCAATAATTAGTACACAATTTCCAAAGTCAAATGCATCTAGTAAAACAATGAACTAATATCGACTTTGTTGTATCTTTCCAGCGACGTCCCATGGTGCTGTCAATGCAATATCTACACTTATGGTTGGGGTTGCGATTCTGACATTATTATGGCAATGATTTCAACATTTAAGATATCTCAGAATGTGAGAACAATGTGACATTTATGAATTATGACTCTTCCCAAAGTATTATTTCACATATACTTATCATAACAAATTCACTCCGTAGAATTCTCCGTTGTATTTTTGATCATTCATACTGTCATTGTTTTAAAAAAAATTAATTCTAATGATGGATGCTGGAATTATTTCACGAAACCACTTACCGATATATTTATATCTACTTTCATATGTATAAGACCCTGATGACTTCCTCGGTATGCCCTACATTGATTGAAGAAAACGATCATGGTACCAACTGGGGGATGTCGGAGCCGGGTATCCTAAGGTGGACCCATTTTTCGGGGCCTCGTCAAATATCATTTTAGAGTCCCTTAGAATAAAACCCATATTCAATCCCTCCCAGTAAATGACCTCTACATTCCCAATTCTATTGTTCAAACCTAAAATTGATATGATCTTGGTTGAAGCTCTGGACATATCGTGACGTATCGCATCCAAACATTTTTAGTTATTAGTTAGTAAAGTTAGTAAAGTCAGCCAGAGTAAAATGAACCCTCAAAATAAAACAAAAACAAAACAATGACAATTTGATCAAAATTACACCGACATCTATCAAGTGTTTTTGATAAGATAAGTATACTTAGAACAAGTCACAACACTTCAGCAAGAGTCAGAATAGATTGGTATCCCAGAACACATTTGTATACATATTTATCCAGGAGATGTACACTACCATCCAATAGTTTGGCAATCCTCCCAAATTTAACTATTGTTAATGTTTCAGTTTGTATTGACGAAACATAAAAAGAAAAAATACTTAAATTTAGATTTTTCGCTAACTTTGTACTAAACATATTACACTTATCGAGAATTTTTCATTAATTTAGCATTTAAGTATTTACTGTACGGTGTAAACCTCTAAATAACCCGCTTGTTCATAAAATGGTATAGTTAACTAGTCACCAGTGTGTTTAATTCCCATAAACTTAAAAAACAAGTTTAAATATGTTATACATCTTAGTTCTAAATACAAATCAAAATATAACACCATATGCAATGTAGGAACCAGAGGGGTTTGTTAAAGTCCTCTACAAAATAACGTCTCTCTAAAATATCAATTTTTAAGAAAAAATTCTCAGTCATAAGTGAAGCAATTTGTAAAGACTTCAATTCTTTCAGGATTACTAGCTCCACTCCCAAGCTATTTACATAAATTTTACTATCACCTTCCTTTGCCTACTTAAAAGTTGTATAAAAAATTGTATTAAACAGCTCATAATTTTGTCCCCTGGGGTACCCACATTTTGCTAATAGTCGAGTTTCATAAGAGCTATTTGCATGAACCTTAACTTAGTAAGAACCAATGAAGCACTATCACTAGAACACTAGAAGCACTATCACTAGAAGCACTAGAACCTCCATAGATTTAACATAGCGTGGGACACTCGATGAGGAACAGTGGGCCTGGGATTTTGCCCCATCGGTGTATGCTGGTCTTCAATTTACGCTTGTATGTTGATTGAACCCCTGTACGTCTTCACATGTAACTGACAATGTCCCCTTTTCAAATTCCAATGGTGTAGGCTATTTAAACGTTTTGGGAAATTGCGTCATTTTTTAACCTTGACGAACTTGATTTACTTTATCATTTTATAGCAATAGTTTGATTAGGGACATTTGTTTGTTGGCAAGCGCAGATTGTATCCACTATACATAAATGATATAACAGCGTTAGACATGACGTTTCTTACATAATTATACGAATATTATATGTAACATTTTCAAATAAAATGTGATTGTCTAAATAACACGTACATATATGACAGCAAATTGATTCTGAAATCGAGCCAATTTTATGTTTGTAATAAAGGACTAGAAATATAAGTAACTAACATTTTATTATTTGTCTGTAGTTTTGTCATAATATATATTTTACGAATGGATAAACTATCCATGAATTATTGCATATAGCAAAGAAATATTTGTACATTTGCACTATAAGAATAAATAAATCAAGGAACATAAACTGCACATCTCAGGTCACGTGATCGTAATGAATGAAAAAATTAAAATATACAACATAAAAGGTACGGATCAAATATCTAATCACTTAGTCCTCAGCAGTTACATGTACCTATGTGCAAACCCGGTGTGCAAATAATATCCGAATCACTTTTTGTGAGTTAATCAAACCTAAAATATGAGCAAATGACAACATAACTGTAAGGAAATTACATCAATGTAAAGCGTTTGTTTATTTTGGGTTGTTTGTTAGCCGTGTGGCATCTTGTATTTTGATGATTCTGTGATATGTTATTTTCAAAAATACAATGGCTCAAGTTCCTTCAATTATAAGAGGCCACGGGTTAACTGTACATGTTACAAGTAATTGCCTGAAATATGCAATGTAAAGTGAAAAGAAAAATTAGATTTGCAGGATGGGCCAAAAATGTTACTGATTTTGAAATGTAATAACTCATTTATTATTGACGTATTGGTCTGCAACTTTCTGAGATGGCTAAGAATCGATGCAAGTTTTGTTGCATATTTGTGGTTTTATGTATGCCTCTGTATTTTTAGATGCCTGTCAATCTCAGAAAGTTTTAGATCAATCATGCCAATAATGAATGAGTTATTACAAGTCCGCTTACTTAAACGAAAAAAATCCCTAGTATCAGGCCTCAAATCTACTCAAAATCTACTAACACAATCCCAAAACGCCGTGGGCGTCCAAAGAAGACTGAAGACGAATCATTAGTATCACTTAGTGAGACAACAGTTCGGTCAATGCTCACCTCATACAAAAAAAACACTTAATCTTTGCCGAGACTCCATAGAGGAACTGAAATGTATGGTTGTAACTATCCAGAACAATAATGCGGATCTTGTTAAGCGACTTGAAGCTAAAACGGCCGACTGTACTGATCTCACAAAGGAGAATGCTTATTTACGCTCCCTCAAAACCCAAATCGCAACCCAGTCCACTACACCAGAGAAGTCACTCCTGATTGGTTCGTCCATTATACGCGACGTTGATGATGAAAGACTTAATAAAACTGACATTAAAAGCGTCGGTGGTGCAGACATCGACACAATACACACTGACACAAAGCCATTGCAACAATGTCTACCACATCAAGATACAAATCAATTACTCTCCAGGTAGGGAGAATTGACTGTAGTAAACGTGACAATGTCCAAGCAATTCAAGATGACTATCGCCTTCTCGTAAAATGAGCCAAACAGAGATGTGACCATGTCATTGTCTCAACCATTAACCCCCCCCCCCCGAACTGACAACATCGATGCCCAAGCTAGGATTGACCTTGTCAACTCAGCCCTGATGAGTATATGCCTAGATGAGGATTGCGAGTTTATAAACAATTACATTGACTTTAAGCTCAGGGACGGCACAATAATGAAAACTACCTGTTTCAAGACAAATTTCACCTCTCAGATGCTGGCACCAATCGCCAAGTTCAACACGGTAGCCAAGCCTAGACAGAAACGCAACAGACGTAACAGGCAACGCCAACACAATCCTCCAAACGCAAATACCAGAAATGATTATGCCAATGTGACCTCCCAAAGGGACACTATGCCTAATGTAACCATTTTACCAGCACAACAGTCTAATGCCAACTGTGTCCCCTCAAACATTAACAACAATAATGACCGCTTTAATAATACACAGCATAACAACCAACGCCAGGCCAATAGTGCTCCTATACAAACGGGTTCTTTTAACTTTTAGATCAATCAAAATATATAACTTTTTTTCATATGTTTACCGTCTTGGTAGATACAAAATAACAGGTACCAAACTCATTGGATTATGAGCATAGTCAAATAGAAGTGATGATATTATCAACAATGAAAATTATGGTGATCCGAGTGAAAGCATGAATTCAATGTTTTAAAGAACTTTGCGGGACACAGACGTTGACGTATAGTGCTGCGGGAATTATATCATATTAACAGGAATTTTTGTGATATACTTCATGTTATTATATGATCATCCGAAAGCTTACTCACTACCTCATCGGGTTTTACTCACGGTATAATCGGAATACTCAGGCGGTAGCATCGGGTCCTATAGAATCGTACTCGTGGTATAATCGGGTCTTTCATTTTCAACTTTCACCGGTGATTTCAATGATATGCAACGTATGGCAGTAAAACAAATGTGATATATTTGCACCTATTGTATCTTTGAAACAAATGGAGTAAATGCAGCCATGGTTCTTACTTATTTAAGATGTAAAACATCATTCTATTATTTAGAAGTTGAATTTAGCGATTTGATAGTAAATATTGCATAAAGTACTCATTATTCTGCAAGCATGAGTGCCTGGAACAACAACTATATCTGTTACAAATAATTCTGTGTTTTATCTATTTCTCATATTGAGAAATTCAATATATAAACAGGAGTTTATTAACTTATTCCCTCCATTTTCAGACATCTTCGGGTCTTTGCTCGGCGGTAGGTATATACGCGGGTAGACTTCCCCTCGTGAAATACATGGGCGAAGCTGACTCAGGTAAAATATCTCATGTACAAAAGTTTTCCTACTAAAAGTGTGAGAATTGTTTTCCAGAATAATTCATTAGACTTAGTTTTGGTTTGCCCGTTTTAGTCCTACTGAGGCCTCTAACCCTCTTCATATTGATCTTAAATGTTAAAGAGTAGGTCTAATACCGGTAATTCTGTCCGACTTGGATATTCTGCGTGTTATATCTTAGACCAGTCGCCCTAGTAAGTAGACTCCAACGCCTAAATTTTGTCCAAGCCAAAAGTCAAAAAAGGCTTTCCTGAATTCATCACGACTTATCGAGCCATCATGATTTGAATCAATTGATTCGAACGCGTTCTTTACGTGTTTGTCTAGACCAAAGATCCCAAGGAATTCCTTGTATTCGAGCTCGGATAATCCTGCGTCTTCGTTCATGTTAATAAGCTTGAAGAAGACTTCGACCAAATATTCAAGAACCTTTTTAAAAACCTGCACATTTTCTGGTATCAGATTCATTGATGTATTTGTGACAAATTCGTGAAAATAAACTTTTCTCGAATCTCCAGTGTCGACTCCACATGTTGCCATCTCCCCCCAGAATATAGTCAGAAGGATGTGATTGAATGCTTCTTGCACCGTTGGAGACAATCTATAGACTCGTTTGATGTGTTCAAAACGTCGAACAAAATCTGACTTCTGGATATAGCCACTGCCTCTTTTATCCAATGAATCAAAGTATGTCTTCATTTTTCTGCGCCATAACATTGACGTTTTCGGGGCATTGGTGTTCATTATCTCAACATTGTTCTCAGTGCTCATCGTTTTATGTAGAACTGCAATAATGACACATTATTTAATAATAATAGTAATATGCAATTTATGTTTAACACTATACTTGTCTTTATTTCTCTACCTAGAATGAAGAATAAGATCTTTACCATCGACTGTATCATCTGTATCATCTACTTCTCTGTGTCATCTACTTGTTTGTTCCATCTAATTCCTTTGCCCTTACCCAGCTTTTGCCAAGGGGGAAGAGAGATTTTAAGTTAAGGCTAAAAAGTCATGCGAAAAGTGGTCAGAATGGGGAAAAATTACATTTCATTTAGATAAACATGAACATGCTCTGCTATTCCCTGCAAGTAGAACTAGTTAAACAAGCTCAAAGACAAGTGGTCGAGGTCTGTTTCAGTAGTCGTTTGTGCATCATCAGTAGTCCGTGCGGGGGAGCATATGCACTCTCCCATTATATACATGTATGAGGACTTATGACACAGCCCTCGTATACATTGTAGAGTCGTGATATGCATAAAACTACTTATGTTAGTAATTTTGCAACATGCTTTAAAATTGATCGATACAATTTTTTGAGAAAAACTGATGATATTGATTTAACGTAAATTCCGAAAACATAATTTTTAATTTTGTATTGGCCCATAACGTATTTATACATTATGTACGCAATCATATTTGTTGTCATTTTTACGCCAATATAAATAAAATATTGAAATAAGGTTACTGCTGTTATATGCTCGAGAAATATCCTCTAAAAATGTTGTGCCCTTGTGATTGAGGTTTGCTGTTTTAGACTCACATTTCGTCTTTTCAGGTAATTACATCCACAAAGTCAACACTGGATTTTGTGACCGATAGTTGATTTAAAAACGAAGTGCCTCTTATGAATGATATTAGAAATAATTTCCCCATCGAGGATCAACAACAATGCCTTTTAACTGTAATGACCATCTTTGAAGCTCTAGCTTGCTTATTATTGTAAGTTATTAATGCAATTAAACTAAAGAGTGCTGCATGTGATGATGTTAGCTCAAAGAATTATTTTGCTCAGTTTTCCTGATCAAAATATTGAAAGTAACTAACCTGTGCAGACGCCGATAACATCCAACAGTAAATATAAAAATGAATTGACACGACTGACTGCGTGGCTTAAGGAAAACTATGTCCCTTGTTATCATGCACATTGCCAAACATGCAACGCTATCGCTGTTTGCAAAGGTCCATGTGCAGTAGATGGTCATATCTTTCATTCGGAAATGAAAAAGGTCCATGTGCAGTATGGCGAGTGATTTTAGACGGTCATATCTTTCATCATAATAAATTTATGGGCATAAATACAGTGTTTTTTATTAAAATAATAGGTTTTCTTTTAAGTGACGTCCCCATGATGATAAAAATATAAATCGAACAATTCGAAAAATTATAAATAGGGACCCCACGTCAACAATTTTTTCAAAATGTTGAACTTATTTGCTCAGAAGAGGATCTTCTTTTTCTGATTTTTATTGCATGGAAATTATTTAACAAGGGGACTAAAACATCTTCAAAATTAGAATGGTATTGAAAGTCTACTTTTGAAGTTATCAATTTTCGATGACCAAAATCATGCTGAAAACAATGGATAGCATGAGTTTTCCCTATGGGAAAATAACGTGGGAAATGTGGTTTTTAACTTTATCGCTTTTCAATACCCATTCCCTTTTCAGAAGTTATTAATATAGTGTAGAAGAAACTTTTGATATATTTAAATTGAAAAAAAAAATCCTCTTTTTAGAAAATAAGCCTTACATTTTTAAAAACGTGACAAAGTGGGGTCCTAATCCATATTTTTTCAGAGAGTTGGATTGATATTTTACTATCATGGGGACTTCACTTGAAAGAAAACATATTGTTTTAATAAAAACCACTGTATTTATACCCAGAAAGTACTCATGGTGAAAGATATGACTATCTAAAATCAGTTGCCATACTGCACATGGACCTTTATGCACTCCCCTCCACACAGTGCTCCATAAGTTTGGCAACAAAATACCGCCTGCTGGATCACTTATCATATGACTATCTAAAATCACTTGCCATACTGCACATGGACCTTTGTCATTTCCGAACTATTGTAATTCAAAATCAAGATAAAGAACAATGACAGGCTTTGCTATGTTATCCAATGGGAACTTCCTGTTGCGAAACTTATGGAGGGGCTGTATGTAGAATACTATGTAAAAAATGATGCGTGCAAGTATCACAGGTGAAGTAGGCACTGAAACGTTGAAGGCATTATTGAATTTTAGTTTTTTAATCCAATGGTAAGCTTATTTAAAACATGATAAAAACTTATTTTCAACATAGATAGGCTAACAATATTAGCATATTGTATTTATCAAATTATGTAGGCCTACGGGAAAAACAATTTAACAATTCATATAAAAATATTTTTCCACCTGAATGACATCACAGGGTATCATTGTGACATCAAACAATTAATCCAATAGAGTAGATCAAATAATACATTCTGTTAAAATCTAAACTTTTGTTTCTAAATTGGCGGGAAAATCAAATATTCGAATATTCTATGATTACCAACTTTTTACATTTTCCCAAAAATGCCTTAAATACTTTTCAAATGGTGAAAAGTAATATTTGAATGATTAAACTGTATTTACAAACATTACACAAGGCTTTTAATCTTGATTACCGCTGCGTGATTTCAGTCTACTACTAAGGTTTTGGTCACTTGCTCTTTATTTTGTTCACAAATATTAACTCAATAATTTTATTGATTCGTAGCAGATTGAATGGAAGAAATTAGCATTGGATATGTGTCTAGTCAATACTGAATTTGAGAGCTTTATCAGCTAACAAAGACCGTTAAAGGTGCAACAATTAGTGCAGAGGGGCCATTCAATGATCATCGACCAGTGTCAAAATATATTTAAGTTTGGATATTTCGTCAAGACTAACATATTTTTATTATCTACAAAGAAACCTCCTGGATGAACATTATTTCAGCTGATATTTCTCTTGAAACGTGGTGGATCTTAAAAATCTATAAGTGGGACTCCCTTTATAGAAGCTTTGAACTGAATGTACACTTCCCAATGCTGAAATTGATAGATTATCTGTACATCTTAAGAAAATAGGTATTTCAAAGAAGAGCAAGCCAAATGTTGACCTGATACTAAGTAGCTCAGAAAAATGAAAAATTTTCGAATTTTCTCTCTACAGGCCTGAAGTTGTTGCCCCTTTAAGTAGAATTTAATTATTCGAGGTTCCGACATAGTGTTACTCGTTTCGGTAACTAGTTTGAAGAGTGCAGTAAGCTTACCAATGGATCGTGTACCATAACTGTGTTGAAGCTTCATGACATTCTTACTAATTATAGCCCAAAAAATAAGGGTAGTCACCCTTTCCAAATTATTAAAGATCTAATAGCAAAGGTTTTGCAAAAATAAATCAATGCAGTGTAAAACAAATGTATGTATAATGAAGAAATAAATATTTAATGAAAAAAATAGATATGTGTTTGTAATATTGGTATTAACTTAAGATTAAAAAGTGTCACTATCTCTTTCATTTTTCAACAAATATAGGCTCACGTGACATATGACGCGGGGCAGTCAATTTTGATCTATCGTAGACCATATCAGTATCAAACTGCCGATATTTCAACCTCGTCTTGCGAGGCCATTTTTATTTGAAACATCTTGAATTTGGTGTCCAAAAAATAAAGCTGGTCACGCCCACTTTCAGAGTTATCAATGAATCATTTACTACGACTACTATATTCATTTAGGAGGCGTGTAAAGTTAACCAATCAGAAAGACAATTGCTCCATATATGACAGTTCATTAACATATTCAGTGTTTACTATTGTTTTTCGCGTCATGACAACACGAGTAGTAACCAATCAAAATGCCGTATTTTATCACGTGAGTTCAGAGTGACATGCACGACATGTAAGTTTAGTCTGAGCTGATCGCGATGTTGAACAATTTCTTCTCGGAATTTGTCCAGAGAAATCAGCGATTCTAAATTAAGGTAGGATCTCCCATTTCTTCCTGTACAAGTTTTAACTTATCTCTATCGAATCCTAAAGTTTTGGATGAAGATATGAAGCATACGTTTAAAAACGAAGCGATTAATTTGACGATCTGATTTTGCAATTTGCAATGGCCAATTTACTGCAAGTCTGCGTGTATTTGACAAGAGATAGCGCCAAGTCTTGTATCCGAATGCTTGTTAAGCCACTCAAAAACAAGATCCATATTTTCTAAATTTGATAACTTTGCAGAGAGTCCATTTTCATAACCTGTTTTCCGCGTCTAAATTCAAACTGAGTAGGATTATAAGATCGCTGGGATTCTCAATCAATGGCAACGGGTCTTCATTCCAGAACGCACATTTTTTTAGTTGATTCTCCGTCATAGTACTTGTCTAAAGTCCATATCTGCTCTTTTACTGGCATACTTGGACATATTTCCCCTCCTTAAATTGTCCTCCTTAAATAACACCCTCTCGCCGATTTATATATAGCCATTTCCCAGAACCCGGGAGTCAGAATCGCTGATGTTTGCCATATTGAACATGTTGATATATGTACTGTAATATCTGTAAAACTAGGCATTGCCTGCTACGCGTAAGGGTCACGTGACTAGCGCGATACAGGAAAAATGGGGAATTTCGAAACAACAATTTTTGGGCACTTTTATTGCAAATTTCAGGTATTTATAAGTGTTTGTGGTATAAAATATAATCCACAGACATAAATGAACATCCAAACTACATATTTTATTACGTTTTGGAGCCTTTTTTGCTTTTAAAATGACATCTTTAATAAATTGAAAAATAGTTTGTAAAGACAATTCTATTTGTGCAAACTATTTATACCCATTTCTCGGATGGTCAACCAGTGTCAAAATATATTTAAGTTTTGATATTTTCTCTTGAAAAAATAAATCCAAATCTGTTGAGTTTTCTTGAAGAAATCGCCTAATCCCCCCTCCATTCATTTTGTACGATCACCGGGCGTGACTAGTGGGGCCCACTAGTATTGATTATAATTTACAACTACTGAATATAAACATCTGAACACTGAGCACTGAGCAGTGAGCACGTGTAGCTGATGCCGTGAATCAGCAAACGAATCCAATTCCCTGGAGTCATGCCTGGGTCACATTTGCACAGGAACTCGTAGCACTATGATGCTCATACCAGAGATCTGAGTCAATAGTCTATAAAAGGACTGTAACCCTTCACATTTGACCATTTCAGGGAACTGGAAGTAAAAAAAGATATGAATCGTCAATCAGTGGTCAGAATTTTATAATTTGGGTCTCATTTTGAAGAAAAATCTTTTAGCTGTAAGATACATGTCATTGCATAACTTATGTAGACAACATTAATAACAACAATAATTTCAAGTCTTATTCAGTCTTTTTTTTACTTCCATTCCCTGAAATGGTGAAGGGTAACCCAAGTGAAAAAAGTCAATGGGAAAATATTGACAATAAATAGGTAATACTCTATTAATTCTTAGCTAACAAATACCTAAAAAATTTATCATGCAAATTAGAGAGAATTACGTTAATAAATAGGTGTTAATAATAAGGTATTGTTAACATTCAACGCTCATGTAGAATATTGACTGATTATCAAATGAAAATTACATTGTAACAATAAGGTAAAATTAGAAATCTAATAATCATGTATTTATTATCTTCCAATAATAAGCTATATGTTAACAGAATATTACCTAAATATTGTACATATTTATTGTGGTAATATTCTCTAATTTGCATGATAAATTTTTTAGGTATTCGTTAGCTAAGAATTAACAGAGTATTACCTAATTATTAGCTATTTAAAACCTATTTGTTGCATTACTCTTACCCAAGATGCATTATGGTCTACAAAATTTATTTTCTACTATAAGAACCAAAAACATTAAATAATATGTAAAATTAGGTGGGTAGGGACACACAAATTCGAAGTAAATATGTGACGTATATGTAATTCGCGTGAATATTCAAATCTGGCCATGCAAAGCGTATAAATTAATTCATGGCAAATTCTCTTGCAAAACTATACAGATTTTGTCAAAAATCTCCCACAAAAGTACCACTTTTTGCAGAATTTACCGCAAAAACTATTGCGTTTATTAGAAAAAAAACTGGAGATAATCCGCTTTTTTTAAAAAAGTACCGGTTTATTTCAAATCTACCGTAAAAACTCCAGTTATTTCACCTCAAAAACTCCCGATTTTTTAAAATCTACGGCGAAAACTAACAATTTTTTAAAAAACTTCCAGATTTTGTAAAAATCTCCCCTAAAAGTACCACAATTTTTGGAAATCTCAAGCAAATTGTTCATTTTAGGTTGGCCCTGGGTATGTAAGATGATATAAGCAATTATTATGGGACATCACTGGTAATTTTACCCATCGATCAGAATTGTACTGAAGGCAAGAAGGCTCACAGTTATTGAAGGACCCTCTAGGCCTCCAGCAGTATTTATCTTCATAATCTTTATAAAATACCTTATATTTTTACTGCATGGTACAATTAGTCATACACAACACATTTATGCTTGACCACTTTGACTGTATGAATAGAATTAAAATTTAGCCTTTATAAATTCAGAAAGAAAAGAAGATTTGCCCATCTAAACTGGAATAAAACAGCAATACTTACATTTTACCTCTCACAAAGTAGACATGCAGAATGTTCAAGTATGTCAGTAACTTCTGAATCTATATTTGATTGGTCATTTTCATACTATTGTTATAAAATCATAAAATTACCCAAATCTCTTACAGTTGAACATTCTTTGTCAGCCATTTTTCTTTTGGTTTAAAAAGAGCGGGAAAGTTAATATTTTGCTAATACTTACTGCCACATTTTTTTTAAGTCCAATCTTAACAATTAGCTAATTTTTATCCCCTAGGGTAGCAAGGATGACAAAAAGTTACCCAATTATTCAAAGAGCATTATAACATAGTTGTTAGAATAATAAATAGGTGTAATAAATAGCTATTTATTGGCATTCAACTTTCATTGATTTAATGCTCATTTAACAAATGGGTTAACTTTTATCAAAATGCATAATTATTAGACCAAAGTTAACCAATTATTACATGAGAATTGCCATTTCTTTTTACTTGGGAACTTACAGTCCTTTTTATAGATAGACATATTGACTCAGATCTGGCATAAACACCTCATATCATAGTGCTACAAGCATGCCGAACTCCTATGCAGTGTCTCGGTATAGATATCACTGCACGGGAGTTCGCAAGCATGCTACAAGTTCCTGTGTCCATTTGCCCCGATTCATCCAGAAGTTACGCCTTTAAAACCCGGGTTCGACGTCATCCAAAGGTACGCAACGAACGAAATGAATTTTGAGAATGGTAGAAACACTTCCGGCGTAACTTTCCAAGTGATGAAAATCGTTATTTACTGTAATATTTGGCCTCTTTAACGCAAGACTGTTTGTATTAGAGTTGGTTGGTGACTGGGGAGGTATCGAGTAACAAGACGCTTCGAGTGAGGTATGTTTTAAATTGCATTCTTCTGACTTTGCTACATAATCGTCGTTTAAGGTTCAGCTGGAAAGTAACATTTTGGTAAAAAATTGCTATACCTGCACATGTTATTTTCTGGTACAGAATTAAGTATGAAGTCATGTGTGTATTTCCTTGCTTTTTTCAGGAAAGTATCATTACACTGTTTACTTTTATAATATCTGGAAACAGGTCAATGGTAGCTCCTGTGTTGTCTGGAAACTTTGAAAGAAAATTTGGAAAATAGAAAGTGTGAAATATCAGAATTTTCTGGAGTTTCCATTGAACCCCTACCAGATATTCTAAAAGAAGACAATGTAATGATACTTTCCTGAAAAAAGCAAGGAAATTGACACATGCCTTCATACTTTATTTTGTACCAGAAAATAACATGTGCAGGTATAGCAATTTTTTACCAAAATGTTACTTTCCAGCTGTACCTTAAAATTTAAAAAATTTGAATCCGATTCAATTTTAAAAATTTTTTCGAATTCAAATTGGGCCATTCCATCCATTAAAAAATGTACGGGGGGTATGGATGCAAAATTCTGGGGGGGGGGGGGGGGTGTTGACCGAAAAATTCTGGGGGGTAGGAGACCGAAAAATTCTGGGGTTAGTTGCATGAAATAATTTTGTTGGCAAAAAATTATATCCATTTTTTTATTTCCAGCCATTTTTATGTCCCCACCACATAGTGTGGGGCCATATTGTCAGCCTAGGTGCATCTGTCTGTCCGTTTGTCTGTCCGTACGTCTGGCAGTTTTCTCCAAAACCGCTACAGATATCACCTTCAAATTTTCAGGGATAACTTATGAGTGCATACAGATGTGGATGAAATTTTTTTAACTCAATACCTACTTCCTGTCGGCCATTTTGAAGTCAAAACGCTTTTAAAACTTTAACATCTTGTTCAGCTTTACTTCCTGCGAAAGCTATTTGGATTTTGATATAATAGCTTTCCCACGGAGCATTTGGACAGTTGAATGATTGTGACCTTTGAAATCGAATTAAGTCGATCTGCAGCTTACTTTTGGTCTCTAACTGTGTCTTACATCAGTATCTTCAATCCGTGTAAGTATTAGAGCGCTGAAATACTTCTTTTTCGATCAAGACCTTTGAAATCGAATTAAGTCGATCCGCAGCTTACTTTTGGTCTCTAACTGTGTCTTACATCAGTATCATCAATCCGTGTAAGTATTGGAGCGCTGAAGTACTTCCTTTTCGATCAAGACTTGTAAATTGTTCATCGAGTGAATGTTTTTTAGACCTATTTCCAATATGGCGGTTTGCTAGGAGCGAGATACGCAACAAACGAAATGAATTTTGAGAATTAGTTAGGTTCGGACAACCTCTGGAGATTTACGAAAATGTCCGAGCAGAAAACGCCATATTGGAATTTGGCAGTAAAAACATTCACTCGACTAACAATTACAAGTCTTGATCGAAAAGGAAGTACTTCAGCGCTCCAATACTTACACGGATTGATGATACTGATGTAAGACACAGTTAGAGACCAAAATTAAGCCGCGGATCGACTTAATTCGATTTCAAAGGTCACTATTAATCAGCTGTTCACTTCCCCGTTTGAGAGCCATAAGTTTCAAAATCTATCATGGCTCTCGAAGTGAGTAAGTTCAGCTCAATTCATTCTACATCTGAATAGGTTTTGGACCTGTTAGCTCAGTCATGTCAGCCATTTTGAATGTCTTAAGAAAAGTTACAATACTATTCACGCGCGTGATACTACTTTGTATTGAATGGTATTTTTGAGTTTTCATACTTTAACTATTTAGTAGCTTTATAAATAATTTCAGGTGTACTTTGTTATCCCATCGAACAAAGTTTGGAGGGATATAGGGAACGCCTCCGTCTGTCCGTCCGTCTGTCCGTCCGTCCATACGTACGTCCGTCCGTCCAGGCAATAACTCAAATACCGTTGGCCTGATTTTGTTCATATTTTGTACACATATACCCTATGGAAGTAGAAGTTCTGCTCGAAAGCCGATTTTCAAAATGGCCGCCCATTTCAAAATGGCAGCCATTTTAGTGCCAAATTTACAGTAATTTAGGTGTTTATGTTTAAACAAACGTATGAGACGCTAAAGTTGCTCCGATTTGATGGAAAAACTTTCTAAAGTCCGTTTACACCCCCTTAAATGATTGATGAGTGCCTGCCGGGTGCGAGGCCAGGCCCGGCCGAGTGAGCATCTCTTGCTGTATACGCCCCATCCGCTGTGATATACACAGTGGAACACCCGTGACAGAACACCTTCCCCAAGGTTGGTGCCTGGCGTTTATTGGTAGTTAAATTACCACCAATGCAGGCATCATCAATTGGTCAAAATCATAACTTACAAGAGGATTGCAGGTTTGATACTGTGCATTCCCTCATTGTAAAACTCCCAATTACCGGCCAAGTGCAGGCTCGTTGCTGTGCACACTCTACCGACAACCAAGGATAGGTATAAAAGGGTCAAAAGTTAAAAAAAAATTATTGACGGAGCCAACTGGCATTTCGCCTTAGCCACAGCCATCTTGAACATCTCTCTGCTTCTCTTCCAATGGATGTGATGGCTCTCTTCCTCTTCACTGCTGTTATTCCCAAAGACTTAAGCATCCAGCTTACTGATTTTGCTGAGAAACCTCTACAGCCAACTTCTACTGGAAAGCAATATGCTTTCCACCCTCCCTGTCGAGCTTCTGACAAAAGGTCCTCATATTTTGACCGCTTTAGCTCATTGGATTCTTCAATTCGTTCTTCCCATGGGACTGTTAGTTCAACAAGTATTACACATTTGGCTGCTTCAGAAGTGATGACAATGTCAGGCCTTAGGTTTCTGATGGCTACTTGTTGAGGAAAGACGAGCTGTTTGGCTAGGTCTACTTTCATTTCCCAGTCAGTAGATGAGTGGAGAATACCTCTTTCAGGTATGGGCTGGTGTTTAGTTCTGGTTTCCTCTCCTGCTTTTTGAAATTTGATATATGCAGGTCTGACTGCATTTGTTGTGGCCTCCTTAGCTCCCTGCGACTCTAAAATGGGTTCAATGGTCCTTGCTATTTCTTTTAGGACTTGGTCATGACGCCATGTATACCTGTGCTCACTTAGAGCTACTCTACAGGAACTGAGCACATGCCTGAGTGAGGCTGGTTTTTCCTTGCACAATGGGCATGTTGGGTCATCAAGCATGTTCCACAATGCCAGATTAGTCGCTGATGGTAGAGTGTTGGAGATTGCCCGCAAAAAGAAGGACATGGAAACATCACCTGATTGTAATAGCTGATTTCCTGTCATCCCTCTACTCTCTACTGTCTCCCAGTTAAGCCATGCCCCTTGGCTCTTCATGCCCACTGCTCTGACTCTTCGTTTCTCCTCTTCAGCTTTCCTGATCTCTGATGTTACCATTTGCCTCCTCTTGTCTCTTGCACACTTGCCTTTGACCACGGGACAGTCCCATAATTACCTAAGCCTCTCCTCCCCTCAGCGATTGTGCCAATGATGTCACTTTGGCGCAATTTGCATTCTGCGTCAGCAATATGTTTTAGATGTAAAAAAATTATATAGGACATTAATAAAGCTAGAAATGTAGATATTAAAGGAGCACATGGCAGCCATCTTGAAAAATGGCGGCCTTTACTTGTTATTTTACGATTTTTGCTGTAACTCGAAAAGTAGTGGAGCGATTTTTTCATATTTGGTATGCGAATACTATAAACATCGACACTGTCTACGGTTAAAGACACTTTTGGTAGAAGGTGGCCATTTTAAAAAATGGCCGCCATTTTGAAAAATGGCCGTCATTTTAACATATTTTACTATAACTCGAAAAGTAGTGAAGCGATTTTGTTCATATTTGGTATGTGAATACTGTAAGCATGGCACACTGTCTAATGACACTTTTGGTAGAAGGCGGCCATTTTTCAAAATGGCCGCCATTTTAATGTATTTTATACTATAACTCGAAAAGTAGTGGAGCGATTTTGTTCATATTTGGTATGTGAATACTATAAGTATGGCAAATGGTCTAATGACACTTTTGGTAGAAGGCGGCCATTTTGAAAAATGCCTGCCATTTTTGCTATATACTTTGTTTGTAAAAATGCCATCCATGCCTGTTTGATGGAATTCGCTATGCTTTGGCGTTGCCGTTGTTCTGGTTGTAAAAGCCTATGTTATTGTTAACAGTAGTTATATGTGATAATTTTGTAAAAAGGAATCAGCAAAATTCATAATTACTTTTTTATTGTCGGCCATTTTGGATTTTCCGTCCTAAAATCTTGTCTCTAAAGTCTTGTCTACACATTTTCAGGTGAACCATTTGGTAGATCAATTTCAAATTTTCAGAGATGATTCTTAGTATGAAAATCTAGATCTGATTAGTTTTTTGGCATTCTGCGTAAATGTCAAGGCAGCTATTTTGGATTTCCGTCCCAAAATCTTGTCTGTAAAGTCTTGTCTTGTCTACGCATTTTCAGGTGAACCATTTGGTAATTTCAAATTTTTAGGGATGATTCTTAGTATGAAAATCTAAAACAGATTAGTTTTTTGACATTCTGGGTAAATGTCAAGGTAGCCATTTTGGATATTCCATCCTAAAATCTTGTCTGTAAAGTCTTGTTTACATGTTTTCTGGTTAACTGTGAGACGGATCAATTTCAAATTTTCAGGGGTGGTTCTTAGTATGAAAATCTAGAACTCACTAAATTTTGGGCATTCTGGGTAGATTTTAAGGTGGCCATTTTGGATTTTCCGTCCCAAAATCTTGTCTGTAAAGTCTTGTCTTGTCTACGCATTTTCAGGTGAACCATTTGGTAGATCAATTTCAAATTTTCAGGGATGATTCTTAGTATGAAAATCTAAAACAGATTAGTTTTTTGACATTCTGGGTAAATGTCAAGGTAGCCATTTTGGCTATTCCATCCTAAAATCTTGTCTGTAAAGTCTTGTTTACATGTTTTCTGGTTAACTGTGGGACGGATCAATTTCAAATTTTCAGGGGTGGTTCTTAGTATGAAAATCTAGAACTGACTAAATTTTTGGCATTCTGGGTAGATTTTAAGGTGGCCATTTTGGATTTCCCGTCCTCAAATTGTGTCGGTCGGTAAAGTCTTGTCTACTCATTTTCAGGATAACCATTTGATGGGATCACCCATTGGTGGGGACATTATGTACACATTTGTGTTTTTGTACTTAACATTGATTTGTCCATCTGTCTCTCATTCAGTCCAAAATAGTGGCAAGTGGCTTGAAATAATTTTGTTACAAAAAATCGTCAAAAAATTATATCCGTTTTTTTTTTTATTTTCTGTCATTTTAGCCATCATTCACTTTTGAGCAACACCATGTGACCCCAGTACCCACGGTACTATTTTTATATCATTGCTAGAAATTGTGTGATTTGATTGGCTGATTCAGTACCATGTGATCAAAAATACTATAGCGTATTTCACAGCTTCTTCAATTAGGGTAATAAAATGATACACAGTGATACTTGAATGTGATGTTAACTTTGATTAATTAAAATATGATCATAGAGAATGTCTAGCAATGATATAATAAAACAAATATTTCATTCATGTTCGGGCAATACCTGTTGCACTTTCAATGATTTTTGCAGCATGTATTTCCCTCGCCCTACAGGCTGCGGGAAATACATACTGCAAATTTGCTTTGCACAAATGTTCACTTAGGCTCTTAGTCTAATAATATTAATATCTAATGGCATCACAGTCAACACAATGAACAAAATCCAGCCAAGTGAACAGTCACTTTTCCCAATGTGGGAATTATGACTAAATTGAATGCAAAATTAACTTAAAAGACCACAGTAAGGTTTATAACACTTGTATGTTTTACAGCACCACCAAAGATGTCTGTGTCCCAAAGGTTGCTGCAAGAAATAAAGTCAACACCAACCCAGAGATGTATTATATGCACCAATGAAGTAACTAGTGCATCAATAAAGTTTGAAGGTGACAAATGGTGTAGGCAGAACATCTGGGAAAAACTAGATCGAGTTTTGGGTTGGGAAGGAATTCTGAAACTGAGGAATATCATCAAATTGCCAGCGAAACTATGCTATTCTTGCTTCAAGAGGTAAGGATGTGCCCATTTTTTTGTTTGTATAGTTTTCTCATTGTTCTGCAACTTAATAATGATCTAGATTCATCAATAGTGTTTCCAAAAATAAAAAATAATAGAAAATAGAAAAATGCAACATCATTTTAGAGTTGATTTTTCTTCTCATGAGTGAAATTTCCCCAAAATTTCAATTTTTGCCATAGTCTTTTTCATCCAATTTTTTAAAAGAATATTTGCAAAATAAGTTATATCTATGTACAGGCTTCCATATGAAACAAGGAATAGCCTTGTGTGTATATTTCTTAATGTGTGTCATAATATATAGGCTATACAGGGTGTCAAATAAGTCTCCCTTACTTCCTGCGAAAGCTATGTGGATTTTGATATAATAGCTTTCCCACGGCGCACTTGGACAGCTGAATAATAGTGACCTTTAAAACATGAATAAAGAGATCCGCGGCTTACTTTTGGTCTCTTACTGTGTCTTACATTGGTATCATCAATCCGTGCAAGTATTTGAGCGCTGAAATACTTCTTTTTCCCTTTTTGCATGGAAGGATGATAATGGTATATGACATAGTTAGAGAACAAAAGTAAGCCGCAGATCATAATTCGTGTTTCAAATCAAAGGTAACTATTATTCAGCTGTCCATTTCTTCTTTGGAGAGCCATAAGTTTCAAAATCTAACATGGCTCTCGAAGTGAGTAAAGTCTCCCCACTACAGCTGACACATTAATAGATAATACCTTGTGTGATAAACCATTGGAAAGATCATCCAAAATTACATCAACTCTCAAGTATTTTAGAAGAATTTACCTATATTAGGCTATATTTTCATGATTTTTCTAATAGTTAATAGTTAAGTACCCTTCTCCAGCAGCATTTATTGCATCAAAATGAGAAGGTTAGACCTCAGCAATACATCTAAAAGTTTATTTTTTTGAAAAAGTCTTCACCACTTTCTACTTCCCCTCTGTATGGATACAATGTAGCAATTTGTGACTTTGATTTACAGGTATCTGATTAACATGTATATCCCACTTGGTACCTTTTGGTTTTGGCTGATGAAGGGGACATTTTTTTATGAAATCAATTTTGATAGCTACAAGAGCGAGCATAGCAAGAGAATACAAATATTGATATCAGTTGACTGGACAGGGTTTATGGATTTTTTTATGTGATTGGTGAGATGAAGAAGGTTTATCTATTTGGCGAAGTGATGTCTGGATGATTCTGCAGAAGATGAATGAGATACTGTTGGGTTATTACCAATTACATGATTTTCTGTACTGGGGTGAAAAGTTACTTGAGTGCCAGTCTGCAGCTGTGTCTACCATTTGATTATCCACCGTGAAATAGATTCGTGTGTGTAATTTCAGGTTGAAAGACAGTTCTAAAATCATTGATTCATTTGAACGAGCAATAGAGAAACAGAGTGCTGCTCTTAAAATTGACAGTAGAATTCCTCCATATAAGTAAGTTTTGAACTTCTTTTGTAATGAATTCACTGGTGGAATATACATGTATATGACCCTCAGCATTGCAATTATGCAAAATGCTTTCAACAAGTTCAAGCCATGGTCAAAATTGAAAATAAGAAATGCTCCAACTTTTCATTATTGTTCAGTATATGGCATGCTTTTTGAAGTATTTTTGAAGAGTTCTTGTGAATAAAAACAGTTTGAAAAAGTGTCTCATTTAATTTCCCTGGTCCACCCCCATTGGGTAACTATGTAAGCTTAACATGTACAAAATTTCTATTGGATCAAAAAGATTCCATTCATAAGAAAATCCCTCAACTTCAGTGACTCTGTATCATGGTCTACATTATTGTTTTTTGTACTTATTACAGGTACAACCCTGTGGAAGAAGACATCTCTACCACCGAAACGACAACAGAAGTAATTATGCAGGATGAGAAAAATGATACAAATGAATTACTTGAAAATATAAAACATTGTAAAATATGTGCCCATCCAAAAGACATATGCATCATAGATGTGAATGACATATGTGCGGAAAAAATTGAGCTTCTTACATCAGTTCTTGATGCAGTACCCCAGAAATCAGTTGCCTTATGTAATAAGTGTATTGGAGATTTAGACACATATGCAAAATACACCAAAGGTCAACAGAGAGTTTTGAAACACTTACATTCGAAACATTCCGAAGTGAATCCCTCAACCGAAATACCCGACACTGACATTGTAGTCAAGTCAATGAATGATAATGGAACAGTTGAAGATGGAAAAAATCAGAAGCCAATTCCCTCAGTTCCCAAAACTTTAAATCATGTACAATGCTTTCTCTGTCATAGGACAAGTAAAATGAAACAAAGAAGACCAGTCAGTGTAACCTATGCTCTGGATAGCCCAGAAAGTCTTGCAGCTGATATACCAAATGGATTAGCAAGACTTGTAGGTAGGGTATCCAATAAATTGTTTACCTATGTAAGTAAGAATGAATAATCATTTAAGAGGAAAGATACATTGATTATGATGCATTCCCAAGAAATAATTAAACAATTAATATGAAGTTCAAACATCGCTTCATAAGTATTAACTAGTTATGTAGTCCATATCTAAGTATATAATCCTTCACTTGTTACATAATCCTTGAAAGAAAGATGACTGTGTTCACAAAAATCAGGGTGTTGCATGCATGATTCACCTCTTAAAAGCCCATTCTTGTTGGTGTAGACTGCATTATGTATCTTATGCTTCATTTCAGTGTTTTCTTTTTCTTGCTGTTTTGTCTTATCAAGATGAACAGAAGCTGTCTTTGTTACAAGGCTTTCAAGATGATGTCTGATGATATCTCAAGATCCTTATTTCTTATTATATTTTATAAATCTTTGGGTTCACCATTTTCTTGAGTGGCATGAACTGTAATAATCACAATAACTATATTCTGATTATTTCCAGGTGTAGATTGTTTAGATGCGCTGAAGTACTGTGAAGACAATTCAGCCCCTATGTGTGGGGGTTGCTTCAAGGGGATCAGAGATGACCTAATGACTCAGAATAGAATAATGGAAAACATTAAAAAGTATTCTAACTTCACTGATGATTCAATTAAAGAGTTGAAGGCCAAGCATCTAAAAATTAAAAGCTGGGGTTCTTATTTCTCAAAACCAAGGCAAGAAAGATGTAAGAGGAAGTATATACCAGACTTAAGTCCAGATGATATCGAGGAACCTGAAAGGTTTGTAGCCTCAAAGGCAGCTCAGACAACATTCCCAAAAGAAACTAAAACTCCAAAAGTTATCAGGAAACCTAAAAGACAAGGTGATCAAGCTGTTAGTACCAATGTGGACACTGATACAGATATAGAAGTTGAGGATTCTGAAACAAACCCTGCTGATATAAGGTCTTTATTCGAACATCACAGCTTCATGGAGGATAGAGATCTTGCACGACATATACACAGTGATGCCCTGGTGAGGACAATTCGACGAAAGGAGTACAACAAAATGTGTGATTATTTGTTGGTGAATAAGTTCACTTATAAGACAATTGTACTAAAGTTGATGGTCAGGCTGAATGAAGAGGTCAAACGCCTAGTTAGGCCAAATAAAAGCAACTCAACTTTGCTGAGGAAGGATTTTAGTGAAATAAAAGACTTGGATTTGTTCCAAGAGCTTTTCACTGAAATGATGGAGAGGTGAGGAAGAAAAAAAACAAAAAGTAATATATTACTCTGTGAAACCAGATTAAATATTCAAATTTATTTTCAATCAGATGTGTGTCAGTCATGGTTTAGGTTCGGCTTAACTGCATTCACTCATTCCTGCAACCTCGGTTTATCCAATATCTTTCACACTAAATTCTACAAGAGACCAGTGTTTTCATTTGCAAACTCTTTCATCATAGACTTGATGCAAAAAAGGCTGTAACGTATAAACATTATTGGACAAATATGTCTTATTCAAGCATTTACAGTAAAAAATCTCAGGGTGTGATTTGAAGATTTGTCTGTTATGGGGATTCACTAATCAATTTATCTTTGTAAAAATACTGTGAAAACCTAACAATTTATTTTTTTTTTTGCCTGAAATCAGGATTTTCCATTGTTGCTTTACTGTCAGGGAGCATAAGCATAATTGGCATAATTTAAAGATAATTTAATTAGTGTTGAGGAAAATAAAGTATTAACTGAAAGATTTCCAGTTACTTCTCTCTGATGACATCATGATCATGTGACCTCTGATCGGATTAGATTATTCTTTCCTGTTTTAACCTACTGTATTTATTCCATAAATAATAGGTACGTTTGGGTTTGCTACTCCATGGAGTTTCCATTTTTTTCTTTGTAGGTCACATGGTTTTTGGAATCGCTCACTTGTAATTGTATATGCTAATCATGTTCTATTTTCCAGGACACCATTATTGGCAGATGTCATAATGACTGTATCCAGAGGCTACCAGCCTGTAGAAGACAGGCATCTTGTTGAGATAGGATTGGTCTACAGCATATTGGCACACATCAGAAATCACCATCTAACTAGCATGCAGAAATTCTTTGCCAACGCACTAAATGAGATAGATGCCAGCAGATTGGTATGTTTGTTGTTAACATTAACAGATTTGGATAATATGGAAGTAAAAGTCATTGGATTATGAAAAACTAAGCCCTAAAAATCATTCACATTTTTTAAATCTTGTAGGACTCTGCCCAAGACTATTTTCAGCAACTTATCAGATAATATGTGGTTCCTGGAGAAGGCAAGCTCTTTCATTTGATATATAACATCATTAACTCATTGCTGGCCAAATCTATTTTGGAGATTTTCTGCTGGTGACTGGCCATTTTGATGAAAAATTAAGCAAATTTGCATGTTTTAATATTAGCATAAAATGAACTGTATCAACACCCTCCATGCTGTTTTATGCCATTGTGAAGCCAATGACAATATATCTCAATTGCACCCAACAATGTTCCCCTAGCCCTACAATATTTGGTAAGATTATTGCTTCAGATTGTGTGACAATTATTGGACAGCACCCCGAGATATCTCGGGGTTGGTCAGATATCATTTTGACATCATAGGAGAAATATCTCGGGGTTTGTCAGCAATGAGTTAACATTTGGTATGGCATCGTCCTTCAGTGGTTATGGTTCTCATTTTAGTGTTGTGTTCACAGGCAAAAGTTTCACTGTATGATCTGCTAATAAACGAAGTGTGCAAACTGCAACCAGGCTCTGAGTAACTCTAGCTCTTATTGGTTACAATTTGTTATTATCAAGCCAATGAATTATAGTTTTTAAACTTTGGCAGTCACTACATGTGTAATTTGTATGTACTAAAATTGAATAAAGAAGAATAAAAAAAAAATTGTGGCAACAATAGGAGTCTGGTTGCAGTTTACGTGGACCCGCTAATAAATATGTGCATTGAATATTCTTGTTTCAGGTGGTTGATTTGCTCAATGAATTTGGACTTTGTCCTAGCAGCGTAAGCAAGCTAGACGATTCCTACCTAATACATAAGAGGAAAATGAGAAAATCTTCACACCATGTATCATCAACATCAACTGTACAGTCTACATCTGAAGAGCCAGCTGCTGTAGAAGAAACTGCTTTAGAAAATATAAAGGAAGAAAGAAAATATGATATTGAGTCATCTGAAGAGCAAGCAGCTGTAGACGAAACAGTTTTAGAAGAAAAAGAATTTGATGTTGAATCAACCAAAGCCATACAATCAATTACAGTTGACACCACCACTGACAGTCATTTAGAACAGAAGGAATCTTTACCCGATTTGTAGTGAAATAAAATTCAGAATATTATGCTACAGGGACTAAATCATTTTCACCATACAGAGATTTTTGAACTATTGTATGGGGAAAATTGGAATGGAATGTTGTTCAATCAATGTTGTTCACTCATTTAAAGGGTGACACAAACGAATTAGTACATAATTGAAAGCATCTGTGACTTCCTTGCTTCCATGGAAGATAGTTGAGACAAAATGTTTTTTTTTCCTTTCTTGGCTGGGACTTTCCACTCAATTTTAAAGCTGACTATTAGTTTCACCCATCTCAAGTCACATTTCATGTTTCATTTAATCTGATTTAATCTAATGTGAATGAAACATATTAAATTTGAAACATAAAACCTCTCCAAATCTCAAATTTATTTTTGAGATTGTAAAAGCAGGCCTTGGCATTTTTTTCTGGCACCGTCGTTCTAATTTTAATATGCATTTACTGTACATATTAGTATATTATGATTCAAATAAATAAAGAAAAATAAGCAAAATTCTATTTTTAACATTTAAGTTATATTTCATGTAAAACCAAGGCATGGTATAAGGTGTCTTACATATAATATATTGATGAAGATGAATAGATGATCAATGTTATCTTATGATGACAATAATAAATACATGGTACTGATGTACATCTGGTACATGGATAATTAACTTGGTATCTGAGAACATGTAAAGCATTATGTGAAGCATGATAAAAACAAGTTTTCTAAATTAAGGTTTACAAAATACTTCTCTTATTCTTGCAATTGTCAAAGTATACAGATTCTTTACATGATGTAATAGATCAATTTAAAACCAAAGACCCCATAGGCCCATAATCACATTCACCTTTAAATATTACCCAACTCTTTCACTATGATTTGCTACAGGGACCAGACATACAGGGTGTCCATAAAGTCTATTTACAAATACAATACAAAGGCTATGTAAAGTGCAGAGACTTTATGGACATCCTGTATTTTTATCATTTTAACCAAACTTCAATCAGCAGCACGTTGTTTCAGATAGGTTTGTCTCCTGTCTCCATTGACCTAGTCACTGACCTAGAAGTTCAAGGTACTCCAGAGAAACACAAATGGACTGGTATATGTTTGCTGGATTGAAATTAATGTTCAGTTGAGTACAAATAATTTTCACTGCAGTGCATCATAACACAAATCAGAGGTCCACATGGTTAACACAAATCAGAGGTCCACATGGTTTTGGAGTCAATGTTATTTATACATTAACATTACAATTGAGACCAGACAGCTATATCTACAAAATAGATGTGAGCCCTATCTGAAAATATCAATAGCAAACAGAAAACTCACATTCACTAGAAGCTACTTTGATAAATACAACATCAGCAGTTTGTGAATTTGGTTTACAAAAATATTAACAGTGACATTGATCTGTTCCTGTTGATACTGCATCAACAGAGCTTTGCATGAATACTGAATAAGCAATATGGAAGAGAATGTGCCAGTCATGAGCTCCTACAGAATATTGACTTTCTAGGTTATCTTTTATAATTTGCACCCTGTGTTCACTACAATAAACCACATGTTACAGTATGTAGTCTGTTTAATACTTGATCAACACCTATGTCATATCATTAAATGTTCTGCAGTTTGAGTTACTGTGAACAATCTTTATCTTGCACATGAATATGATTAACATCTGAACTTCATTCATAGAGGTTTCCAAATATGACCATATTTATATACAAATATACACCATACTTCTACTTTTGGGACTATTGTATTTGATTTTTTTTCATAATACCTTTTCCATTTTATTGTGTTCAATTCAAGTAGAGTCCTCCTTATGTTAACACACCCTTTGTTACCTAGCTGCACACTAAACAACACATTCTATAGAGCATAAAAACTGAATGAGATCTAACAATGTGACAAGTATCATAAAACTATGGTTATAAAATATCTGCTCTTGAAAAGCTTTCATTTGCAAAACATTTTGAACCACCCTTGTATCTTAGTGATCTTAATGATGCCATCTATTCTTTCATTTATATGAAAAGGGTCAATTGTGATGTGACTTAATTCTGTTTAATGGAAGTGGCCAAAAGATGACAAGAAAATAAGATTAATATGATTCTATGAAATGATTATGTATATATGGAAGATCTCTCTACATTACTGCGGGTACTCGCTGTACAGAATATAATTAATATTTATAGCATAATATATTGCATAATTATGTACATCTTATAAAACTCTTCACTACAATCTATGTTTAATAAACATACAGACACTTGTTAGTGAAAATATTGTTCATAGGGGTACCTGAAAAATACAAGGATCCATCCACACTATCATTCAATTAATCCTAAAAATGATGTTATTATAATACCAAGGCCAACATGGCATAATTATCTAGTTAGCAGAAAAAGTCATGAGATAACTGGCTTTTTCTTTACAAATTGCAAAAAATTACATATCAAAAAAAACAAATGCTAAAAACATAAAACAAAAATATTTCACTATGGAGGTTTTCAGATGAATGCTTTACAGACAATTAATAATAGAGGGCCATTAAGGACCTTGGTTATTGTACAAAATCAAGGTTTAGTTATAAAGTTCTAAAGTTTTAAACTGCAAAAGCTAAAGGTAGACCTCGTGAGAGAGATTAAGCCAGATTAATCATTCTACTCTACATTAGTCAGATTACTAATTCAGTTATGCCCACCTTAAGAGGTTTTTTGTTCTATTTTTTAGTTTATATCGCATGTCTGTACAATGTCTTGTCTGTATCGTGATGCCTAAGGAAGCACAATTGGTTATTCTGAGGTCACTACATGCACATATAATTTTTCAGCCAACATTTTGGGTAATCTCATAAAATACATAAAAATCTTGTAACAATATTGGTGTTTAATCTTACAAATTACTAATTATTAACAAAACATTTTTTCACTCTATTATTATACCATTTGAGCTACCTTAATCAGTACAGAGATCTAGATTATCAGACACTAAACATGTGCAAGTACACTGACAATTACATCTGAACATTTTTTGTTCTAAATAAATGTTCATTGCTGGAAAAAGACCTTTACAGGGCAATGGCGTAGCGTCATAAATGTTCTTTGTTGCAAAAAGACCTTTACAGGGAAATGGCGTAGCGTCATAAATGTTCTTTGTTGCAAAAAGACCTTTACAGGGCAATGGCGTAGCGTCATATATGCATAAAACGCCATGACGTACTATCAAAGTTAAGATAAAATTTGATTTTTTTATACTGAATTGCCCTACACTTAAAATACTAGATATTGGGAAAAATGGCCAATATTTTACATTTCATATTTAAAATGCCACGGAATGCTTCAAATGCATTCTCATTTTCAAATTTTCTTGGAGGAGAACCCCCCAAACACCCCTCAAAGCTCGTTCTCTATTGGCATAGACTCACAAAATACCCACGCTACGCCACTACAAGGAAATCAAATTATGACTTTAAAATATTTTACTCTGAAGAGATGTACATGCAATAGCAAGTGATTCACATTATCCACAAGTTATCACTTCAGAGCTATTTGCTTTAAAAAGTAGTTCATAACAGCTAAGGGTTTGCTACAACACATTTTGCATTGCGGGTTTTATACAGCAATTAATCTCTGGGAACACTAAGTAGTTTACTTGTTTGTTTTTAGATTGTACATACAAAATGCATATTAGTTGATACGAGCAATTTACATTTTCTAACATATTTACATAGATATAGATCGACATACATCGACATAGATACTGGTCCTAATAGAACTATTCTTTGTCGAAACAGGTCCTAAAAGAAATATATCTCAACCAAAATATCATAGGAATTATTGGCAAAATCATCTTTGACATTGGAAAATAAATGTAAACAGCAAAACATTGCTGACAAAATCAAGACTTATTTGACCTCAGAATAGCAGCAATATAATTATTTGGTTTACTTTCAATAAATATGTCACTTTAATATTCAAGCTTTCACATCATAAGGAGGATTGGATCCCAGAATGCATTTCCGATATTTACTTATTACTTAACAAAAAATGTCAAACACAAGAAGTGATCAAGATATTAGTTCAAATCTTTTGATTGCTGATTGTGAATTTATAGCCAGATAAATGTCAGTCAATGGCGCAAGCTTTGTTGAAAAATATCGATGTTGCATTCTAGCTGCCAATTCTCCTTGCTTTTGCACTGTCAGAAATATTTGTAATTTTTGAATTCATGTACAATACAAACCTAATTTTCAATTTTATAAAATGCTTATATTATTGTGTGAAAACAAATAATTACGGATCTGATTTTGAATGATAGATTATCAGAATCTATGAATCAATCCTTCACAGTCAGTCATTGTAGATTTAGTGTATAGCTACAATAATGGCATTTTCTGTCCCCTCATTGCACTCCTTACGTGATTAAACCATTGTTTAACAAGTATTTTTGTTCCATTAATGTTGATCAAAAATTCTTTAATGGCTCCATCATGGCTACTTGAAATATTGCTCCAAGTTGTTCACTGCCGCTATGTACACAAATAATACACTTAATCCATACCCATGTCTGTATGTCTGTGTATTACATCATCACAACTCCAAATATGGTGATTATTTATTACAGTGATCAAGTTGATGCCTGTGATAGGATCACAGTATTTGACACTTCCAACCACTTCGCTTTTTACCGTCTGATTTTTTTAGTTGTTGTCCTTGATTTTTATTATTTTGTCCGGTGGCATCCTGAAATGTAAGAAAGTGATATGAAGAACCAGGTTAATATCTTTGAAAATGTTATTAATTACAATTACTCCTCCCAAGACCCCAATTAAAAATATAATTCAACATTGGTGGATTTTTCAATAAAAGATTCTCCTTTAAAAAATTGATGTAATAAGCCAATCCCAACTCCCCTTGGACCATGTTCCTTTTATATGAGAGTCTATCCAAATTCCAACCTATCTTAAATGAGGGAAAAACATTCAAAGTGAAACATAAAATTAAAAAACAGGCCATCACATGCTTTCCATTAGGGAGGTGGGATTTTAGATTGAAATGTTACCAGTTACCATACATTTGTACAAGGCATTCAAAAGCAAAATGTCACCACTACCTGCCATTTGTTACAGACCCCATTTGTTACAGACACTGAACTGCCAATGCTGAATGCCACACACCATCCATAAAAAAAGTTATATAAGTTATGTAACACTTGTGGTGGTGACATAAAATTATATTTACCAATTTTCTATCCATTTTTGCTTTTATATCTCTGGCAAGGGTTAAGAATGCCTCTTCTACATTGATACTCGCTTTTGCACTTGTTTCCATGAATTTTACACCAAAAGATATCGCTAACTGAAATTAGAAATTTTTAATTATAAACTTAAACATGTATTATACTCAATCAATTTGAGCAATGAGGTTTTCCTGTATCCAAAACACATATATTTTATACGAAAGTGGTCTATGCTGTTTTTGAATTGATCTAAATCTATACACACAGAATTGATTCTTCTTCTGGTATATGATGTTACCTGTTCCCCTTTATCTTTAGAGACCTGCCGCCTGTCATTCATGTCGCATTTGTTACCAAGAATCATCTTCTCAACATCTGATGATGCGTGCTGAAATAAAGAAACAGAATATTGTTCGTCTTTTTTATGGTTGATGTTATGCATATAAGGAATGTATACTTTACTGGTATACAGTGAATCCTTCAATTTTCATTAATCTATTTTAAAGAGGAACATCTCGGATAAATAAGTGTTCTTTTTTTCTCATTTCTTGTGTACATTTAATTAATAACATGTTATTAATCTTGTATTAATATCTCACCATTTTAGCCTGAGGATAACTGATGGGAATTCAATACTTAATATTCTCCAATGACAAAAGTGGGTCAGCTTGACCTATATTTCAATTCTTAGCTTGAGCAAGGTGCATCGTTTGTACGTAGTGTTTTAATCAACTCTTTTTAAGTATGGTGCTTTACGTTTGAGCAGAGTGCATGAATCACTTTACCATTGAGCATGGTACTAGAATCACTTACCTCTTCAATATTCCTGATCCAATTTTTTATGTTTTCAAAAGATTTGTCATTTGTGATATCGTATACCAGCATTATACCCTACAAATAAACAAGAGTCTATCTAGTAATTAAAAGGATGTATTAAAAGTTAAAGTATAAAAACTACTCGTATGTTCAATGCAACAAAATCACAAATAATTGTTCAAAAAATTGAAATGAAATTCAAACATTCAAACATCAAGCCATTGAAAATGGGGCTAGCATATTAAACTTCAAAATGGAGGTCCATTATACTTAATTTAGTAGAAAAAAATAATCATTGAAACATGTTACTCACACTCGCTCAAATATGACACGAAGTATGATTTGTTTTAATATTGAACCAAGAAAAAAAGAACTCACATAGAATAAAGCATTTGAAGTTCAGAGATCATTAGAAGTGCATGCACTGTTAAACAAAGTGCATGTTTTAAATTACTGTTGATTTAAAAGATGGCGACACTTCTATAACCAGAACAACGGCAACGCCAAAGCGTAGCGAATCCCATAGAACAGCCATGGATGGCTTTTTTACAAACAATGTATATAGCAAAAATGGCAGCCATTTTTCAAAATGGCCGCCTTCTACCAAAAGTGTCATTAGACCATGTGCCATGCTTTTAGTATTCATATACCAAATATGAACAAAATCGCTCCACTACTTTTCAAGTTATAGTAAAAAACGTTAAAATGGCGACCTTCTACCAAAAGTGCCATAAGGCAGTGTGCCATGTTTAAAGTATTTACATACTAAATATAAACAAAATCGCTCCACTACTTTTCGAGTTATAGTACAATACGTTAAAATGGCGGCCATTTTGAAAAATGACCGCCTTCTACCAAAAGTGTCATTAGACAGTGTGCCGTGCTTACAGTATTCACATACCAAATATGAACAAAATCGCTTCACTACTTTTCAAGTTATAGTAAAATACGTTACAATGGCGGCCATTTTTCAAATTTTTTTTCAAAATGGCCGCCTTCTTTCAAAAGTGTTATAGGACAGTGTGTCATGCTTATAGTATTCACATACCAAATATGAACAAAATCACATGACTACTTTTAGAGTTATAGTAAAATACGTTATAATGGCGGCCATTTTTCAAAGATTTTTTCAAAATGGCCGTCTTCTACCAAAAGTGTCATAGGACAGTGTGTCATGCTTACAGTATTCACATACCAAATATGAACAAAATCGCTCCACTACTTTTCGAGTTATAGTAAACATCGTTAAAATGGCGGCCATTTTTCAAAAAAAATTTCAAAATGGCCGCCTTCTACCAAAAGTGTCATAGGACAGTGTGTCATGCTTATAGTATTCACATACCAAATATGAACAAAATCGCTCCACTACTTTTTGAGTTATAGTAAAATACGTTAAAATGGTGGCCATTTTTCAAATGGCCGCCTTCTACCAAAAGTGTCTTTATGCAATGTTTATAGTATTCACATACCAAATATGAACAAAATCGCTCCACTACTTTTCGAGTGACAGCAAAAATCGTAAAATAACGAGTAAAGGCCGCCATTTTTCAAGATGGCTGCCATGTGCTTCTTTAATATCTACATTTCTAGCTTTATTAATGTCCGATTTAATTTTTTTACATCTAAAACATATTGCTATTACAGTTTTACATATTGCACCTAAATTACTGTAAATTCGGCACTAAAATGGCCGCCATTTTGAAATGAGCGACCATTTTGAAAATCGGCTTTTGAGCAGAACTTCTACCCCCATAGGGTATATGTGTACAAAATATGAACAAAATCGGGCCAACGGTATTTGAGTTATTGCCCGGACGGACGGACGTACATACGTACGGACAGACGGACGGAGGCGTTCCCTATATCCCTCCGAACTTCGTTCGATGGGATAACAATGAATGTATCACGCAACATAAACAACTATGCCATCTTTCAATGACATCGATAGAAACTTGATTTATAAAGCTTGGCAGATCTAAAATATTTTTTGATAATTTATTGTAAGCTTTGATGTGGTCTGTTTGAGCTGTTGTTGGAAACAAATGAAAGATAAGGTTCTTATCAATACATTGGACATACTATGAAATTCAAATGTAAGTCTTATTTTGCCCAAAAACATTGAAAATACGCAAAGTGGGCCTTTAACTTTCTCATTACGTATTAGGTATTCTAGTGTTAACATACCATTGCCCCTCTGTAGTAAGCTGTAGTGATAGTGCGGAACCTTTCCTGACCAGCTGTATCCCTGAAAACAGTGGTTTATTTCAGTTACACATTGGAGTGTACACAGTAGTTTACTTCATGGGATGCATAAACTCATACAGTGTATAATAATACAGTACATGCACTAATGCAAAGTTTGTTCATCATATAGGGACTAGGAGGGGTCTATCGTAAATTTTGGTGGGGAAATGGTATCTAAATAGTAAGCCTAGCAAAGAATGGTAAAATGTATAAGACATCCCGAAATCCATGTAAGACCCCTCAGATATTTTATAGACATCCTTCTATATTATGATCGAAAATAAATTCTCTCCAGAAATGAACTACTGTTAATGAAGGAACTTCCATATCCTGTAAATGGATCAAGATTTAAAGCTGAATAAGGAAATAATGAAAAATTAATGAATTCTGCTTAATCATTGAATTTTTAAGGTGCAAATCATGTATAAATGAAAGGAAATAAATCTGATGCTACATGTTGTATACATAAGTATCTTCTCAATGAGCTTAAGGGAGAGATATATTGCGTAGAGCATTTATGTCTTGAATAAAATTAACATACTAATCGTTTTTACATAGAGAAATATATGTACTCACCATATTTGTAACTTAATTTTCTTTCCTTCTAACTCTATGGTTCTTATCTTGAAATCTATTCCTGAAAACATAAAAACTTAAATTTCAAATACCTTGTCAATCTTTTATTTGTGACATTAAAAGTGAATAATATTCACTTTAAAAGTGGAGTGTGAGTGTTTCACTAAAAACTAGCAGCCATCTTGAAAATTTCCTCTTAAACCGAACAAATGAAGGCATTTTTTGATAAATAGCAGTAATTTTGTAAATTTCTTCTTGAAGAGATTTCCTTTTATCTCTAGGCATCAGCATATAACATTTGAACCAAATTCATCTACTGGTATTAGTGTTGTCGCGATTAATCGATACATCGCGATATACATCGCCAAAGCTGGTTCTGGCGATGCATCGATGTCTGAAACAAAACATCGATGTTTTTAAAAAATTTTAATTTGCTAAAAATCGCCCTTTCTTATCTTATTTTGACGCAAATTGCTTACCTTTTTTCATGTCTTATTTCATTTTCAAATGTTTTCTGATATTCTTTCGCTTTAAAACTGTTTTAGCTAGTCGAAATGAACCATTAATCTAAAAAATTACTTTACTTTCATTTCACCGTTACTATGTTCCCGGATGTACCAGCGTACTCTTATTAATTTGTTCTGTTCGATATTTTAGTGCATTAGCGTTCGGTATTTCAGTGCACTTTTCTCGAACTTTTTCTCGATGTACATCGCGATGTGCATCGATGTTTACTACTGAAAATTGCCGATGCATCGATGTACGATTATGGCACATCGCGACAACACTAACTGGTATTGAGTTATCAAAGATAACAGTTTTTTCAAAAATGGTGGCCATTTTGAAATTCAGCTGTAATCTTGTTGCAATACTAAAAATAAAAGATCTATTCGGCATATTAAGTAAGGATAGTTCATCCAATTATCATGGTAATATTTCAAAATTCAGTTTTTAGTTTACACAAAAATATGTAACTGAAGAAGGGTGGATGATATTACCAGCCTTCACTCCTCCAGCTCAATCATCTTATTAAGATTTTCAACCGCATTTTTGACACACATTCGCTATCATGTTAATAATCATCTGAAAGTTGCAGAAAGTGTCAATTTCATCATGCTTTGAAACCCAGGAGAAGGAGCATCAGAAATTGCAGTATGGGCCGGTCTAAACGTTGACGGATTGAGCTGAATTTTAGTTAGTGAATATATTGGCCTCTTATCAAAGCAGGATGGCATGTACACCATTATGTGATCAGAATTGAAGAATACAATGAGGCAATGTTGTCCACATAGGTAATTGTCAGACACTCAGTGTATGCAGTCATTAGTGTTGTCGCGATGTCCCATAATCAGACATCGATGCATCAGCAAATTTCAGGAGTAAACATCGATGAACATTGCGATGTACATCATAAAAATGTTGGAGAAAAGTCCACTAAAAGAACGTAAATGCACTAAAATACTGAACGCAACAAATAAGTAATTGCACTTCAGTACTTCCGGTAACGATGTAGGGAAAATAAAGTGAGCATTGGAGGTCATTGGTTCATCTCGGCAAGCTTAAACATTTTTAAAGTAAAAAAATATCAGACAACATTGGGAAATGAACTTAGAATGAGAAATGTAAGACATTTGCTGGGAAAAAATGGATAAGAAAAGGTTGCTTTTAGCAGATAAATTCTTTTAAAAAACATCAATGTTTTGTTTCAGACATTGATACATCGCCAGAATCACTTTTGGCAATGTAAATTGCGATGTATCGATTAATCGCGAAACCACTAGCAGTCATTTCTCCAACAATTACTTAAAGCTTTTTGCAAGGCCTGAGTGCGCCGCTAACATGCTAAATAGAAGAGTTAGCTGACGTTTGGGAGTCTGACTTACCTTCTAAAGGTTAGAACCCGAATCTTAATGAAACCATATCACCTTTGTTCCGTCAACCATGAAGCATTTGCCACAACATCCAAGAGCTAAATCATGGATCGAGAAAATGAATGATTTCCTTGTAAGTTCCGGAAGTTTCAATACAAAAAATTACCGAACATATGTGAAAACCGAATATTTGTTCGTTGTTTTCACGATTTACAGGTTCGTTTGTTCTTCAATGTTTTGGTCTAAATTATAAAGCATCACCAACAGGTCTTTCTCTATTAATCGACTAATACAGCAGACGGCTCATATTTCTACGTAGCATTTCATTCAGACCAATAGTGGGAGTGTAGATCACGCAGTTTCGTTCGTTGCGTACTTCACTTGAAATTGGTAATTTTTAATATTGACTACTTCACTTAGCTTGGCGGATGTAGAACATTGCTTAATATTCTTTTAATTTTCACACCAGACATGCTTGGTTGACACGTCAACAAAGTAAAGTTCAAGGGTCAATGCGTTATTTCGTGATAACTACAACGCCTTCCCGGAAGTCAACATTGATGAAAAATGAAAAAGTCGGAAAAGCATTTACGCTAATTTCTATCAAATGCTATGTTTATGCATCATCATCGACGCAACAAAGGTGATATAGTTTCATTAAGATTCGGGTTCTAACCTTTAGAAGGTAAGTCAGACTCCCAAACGTCAGCTAACTCTTCTATTTAGCATGTTAGCGGCGCACTCAGGCCTTGCAAAAAGCTTTACATGGAAGCCATTCCCTCCCTGTCTAAAGAATATATCTTGAGGAACATGTATTGAGCTACTGACCCTACTAAAAAAGAATCTTGCCGGCATCTATACATTATGCAGCCTCTATGAGGAGTTGGAATGACTCCATGAAATGACAGAATCATATCAAATTAAAATTTTATCAAGACTAAAGGTACTACTCTAATCATTTTTCACTAGTCTAATTCCTCGTTTTGCATTTTATTCAGCCATTTATTCAATTAGCTTTAGATCTATATTCAAAGTCTCATTACTTATGCATCCTCGAAGTTGACCTCCGAAAACAAATGTTTATTTTTTGTTAAAAATGAAAATTCAGACCGGAAGAGGAATTTTCTCAAACTTGAGACTTCGTTTTTGCACCTTTCAATAGTAATAACTCACCTATCGTTGATATAAAAGTGGAGTTGAATGCATCTTCTGAGAATCTAAATAACACACAAGTTTTACCAACACCCGAATCACCTATGAGAAGCAATTTAAACAAATAATCATAAGTTTTTGCCATTTTTGTCTGTTAGTCCGGAAACACCCTCATTAAAATGACGTCATTTCCGGGTGAATTCCATCCACGATGGCCTATGAGGGCCGGTTTATTTCAACTTCTAGAAAGTTTCTCTCGGTCCGTATAAGTTACACTTGCCCGTAGCCAGCTTTTACCAGGAAAGGGAGCTTTTTTCCAGGGGGGAGCTTTTTCACAAAGTTGGCTAAAAATTCTCAGAATGGTGAAAAACTGCATGATTTTGAAAGAATTTCTGGCCAGGGGGGAGCTTCCCCTCCCCCAGCTCCCCTCTGGCTACGGGCCTGTTACACATACATAAATTTAGCAAGGAATGCATTAATCTGTTATGATCTGATTCTGAGATGCTAATGCATGGTTTTTATTTTGTCGAACCTTGCCTAACCCTTGCAAAAAGCTATGTCTTATCTTGTCTAAAAGAAATAGAAATCTATGTGAAATGAATATTTAACCACACGACTAAATTTGTCAATGAATTATCTTTAATCTGGCAGAGCTAGAAGGGGGATGTCTAAACGGAATACAAGAAGTTGACCGTACCCAAGCAAAAAGGATCCGTAGTAACTTTGATCGGCTTTAAATTTGCCGCGGAAAAATGTCTCTGATCTAGAACGGGAAACCCCAACTACTTCCGGTCCTTTTTCTACTGATAAAAAATCAGACATCATGCCTGTAAGTATTACAAACTTTATATCACTATTACTTTGTGAATAATTGAGGGTTTACATTCAAAGAAACGTTATTGTCAACGTGAAAATGTATTCTGTCTGACCATATATCTATTTCATACATCGAGTGTCGGACAAGTAAGTATTTTGTAGATGATCACAGTGTTGTAAATTCTTTTCTGACCGAACATGCCAACTGGTTTATGGTGCAGCTGTTCTTCGTTTATTTCACGAGTCTGAGCATTGTTGACTTGTATATATCAAGATTTGTTTATGTTCCCCCTCAGCCACCTCACGGCATTATTGAGTTTTGCTATGTTAGATGTAAAAGTAAATGAAAATAAAAAATCGTGGAATAATTTCAGGCATCCATTTTTGGTCACGTGACTATGTAATGTTTATAAAAATTACAAGTTTCAAGTAGTTGTGCAATCATTGATTGAATATAATATTAGCATTGATGAGTTGCACAAGTAATTCATAAGTTCAGAATAGTGGTATTGCAGCAAATCCGAGAAATATGCCGGTAAACTACTTCATCATCTTCATGGATTATATATTTTGATGTTTACATTTTACAAAGTAAATTATGAAAAGAGTAGCATTTATTACTGGGACAATGGTAAATCCTATATTACTCAAGTCTCTAGCCAATACTTGGCTAGAGGGGATTTCATCTGGAATACTGTGAACTCCATTTGAAAAAAGCTGGCCGTGGTGTCATAAATTTATTGAATATTTTAAAAATCGCCAAAACGGACCCGACTCGGCTCCTTGATGAGATATGACATGATTTCATCAGGATTTCGTTTAAAATTAAAACAAAATGGCTCCAAGAAAAATGGCGATGTTCAAAAACTGGACGAAATGTCATTAACGTCTGACATTAGTAACTGGCTGTAAATTCTAAGTTAGCGATCCAGAAGATGTGAACTAATACACTGATCACTTTATGTGTGTTTTGGAATTTTTGGTGAGGTTATAAGACCAAAACTCGCAATTCAAATTGTGATGTGGAAAAATGGCGGACATATGATTTCAAATTTTATGATTACGACATGACCAGTTGTTCATGCAGGATTTACAGGCGGCCTTTATTACTGGATTTGATTCAAAAGAAGACATTAAATGTGACAATTATATTTTTATTTACATCAAGATATGCGAATTGTCTCCTCAATGAATTCATTTACTGGATTTGATTAAAAGTACATAGGGTATACAGTTGGGAACAAAAATAAATGACATTGTATATTTTACATTTTGTATAATCTCATCCACTGATGTATGGCCTCTTGAAAATTCTCTTATTTTTAAGATGGGAAATCCTCACTTCAGCAAATCCACCTGTCATTTATTTATGTTCCAAACTGTTTATGTATAGATGTAAACCTCCTATTCTAATTATTATTTCTTCTGTTTCAGTTGGCTAGAGATTTACTGCACCCTTCTCTTGAAGAAGAAAAGCGCATGTGTAAGCTTAAAAGGCTTGTACAAAGTCCTAACTCTTATTTCATGGATGTAAAGTGCCCAGGTAAGAATTCATCTTTCTAATTAGGGTATGTGTCAATATATCAACAGTTGTGCATTAATGCGCCTCTGGGTCTTTATGTATATGTCTGATGTCACTGGCCCAGATAGTGTAAGATCAAATTCTGATAGTCAAAGCCCTACCTATGTTGTGAATACTGGTTTTATAAGTGCATACACAACATAGATTGATGTGACTTATATATATTTATCTGTGTTAAGACATTTGAACGTTTTATTTGGAAAAAATTATGTAAATTACCGAGAATGGTATCTTCCAGTCAAATTGCACACACAATCATCATTACATTTCCTTGATAAATTTGGCCTTGAAAAAATAAGAAATCTATAACATTCACGTGTCTATTTACTTACCAGTATGTGATAGGTCCTTTGACATAAATAGTGGAATGTTTGCTTGATGAATATATTGTTATATTATGAGGTCTTGAACAATATATACATATTCAAACTAAGAAAGTTGAGTCAACAGATCATTTAAAGGAAGGGAGGGGTAAAGGAAAAAAATAAGATTCATGCAGTGGACATTGAACAATCAAGTTTTCTCACATGCTTTGTTTTAGAAAACCATTATATCTATCCACTACTAAATATTAGCTGATATTAAAGAAATGCAGCTGGTGAAATGTTATGATCTCATGATTTTATCCATCAGTATGCCCATCATCTGACTGTTAAACATGCACATACTGACATATAATTACATGTTATCTCATAATAATTGAGTAACTTTGTCAAAGTTTATCATAGTTTTAAAATCAAAGTCCAAAGTTGAAGAGTTTATGTTTTTATTTATAAATAATATAAATGTTTTCTTATTTCTAGGTTGCTACAAAATCACAACAGTTTTTAGCCACGCCCAGACTGTTGTTCTATGTGTAGGCTGTTCTACTGTACTGTGTCAGCCAACTGGAGGCAAAGCCAGACTCACAGAAGGTAAGTCATTTTGTGAAGAATTAAAATGATGCTCACATATCGGTTTATTTATTATTTACAAGGCATCTTGGTTTGATTGTGAGAAGATTGTAGCTTGAATACAGAATATTTGATTATTTGTTTAATTTTGTGGTAGTCAAATCTAGATAGACATGACCTCCAAAGTAAGTAAAAGTACCAATGGGAACCAAAATTATCCCAGCTAATAGATTGTCTCTTGAATGAAATGTAAACACATTTTGTATTTGACTGGATAAATGCAGAGCAGAGCCTTAGCTTGGTTTTACTCGATTGAGCACTTGGCAAACGATTGAGTACTTGGCAAATGATTGAGCACTTGGCAAACGATTGAGAACTTGGCAAGTCCAAAGATGAATTTGACATTCAATATTTCACTGTGAAAATGATCCAATTGATAATACTCAATTCTTACTGCCCATTACCGATATTAATATGTATATAATCATTGTTTAATCTCAAACGATTGTGCATGTGTATTTCCAGGTTGTTCATTCAGAAGGAAGCAACACTAAAGTTTTGGTGGTGGGTTACAGCAGAGACACTTCATACTATTGCACCAATTATAATGGGACTTTTAACATCATGAAGGCTTTTACCAGGTGGCCTTGGATATTGAACGAAAATTAAAAGTAATGTAAATTATTTGCATTCAATATGCTGTGAATAAATGCTATACCAACTACCTGGAATATGGAGTTCTGTGAAATAACAGTGTTGTTGTTATGAAAGATTAGAAGCAGAAGTTCAATATGTTTTTATGTCCCCACCAAAAATGGTGACATATTGCTTTAGTCTCCAATTTTCTGTGGAAGGTGATGGTTGGTGCCTGGCAGTTACCAGTTGTAACAAATGGTAGGTGGTGACATTTTGCAGGTTAATGCCTTGCTTCATTATGTCACATCCAAATGATGGTGACGTACTGGTATTACAATGGGGTAACATTTACATAATTTTCCATGATATTTGAAAAGGGTGGTTTTACATTTTGCTTTTTGGCAGTAGTAATGGTTAAGTCTTACCGAGTGACAGAAATAAAACTTAATCTTAAAAGGACTTCAAAACGGATTTCATTATTCAATTTCAATTGATCATAAAATTATCTTCGTGTATTAAATGTTATACTTCTCCATGACATAAATTTGTCCTTGAGCAATTTTACATTTTCACTAGAAATTGATAAAAATAAGATAAGAAAAGCATCAAGAAGATTTAAAAGTATGCCTTCATGTATATCAAATTGTTGGTTATTCAGCAAATGAAGGAATTAGAAGAAATTGCCATTTTTGAAATGATTGCCTTATCTTGGAAATATAAGATTTAGTTTCTTATGACCTGGAATGTAAAGTTACTCTCTAATCTTTGGTGCCTCCTAAAAAGCATCCTCCGATCACAGGGCTTCAAAATCCAGAATATATTCTTTCTTTTTACCCCCTGCAATAAGCAGTTAGCATTTCCCCGATTAAGAACTCGCAATCTGATTGGCTGTTGCAACACTGCGACAGAAATCATGTATAAGTCATTGCGCATAATTAGATCACGTGATTCAGTTTAATCGGCGCTTCCAAATTGGTTATAGCAGGGGGAAGAAGGAGGTAAGGATTCTGGATACCTGCTTAGGAGGATGCCTAAAAAGGGAAGCATTGGAATGAGGATTGTTTTTACCAAATATTATTTGAAAGGTCCTTTAAAACTATGGAAACCATACAATAGCCCTTTCACTTCAAGTTGGCACAGGCATAATTGACCAACAGCGAAGCAATGTCTACTAACAGCAATGCCTAATCCTGGGTGCCTAAATGTAACATTACACCAGTAAAAAGACATGACAATATACTAGATGTGAGAAGAAACAATCTTGATTTACGTCTTAAAAAGTTTCAAAATTCAGTCAAAGGACATCATACTTGAAACCTACATGTAAAATTACATCTAGAAATATAGTTGTTTATCAACTTTGAAAATTTAATTTTCTTTGAAAATGTGACTTCATGGTCAGGAAGATTCCCCATAAACCCCGTGTTAAAAATCACAAAAAGTGAAATATCTTCTTGATTGGATAGATAATATTTTGCTTTATCTGTTAATTGGACATATTTTAATTTATATAACTATCAAATAAGGTTATATGAAAAATGAACCCACTAAAACATGAGTATTGATACCTGCCATGTTATCTGACCTGACTGTGCCACCTGGTGGTGAAACTGGTAACTATCTACTTGCATCTGGGTCACTGAATTGCAATAGGGAATCCTTTCTGATTTATTACTATCCAATGCAAAAGTCAACATTTTTCGATATAAGTCTATATTTCAAATAAATCATGTTTTTATTATGTGTACTGTTAATGACATCTGATAAAACAAATTGCCATATTGTTTGTTAAGTCATAAGAATGAATGAAAAGGAAGAGGAATCCAGTCAATGTCAGTTAGCAGTATAAAGTGATGGATATACCTGAATATTGACCAATGAACAATGAGTGTCTTAGGGTCCATGCATTATGGGAAATATCCCACTCTAGTCTAACTACAATTTCAAAACATAAATTGAACATTATTTCATACAAAACAGGTCAACATAAATTGTACATTATTTCATAGACAACAGGTCAAAGGAATATATTATTGGATAACACCTTGATGCTACATACATTATGATGAATTTCATGTGGTCAATTTTGTTATTAAGTAAGTATAATACTTAAGCATTTTTTAGTATTCTTAGGGGTAGACTGTATGTATATCTGTTTATTTTTCCAGTTGATAACTAACTCAAATAGTATGCTGGACCCTTTAGGGGTATTGTTCAAAGAATTTTTTAAATACATTTTCAATATGGTCACCCAATTCAAAATGATTTCCATTTCTGTAACTTTACCAACTAGGGTCATATTTAGATATGTTCTCTATTCAATTCTATTCAAAATGGGAGGAAACAAATAAAATTATATAATCTTATAGTCACATGATTTTCATCGAGTGCATCTTACAAGGTACTAGCATTTGGTTGGTGTCTAATGTTGAGGCCAAAAAGTCTAAAAAGGAAGGATGCATTTCCAATGGAGACATTAACAATTTCAAAGCTGACATCCACACTGAGTTTGATGCATTAAAGAATGATGTATCTGAGTTGAAGGAAGATGTGGCAAGGATTGCAGCTTACATTGGAGAGAAGGACCATCAGAATGAGTTAAAAGAATTGAGGAAAGATGTGAACGATATGAAAGAAAGGATGATGAAGGGGATGGAAGAGCTACTGACTTGTGTGAATATAGGTCTGTACTACAGTACTATGTAACATCTCTGTACTTTTCAAGACTTTCCAGAATTTATGCTATGTTATCCCATTACCTGATTACCAGGCCTTCAGACATTTTACAATTAATACTTATATTCATACGGGTAATTGAATGTTGCATCACTGATGAAAGAATCATTGAGATTGGTCAATAAGAAGCATCTGTGTAAAAAAGCGTCCATTACTTATTGTTATACATAAAGATGTACTTAATTTTAATATCTCTCTCATGAACCAAAGATGAAGAAGGAACATGTTTGTCAAATTCACTTTTTCTTTATCATTATTGCTTGAATAGTAGGAAGGATTGTAATTGTAAAATAGTAAAGAGTTCAGAGAGTTGTGCAATGTTTTTAAAATGTTGCCTATGTTTTTTTTCTTTGTCAATGTATGTTAAAATTATGGGTGATCTAAGTATACAATTTGCTTTATATGTGTTATAAATAAAGAAGTTTTATTCACTTTTCAGGCACAGGCCAAGTGATGTGGGGAGACTGGAACGACTGGAGCTTGTGTGACAAGAATCTATGTAACATAATTCATAGAGAGAGACTTTGTTTGAGTGAAGGAGGTAGGGCGCTGGACCCCTCACATTGTAGCAAACTTGCTGGTGAACATATCCAATCAAAACAATGCTGTAAAGGTATTGCAAAATAATATACTTACACACACATGGGTAGGATCCAATGAATATAATCCCTTTTTATAACCATGCATGTGTTACTTTTTCATGACATTATGGATAAACATTTTATCAGCAGCGTATCATATCATCATGATATACCATCATGCCATGGCTATTTTTGTAACAAAATCAGAATGGCATCACATGGTATATCAGATAATATAATCATTTGGAAACTGTTCATGATTGACAATGTATGTATCACTAGCAATGATAAAGCTGAAGAGGGAGATGATGGTCACAGCATATTACAATTATGTTTGTCTAATTTCATTACACAATATCATGTCTACCTCAAGTATATTTGATGGTTGTGTTAACTTACTACAGAACTCCAGGGGATTGACAAGAAAACATTCTATGAGAATATATACAAGAAAACTGATGATCCACTTCCTAGCGTGTATGTGAAGGCTACAGGCTCTAATGTTAAAGTATATGAGAGAAAAAAGCTATCCTGGGTTGTATCTCTGAAGTTTATGAAGACATCACCAAATGGAAAATCGGAACATATCTGTGGAGGTGTCATTCTGAGTAACATATGGGTTATCACAGCTGCTCATTGTATTTGTGATAAATACACTGCTTGCTGTGATGAAGAAAACAAAGTCATGTGGGTACAAATTAAATGATTGATGTGTGCACAATTAAGTTACGTAGGTACAATGCAAATATGTATAATGCTCTGTTCACCGAAATCTTCATGAACCTTGATCTTAATACTAGATTGTGTTTCTTATTGGAGCAGAGACCTCAGAAAACCCATTTTGCGATCCATCCAGTAAATATATCATATGAATGTATATTTAGATGCAATATGAGCAAGTGGAAGATCACAGCCGGTGAATGGAGGTTGGGTGCCACTAGTAAAACAGAACAGCACAGAGATGTGGAACACATAGTTGTACATAATCAGTTTTCCGATGAGCTCAACTACAGAATGGACATAGCACTTATCAAACTGAGCTCCAGTTTAGACTTCATGGACAACCCATATGTTCAGCCCAGCCTTCTTCCTGCTAGGAGCTGTCGAAGAGCCTCTGGTGGGAAATGCATAGAGACTCACAAAGATTGGGCTCAGCAGGTTGATTGCTTTACAACTGGTTGGGGAGTAGGTATGTGTATGTTATGGTCAGATGGATCTTACATTACTCGTTTCTCAGTGATATAACAACATAGGGATGATAGATACAATGAATTGAATGTTCACAAACCTGTATCCTGTGTACAAAATAAGTGGAACACTGGGGAAAAGTACAAAAGTAATAATGCAATCCTTATATCTACTTCTGTACCACTGTTATTATATCTCAAAGTAATTTTCATAATATGAATATGTATAATGCTAAGAAAAGTACTATAAAACTATAACAAGAAATAACATACACTTTAGTACTAAGTACAGTATACATGATAACTTTTTGTGTCTCCATTGTCAAGGTAACAAAGGTCAGGTACAAGACAAAGGCCATACTGTCAAGGTGAGGATTAAGGACTATGTTTCACAAAATACTGTCATTGGATCAGAGAGAATACGTGGTGAGAAAATAGTTTGTTTGGTAAGTAGGCCTTGATATTTACTCCACATATTTATTTTAAAATGAATAATAACACATTAAGTAGATCAGTCTAATTTACAGTAGAAAGATTAATAGCCCCTTTAGCAAAACAAGGTATTTGCATCTGTAAAGTATTTACTTATGATATGTTTTATAATTTACTCATCTAGGATGTTTGTTAGCGATATAGAGTATTTATTTATATCAGGATTTATATCCATATTTCATAGATAGATGATGAAGATGAAACCCAGGCTTTATATACATACATATTTTCAATTCAATATTAAAAACATAAATGTTAGGAAAAAATCCTTAATGAAGCAGATGAGAATCATGAGAATGAGATGAGAATCATAATTTCAGAATGAAAATCTCCACTTTTAAAATAAAATTCTGATTGATTAGGGATACAGTGGAAGCCCATTGATGTGCAACATCAACACAACGGCAATGGAGTTCATTCCTCCACAGGATATGGTGGTACTTGGGCTGAACAGTCTCATATATCCATCTGGATGTGACAAACAGGCAAAGAACTACACACAAACAGATCTTATCTACCACATGGAGTGGATCTCAGACACTGTAATGGGTATTAACATCCAAAATGTCACCACCTACCAATTGTTGAAGACACCAACTGTCGAATGCCAGACACCAAACACCAGCTGCCGAACACCATCCAAAAAAGTCGGAGGCTATAACACTATGTCACCATTTGTCATGGTGACATAAAAATTGGCAAAAATTTCTGTCAAATTCATTTTGAACATCCCTATTCCAGTTTTCAATGTGAAAAACTGCTCCATCATTTCAGAAATTGGCATGCATCTCTGATGTCAAAATTGGCATACATTTCTGCCACATAAAAATAGAACATGTCTATCGCCATAGCTATGCCATATTAAAATTGACATACATATCTACAACAAAATTGGCATACATTTCATGACATTAAAGATTGTCATCTCTGTAAAAAATTGGCATGGATCTCTGATAAGTCACAAGCAAACCCATAAACCTGTAACATTGAAAGTGCAATAAATCTCTCCCAAATAATGTCTCAACCAAACTTTTGTTTCATTTAATTGCAGATTGGATCCCATGGGGCTCATGGAGTAAATGTTCAAAAGGAAACAAGAGACATCGGTTAAGATCTGGATTTTTTCCTGAATATGGCTACCTGCAGGGTGATGGGCCACTATACCAGAATTACAATGGGGACCGTTTTAAGATTGATGAGGCCAGTTGTGAAGGTACTCTGAATTCTTAATTAACACTGAGGTACCACAATGTGCCTTGTCTGTCTTGCAAGCTATAAAGTGTAGAAGTTTAACCTGAATATGAACCTTGCAATAGCAAAACAATATGAGAGTCACATCTTTAAGCTTTTTCATAACATGTGAAACTATTTATCTCCAGGTTCAACTACAACTGGCTCAGTCACAGTAGCTCCAACCATGGCTTCAACTACAACAGTGCCTTCAACAACAATGGAAGGTAGTTTTAAAATAAAGAAAATATGAATTGATTTCATTTCAAGTCTCTATCTAGTCTGAGCTAGTTGTCAGTGCCTAACTTTTAAAATACTCTCAAATCCTTAATTCAGATGAAGTTTCAAATGAAAAGCATACTATAGCCTACAACTAGCTCACAGTGCTCCAATAAATGTCTCTTACAAGGCCTTTCCTCCATTTTTTTCAGGGATTGCGCTAAACTGAGCACACAAACTAAAATTGTAATTCGATTTCAGACCCCTTAGCTCCCTACACTGCAAGGATAGGCGATTGTCAGGGCAATGACTTAGATGGAGGATTCAACGCAACCTTACATGAATGTGCCCAACTGTGCACCAGAAAGGGACAATGTGTTGGATTTGTTTACAATAGAAATCCAATATTTAATGAAGAATGCTGGCTGAAACAAAAGACTTGTCTAACACCAACTATTACACGGTTTCCAAACACAATGGTGTATGATAAAACACTTGTTATACTGGAGCAAACTTAAAAGGATGCATTTACAGAAGAGTTCTTAAAGATGAATATTCCAAAGTCTGTTGTCCTCTTATTACAAGGTCATGATTTCCATGGCTACAACAATGGATTTAGGAATATTCATCCGCTAAGAACTGACAAATTTGCTGGTGATGTACATCAGGTTGACAAGATGTTTCACAATTTGAAAACAGGTCATAAAAATAATTATTAAACGGCAACTCCACAGAGTAGCAAATCCCAACAAACAAAATATTCATGATTCCATAAATCTGTGCAAATTATTTTCCTGAAATCATTTATTACAATATAAGGCCTACTTCAAATTGAATTGATATTCTATTGTATGACAGTAATAAAAGACAAATAAATAAGTATTTCTGTTTATGAATGAAAACAAACAAATATTAACTTGAGTTTGATAGTTTATTACAATTTTCTTTTACTACACACACCTAGTTTTCCAGCAGCACTCAAGTAAAACATTTCAAATATATTATTCTATCATTCAGTCTATTACCCTATCAAATCACTGTGAATATAAAACAATCATATCCACAATTTTACTATTCTAGTATCCATAGCAATAATGTTACATGACTATATTGTTCTGTATGCTCGAGTAAGAAATATTGTGCGTAAATGGTACATTTTATCAATATAATGTATATAGTTTTCATTTCAATAAAATTAAAACTTAAACAAAAACAATTTTATCAAATAGACACATTCAGCTTACATTTCAGCAATCCAATCATGGATGGTCAAAATTATTACATAATGCAAATATAAATGCATTCAACAAAGCAGAATGTTTATCACATGGGGGTCTGGCCATTTGCGAACCTTAAGTAATCATGCTAAAAATACATTTCATATTACATTCTATAAAGTCACTGCATATAGTTTGAACAATAAGTTACAATTTAATGTTTGCCGTATTTGGCAAACTTTACTTCTATAATTAATACATATAAACTGTACAAGAAGTGGGTACATTACTACAGATTTGTACTGAATCAAGGTTTATCTGAACAAACAAGAAATATCCTCACTTCTACATTTTAACAGGAAATAATTAATATATTAAATATTCATTTTTCAAATTGAATAATGACTGAATCTTCAAAAATGGAATGTTGTATCAAAATGTTTGATGCATTGATATCCGTTTGTCATGGGCCATGATATAATGAAACTATGGTAAAGTATAGAACACTATTGGGCAGGGCACAATACTCTGAATTCTTGGACAGAGAGATACACATAAATAACAATACTAGAAAAACAGCAACTCCACGGAGTAGCAAATCCCACCGAACAAAACATATTATGCTTATTATAGCTAGTGTAAATGTTGAAATGGTTGTGCACTTTGTGATAGAAGCATGAAATTTGGTTCAAAGTTGATTTATACCATTGTGAACTAGGCATCATCATATAAAATTTGAACCAAATCTGTTCACTGGTATATGAGTTATCAAAGATTACGTTTTTTACGAAAATTGGCCGCCATCTTGGAATTCAGCCGCCATCTTGAAAATTATTTCTTGAACAGAGCTACTGTGTCCATAGGCATAAGCATATAAAATTTCAACCAAATCTGTTCACTGGTATTTGAGTTATCAAAGATTACGTTTTTTCCGAAAAATTGTCGCCATTTTGAAATTAAGCGGCCATCTTGAAAAATTTTTGTCGAACATAGCTACTGTGTCCCTAAGCATCATCATATAAAATTTGAACCAAATCCGTTCACTGGTATTTGAGTTATCAAAGATTACATATTTTTACGAATAAGTGGCCATCTTGAAAATCTATTTTTGTGCTAAACTCCTTTGTCCCTAGGCATCAGCATATAAAATTTGAACCAAATCCGTTCACTGATATATGAGAAATCAAAGATTACGTTTTTTACGAAAATTGAGGCCCATCTTGTAATTCAGCTGCCATCTTGAAAATTATTTCTTGAACAGAGCTACTGTGTCCCTAGGCATAATCATATAAAATTTCAACCAAATCTGTTCACTGGTATTTGAGTTATCAAAGATTACGTTTTTTATGAAGAATTGTCGCCATTTTAAAATTAAGCGGCCATCTCGAAAAATTTTTGTCAAACATAGCTACTGTGTCCCTAAGCATCATCATATAAAATTTGAACCAAATCCGTTCACTGGTATTTGAGTTATCAAAGATTACATATTTTTACGAAAAATGGCCGCCATTTTGAAATTAAGTGGCCATCTTGAAAATCTATTTTTGTGCGAAACTCCTTTGTCCCTAGGCATCAGCATATAAAATTTGAACCAAATCTGTTCACTGGTATATGAGTTATCAAAGATTACGTTTTTTATGAAAATTGGCGGCCATCTTAAAATTCAGCCGCCATCTTGAAAATCATTTCTTGAACAGAGCTACTGTGTCCCTAGGCATAATCATATAAAATTTCAACCAAATCTGTTAAATGGTATTTGAGTTATCAAAGATTACGTTTTTTACGAAAAATTGCCGCCATTTTGAAATTAAGCGGCCATCTTGAAATTTTTTTGTCGAACATAGCCACTGTGTCCCTAAGCATCATCATATAAAATTTGAACCAAATCTGTTCACTGGTATTTGAGTTATCAAAGATAACATATTTTTACGAAAAATGGCCACCATTTTGAAATTAAGCGGCCATCTTGAAAATCTCTTTTTGAGCGAAACTCTTTTGTCCCTAGGCATCAGCATTCAAAATTTGAACCAAATCCGCAAACTAGTATTTGAGTTATTAAAGATTACATTTTTTACGAAAAATGGCGGCCATTTTGAATTCAGAGGCCATATTGAAAATTCCTTCTCGAGCAGAGGTCCTACACCCATAAGGCATAAGCCTATAAAATTTGAATCAAATCCGTGAAACGGTATTTGAGTTATCGCCCGGACAAACAGACGGACGGACGGCTTTCCTATATCCCTCTTGAACTTCGTTAGGTGGGATAATTACAAGCATTGTGCTAAAAATTTCTGTATACATAAAATTTGGCACATCCACTGTGACATGTTCATCGAAGCATCTGTATATTGTGAAAAATGTACATTGTGACATGTGTCCATTGTGACATTTGTCCACTGTGACACATGTCAGGTTAAGTTGTTGAAGCTTGAGTGTCCATTGTGGAGAGAATGTTGGCCACTTCTTGTCTCTGGTTAGGAGATATATGTTGTGTTATATGCACTATAGAGTCCATTGCTACATCAGGATTGTCCCGAACCAGCCTGAAAACGGAGAAAATTATCATATAGCAAAACAATCTAATACTGTATGTAACACACTATATAAGGTTAACAAAAACAGAAAAAATATATGTTGTCATACATGTTGAGCAAAACATTGAAAACAAGTATATGATCATTTGAAATACATATACTGTATATGTTAATTGTTTTTAGCAGCCACTATTTGATTTTATATTTATCATGTGAAAATCATTTAATTCACAAAGGCATTTTGCCTCTTCAAAACGAATAGCCCCAGAGGAAGAGAAAAATATGGACGATTTTGAAAAAATAACTGCATTACAGATTATGACATGTATTTCAAAAAATAATCTCACATTAACTCGATTTTTATATAGTATAATTTCTTCACAACAGACAGGTACATTCTGTTGACAATCTCCCAAATTGTTTCCACTTCTCATAATGAAATGGGTCATACCTTCTTATTTGCTGCAGCACATTGTCCCTCTTCAGGAATTTGATGTTCTCATGTATGACTGACTGGTCTTCTGGTAATGTTAGCTGTGTATCCAACCAGTCCACAACAGCTCGGTTGTCCTCCCAGAGGTAGGCCTGAAAGCATGCAATTCAAACATTAATATAAAATATAGAAGTCATCTAGTAATGTTCTCCAATACATGTTAAATCTAAACACAAATTATTGGCACATTTTATGATATTAGTGTATGAGTTTGACTTTGCCCACCAATGTCATCAAATAATGTTATTGAGCTTAATGCTTGTGGAACATCCGAATCACACATGATGATTTATGATTTACTTATGAGTTACACATAAGGTGTACTTACATTGGCTGATCCCTGTGCTTCCAGGAACCAACGACTCAACATTGATTTTATTTGAGCATCAGTCAGTTCCTTGTTGCCCTTGGTTACCATGGCCTTCACACGGGCTTCTAGTAACAGGCGTCTTAACCTCCAGTAGAAAAATGTCCTACTTGTCTTCCATTCTAATATACCCTGAAGAGACAATACAACTTTTGTATATCAAATTATTTTCCACCAATAATATACCCTGGTTATCTTTAATTCTTGAATTTTTAGATTTCTGCATCTGTTATCAAAATTTTTACCATAGATCTCTTTGATATCTTTTATCTGTATATTTGGAATGGTATAAGACACATCAGGTAAAAAGCTTGGGTATTGATTGCAATGCAAATACACATCACTGCTTCTAGCTTTAGTTTAATCATTTAAATTACATTATCTTATCATTTTAAACAATGTTTGTATTATTGTATCTTATGTTACAAGTTCTTACTGAGATCACTCCTTTTTCCAACATGCGTCCCGCTCTGTCATGTAAATCTGCAAAATGCACTGCCACCTGGTGGTATACTGGTAACAATAGTTCTTCACGAGCCTTGATTTGTTTCTTTATAGTTGCCTTGGTTTCTGAAGCTATATCTTCAGTGTTAAGCTGCTTACTCAACTTGATGATGTCAGGGTCAATCCTGTGCATTGATTTTAGCAGATCTCTTTTTTTGAATTTTATCTCTACTGTGCCCTCTGCCTCAAGCACACCTCCCCTAGAAATAAATGATCATTCCTTCACATATCTATTTTCTAAAAATCTCCAAAGTGAATACTTTATTCCAGGAAAACTAAAGATTTTTATAACAATGTATTATTTTTCTATAAATATGGTCACCATTTTTATTATTTGGAAGAATTTTAAGAACATTTTCTCCCAATTTTGCACTTTGAATCTTCAATTACTTCACGAATTTGTACCACATTACACATCTTTTGGGAGTCATTGTGTTAAGGAATGCATTGGTAGGTCAAATGTCCAAGTTGCTTGCAAGTTTATCACCCCTATAGATCTGATTCTGCCTTTAAATCTGAGGTAATGTTGAAGATATTCATACATATTAAAATAAATCAGTGTACATGTCATTCTCATATGTAAACTCTCTAAAATCTGAGAATCGCTATTGTCCTACCTGCATTCTCTGTCTGCGTACATCTCCATCTTGTTCTGGTTGATTGTAGGGTCTACAACCACCCAGGCCCCACCTCTCAACTCTGCATAGGGTGGCAGGTAGATGAGGATTGGTTGTTTGAATTCACGTAGAGCATCGACAATATATGAACCAAACTTCAACACTTGGTCATACATATCTAAAAGCATAAAATAAAACATTAAATAAATTCATCTATTATCAACCAATCAAGTAAGAGCACTGATTTCCATTTTATTTTTCAGGGATTTCTTTTCAATATTATACAAGTGTCCAAAATTTTGCACAATACTTTCACTTCATTCACAAATAAGATGTTTTAAACAATCATGCCTCCAGAAAACCCAAGTTATCATTGTGCATCATAAGAGTTCCTCAAAAAGTCTCCTACCTTTCATGCCTCCAGAGAAACCTCGCCAGTTAGCAAAGATCATAAGAGGAAGCTGTTCACGGTCAAAGTCCTTGATAGCCTGAGCCGTCTTGTAGGCAGAGTCTGGGAACCACACCTGTCCTGCCTGCTGTATCAGCTTGGCCTGTGAGTCATAGTTGGCAGGGTCGGCAGGGTTGGTGACATCAACTGTACGTGTCTCTACTGCTATTACACCTAGAGGAATACCACCTAGTCTGGAATCAAAAATAAACATTTTTTAAAAATGTCACAAAAATGTATTCTTGATTTTCTGTTTTTTTGTCAAAACCTACTTTACAAATATGTGTACTGTTCAACCCAGAGATGAATACATGTATTTCACATTATTTTTAATTCAATTCAAGTAAACACACAAATGATGTTTGAAATATTCTGAATACCTACTAACATACTCTTTTGTCTAACTTTTATCCAGTGAAATATCAACTAGGCAACTACATGTAGTATACATACCTTGCTCTACCAGCCACCACTGTTTGTGCCCAGGGCTGGAGAATCTCATCAAAAGAACGATGATCAAAGAAACCAGACTGCCATGCACCACTCTCTACAATGAAACACATACAAATTTAAGCCACTATTTCAGTAATTAATAATTATAGACCTCAATGATCTATTAAGATTACATAAACCAAGGACTTCCTATCAATCTGAAAAGTTAGCATGTCGAGATACTTAGTAAAGTTGAATTTTGAATTTTTCCTTACAAATTCAACTTGTTTTCTGGACTAGCAAAAACTTGTTTTAAACTGTGCTGCAAGCCATCCAAAATTCAGAAGAATTACATGTATATCAGAAACAATTTTGAAATTTTGTTTTGATGACAAATAATTTGAATGAACTAACCTGGGTGTTTCCTACCAGCCAACATAAATCTTGGATCATAGGGAGCTTTGGTTGGAGTGAACTCTATCTCTCGTTCTACAGGATCAATGCTGTTCATTATGGGTAAGGGGCCATCTTTACACTGTAATATAACAACTATTATTAGGCAAATACAGGAACCATTTCATTATTCATCTTTGTCAGATAAAACCACAAAAATCTAGAAAATCTAAATAATTGACCATAATTTCATTTCAAGCATACCTTAGGCATATATGAGAGCCAGTTCAGTATCTTATAGATTCCAGTGTAATCATCACGTGATATATCATGTGAGACACCATTATTATGCATGATCTGTACTCCTCCTAACTGGTTATCACTTGTGTACACCTCCCGTCCAAGCACCTAAAATCAAACAATATACAATCAGAAAACTGATTTTTTGATTGCCATGCTGATATGCATTTTCTCAGTCCAACAACAGGTTAAGTTGATATGATTTTATTTTGCTTTTAAGTAAGTAAATAAAGGATGAACCTCTTTAAAGTTTCTGAGACAAAAACTTACCATGGTCTACAACTCTACACTCTGACATTCATTTAGCAGTTTGGAATCCAACCAATCAGAGAGCACCACATAGCAACATTAATAAGTTTAAATAAACAGGTGCATTGGTTATCATCTTTGAGAGACAACACAGCCATTTTGTTCAGAGGTATCATCAATTTAAAGAGTGTGTGGCTGCAAAGTGAAATAGTCAAGCTTACCTTGTTAAGTGCCCTGAATCCAGTGAGAATGATATTGGATGTCTCCACTTGTATGACCCTTTGGCCCAGTCTGACTAGATAAGATCCAATTCCTATTGCTCGACATGTCACCTGATGAAAAATAAGTGACATTTTTATGTAAAATTCAAATCAAGAATGAGAACACATGCTCCTGCATGAAGTCTTCCCTCTGTACCCCTTGTTAGGGTGAGTTATGTACGGGGGTCACATGGGCTTGAAGCAAGACTACGAAACACAAAAATTATCTTTTATATACACAGAGGAAGCATCACTTCAGTGAAATACAGTTAGGACTAGATATCCTTTAGAAGATATACTTCGTGTTAGTATATTTAAGATTTCAGAGAAATCAAGCGTTTACTTTGGATTAAAATTTGACAACTTACTCTCTGCACAGTATTAGGCAATTGGTGGCTAAAATTGTTTCTAATGGATAATGAATGGTTTTTACAGAACTTTTACAGAATATACAAGATTAGGTAAAAATTACCAGATTAATAGTGATGATGTCATTATAAGCCTGGGAGGTCTCGCCAGCGATCATCCCAGATCCTCGTAAATTTTCAACTCCTAAACCATCATCTTGACCTAAAAATACACAATGGGGAATATTTTCTCTAGACAAGCATGAAAAATTCATACCAAAGTCACATAAGGTTTAAAATCAGGATAGCTGAATAAAAGTAGCTAATTACTAAAGAACTGAAACAAGTATATGAAGAAAACCTTAGATATGCAATCTATCAGAAACTTTTGATTGGAAGTTACAATGTCTGTAATGAAATTTTAGGAAAGAGAGCTCACTGTACTTACCAATGATGTCAGTGATTCTGTATCTTGATTCACCATCTTCCTCTACCAGTTCAGTCTTAACTGATGACATCACTTTCTTAAAGTCATCAGGTGTCAGGTAAATGTACTTGAATCCCTGATAATCAAAGATGATAAATGTAAAAGTACTTATCCCAAGATAAATTGGAATGCTTTTTTTAGACATTTTGGACTTCTTTTATGAGCCCTGTAACACAAAGAAGTAATTTTACCCATGTGTAAAATTAGTAAGAATGAATGACGAAGTAAGAGTTTAATAGCAGAAATTCATGGCTTTTTAAGATTAAAACATTTAAATATAAGTTACCCAGTAAAGATTTACTCATTTCTCACCTTGTCCATATCATTTGGATCTTCCCAGGCCACTTTGAACAAGGCCTTCACCTCTTCAGCTAGGCCTATCCTGGCCCCACTATTGGCAGACAAGTATATCCTGGGCAGGCCTTGTGCCCTGGCTAGCTCTGACGCTCTCTAGAAATCAATATGGTTTACAGAATTGTGATACTATGGTCACCAGGGATATATGGACTCCTTCTATGGATCTTGCAATACTGGGTATATTTTGAAGTGAAACGAAGAAGATCTTGTGGAAATATGGCAAGTTTCACTTGGTTACAAAAATGTCATTAGTCTGTGCAATAAAGATTCATTAAAGCACTATATTTTCAAAGGGTGACCACCATTACACATACATGTACTATTAACATCTTGACCACATATGATAAAACCTAGCTAACATCCCACACATATATCTTACTCACCAGAAAGAGTAGATCTTCTTGGGGCCCAAATGATCCTATTTTGTGTGTGATGTCATTGCTGATCACTATGATGTCACGGCCTTCAGGGAACTCAGGGGTAAAAAGAGTCATTCGCCAGGCAACCATTCCAATCTGTAACCATAAAGTTCATAATAACACGTCCATGAGTTTTATCAAAACGTCACTCCAAATTAAATATAGTTTATAAGAACAAGAGAGTGTGATATGCAATCCATGTACTGTAATAAATTTATGCAATTACAGTGTTGTAGCAAACTAACACTTTCCCAATAATCGTAACACTCATAAATGAACCCATTGAAGATTGTACAAATTTCTCCCGAACTGCTGTTTTTTTATCCTGACCAGGCCATTAAGATTAGGAATAAAAAAAAAAAAAGTCTTACCTCATTTTCTCCAGATACCCTGTTGATCTCACACAACACTCCTTGGGCATCTAGAACCAACTCTATACAGGTAACACTACTTTCTGGTATCACAACATCTGGATGGAGCTTCTGATGTTCTTCCCAGATCAGCTTTAGTGCCTAAGAGGATGGATCAATAGCCTCATAATGTATATTATGCATTTAAAAGGTTTGTTTGTGGTATGATTTGGAAGTGGATAAAAGATACCCTTCATAGAAATAGGTGAGTTGTCATATAAAGGTGTGTCCCTAATTAAACATTTTTCATGAATATTCTTCATAATAATGTTATAGGCTTTAAATGAGCGGAGTTAATAGAAACGTGGCACAATTAATTGTCGAGTTATAGAGACAAACCAGTCTGCCATCTTTCTATCCTAACTCAGTATGAAGATATCATATGAAATACTGTACCTGTCTAAACATCTGAGGGAAGTCGTAAACATATGTTGTTCCATTAGATTGCGCTTGGAATCTCTTGAGCTGGAGGTGGTCTTTGGTTTGGTAGGGGGTACTCAGGGCATAGCCATGTAGGGGCCCTTGTTTAGTGCCCCAGGCTTGAAACATTACCTGTATACATAGAACATACAAATATAATTACATGTAGATATTCATGGAATCCTGTATTATTCAGAATGTTACCTTCAAGTGATATTTTATACCTGACCAGACTTTGGATCTGTCACCTCCCTATACATGCTTATGTCAAGGTAGTAACCACTCTCATTGGTGAGGAACACACGAATAGGCGTCCGCTGACCATTAGCTGTCAGTCTATGAAATAAACAAATATAAATGGAGAATATTCAGTACACTTTACTGAAGGGGTTAAACAATACTTGTAATTTAGATAAGAAAAAAAGAAACAAAGATACTTTGAGACCAACTAGTGAAGCTGACAATCTTTTTGAATTGAAAAGGTATAAACAAAAGAAATTATTTCAATAATGTAACATAATGAAATGATTTTACCACATACCTGATTGTCATCTTGAGTTCTGCTTGTAAGATCCTAAGCCTCCAGATCCTTACCCCATACCTGAGGACCATGCTTCTTATGGTGTCCATCAGTTTGGCAGGGTCAGACAGTGTCAGGGTGGGGACAAAGTTCAGAAAGATATGGTTGCAGTCTGTCTTCTTGCTGATCTGATTGCATACAAAAAGCAATTGTTTCAATATTGAAATGCTTCATCAAAATCTACTTTTAATCATTGATGGAGATGTCACATGTTACAAATTTTAATCCTTTTTGTTGATCACTATAAAATCAATATGTATAAGGGCTGACAGACAGCATGGATTGGAAAATCCTGTTATTTACTTTGCGATATCCATCATTTTGTTGAAACTTATCTGTGACACCCTGTTCATTGTGACATCATGTATTTTGTGACAACCTGTACTTACATCTGAGTGTTCTGAGAAGGCCACTTCTAAAGCATCCATGGCCTCCAGGAGTGTTCTCTCAGCCTCATTTTGGACATACTCATAGGATGCCTCCTGCAAAAATTAAACAATTTTAAACCAAACGGTAAAAGTGTCTCTTTTGATATATATATATTCAATTCAAGTTTAAGTACCAAATTAATCAAATTAAAGTCAAAATGACCAATTTATAAGAAATAGTCATATTGATATTTCAGAACTATATTTACCATAACTAAAAGGTTCTTACTACAAACATAAACCAAATCTATCATGCAGTATTCAAGGCATTGCCCCTTTAAACAACCTTTAGCACACATTCTAACTAATGATTTAAAAAAGTCAAATGACAATTCATATTTAAAACATAATATAATAAAGTTTAGGAGCACTCTGTGCTTTACATTGATTCATGCAATAATTTGATAAAATATGTTACCTTGGAGACAAGATCAGAATGCCTGATGATGGAACGTACAAAGAATCTGAAGTCTGTAACTTGTTGACCTTTGGCAATTTGCTGTAAAAAGTACAAAAACAAATTTAAGTTGAGCCAAATAAATTTATTTTGCCATTCAAGGAATATACATATCTATCATCAGTACAGGTTGTGATAAACACTGGAACATTGGAAGGGAAAAATATATTACACGAGAACCAAAAAGATTTTCTGTTTGGTGTCTTGCATTTTTTCGAACTACAAATTATCCAACAAAATATTTCATATTTTCATCACCTAATTCATTTATAGAAGCTGAATGAATATTCTTAAGGATAATGAGTGAATATCTTTAATAACAGGATGGTTGACTGACCTTTGCTCTCCCAAGATATAGATGTTTCTTGGAGTTTGGCACTGATATGGCCTCAAGGTCAAAGTTCTTCATTCTGTTGATCTCAAGCTGGAATGCCAGAGCTGGCTCTAAGTGTCTATAAATTCTGTCCTCTTCAAAGTTGGTCCTAGCACGATATGTAAAATACTTGGGGAACCCTCTCTGAAATTAAGTGAAAATGCACGACAATCAGCACTACAAGTTCTGTTTTTTATTTAAAGGTAAAGTGGATTTAAAGTAAGTAGCAATTAGCATGTTTCCAAAGTGGGATTGGTGATTCAATGATATGAGGAATTAATTTTACTGTGCCCGTATTTAGAGTTTGGGGGCATGATTTCAAATGAGCAATAATACCCAAATGAATGCATTGAAGTACATGTACATGCAAATAATGTCAGCATTAACTTTTGAAACATAAAACTTGCTAGATATATAGACTAGTTTGCTACTAATTTGCTACTAGTTTGCTTTATTTGCTTCATCAAAATGAATGGACAAATATAATTCACTAGTGACATCTTTCTGAAATACTTAAAGTTATATTGTACTCACTGTATGCCATACTATAAATGTCAGCCTCCTCAATCCCTTCTCTTTCAGTTTGGCCCTCTGTAATAGAAATAATCACAAATTACACCATTTAGACATCTATAGAGAATAAGATATATAAGCTAATACCAGTATGCCTTGTATGCGTCTACAAACAAATCAGCTACGGAGATGAGAATTCTACACAAAAAATTGCAACAAGTTGAAGGACCTTTAACAAACAAGAATAACTGTTACAAATGTTGACTGTTGGATTTAGATTAAAATACGATATGTTAAAGATAATTACAGAAATTACATTAAGCTTACATTAGCAACACAAAACTCCTGGAATAGCCTGGCATAGACCTCATCTTGCTCTTTCTGGCTGTACTTGATGGCAACATTCAGAATATGTATGGGTTCATCTGTTATCTTCTAGAAACACAAAAACATATGTGCAAAAGATTATATCAGATTCAGATTTGTAAGCTTTCTTGTTCATTATGATGTAAAGCATGTTTGATATACTGTACACTTGAGCAGACTGCACTCCTTATATACAGTACTCTTATTTCATATTTTGAAATCAACAAAGGAAATCAATTCTCAAATGTCCAATATCTATTCAATGAGCAAATCTTAAATTACGAAACTCTCAAAACATCACTAAATATCTAGTTCAATATGATGTTTGTGGGTCAAAGCCATCAGAAAGACCAAGGGGCTGGAAGTATAAGGTCAACAATAACTAAGACCATCTGAGGTGAAATTTGAAGGTCATGGTCTCTACAAATGTAAACGCACTTGTAAAAAATAATGACACACTACTTCAAAATTAGCAAGGAGGGATTAATGTGCAAAATGTCACTACCTGCCATTTGTTACAGACACTGGGCACCAACCACCAATTGCCAAAGTTAGAGACTATAACAATATGTCACCAATTGTGGTGGTGACATAAAAATTATATTATGACATGGCAATGCATTCAATTTTTTTCTTTTTTTTCTTTTCCTAACAGCTAGTTATGGCTATAGATTTATAGCTTATTATATAAATCAAACCAAGTATTTTGCATGAACTATTGCACTAGTTTACCTTTAAAGGAAACTTTTACATCAGTAAAAAGATGAGTCACTTAAATCTTGAGTCAGACATGATCAGTAATGTGTGATTTAAATTATTCAAACATATTTCTTGGGTGAAAGGAGGATATGAAAGTCACAACACTTCTGTCTCAGCAAGTAAAAATCTTGTTCGTCACTCTCTACTTAAAACAGGTGACAAATTTGTAAACACATAAATCATGAAATCAAACAATCACTTTAAAACACACACCTAAGTTTGAAGACTCTAATATTGAAACAATCAAATACAAGTTTGAAACTTAGCAATTTTTCAAGTCCATGAACAAGGACATACACTTTTAATTGAAACAGGAATCTCAGTGTATGAGTCATGACAAACTTCAAACAATGGACGTGTTATTTCTAAGTGTTAAAGCAATCAAATACAATGATGCATACAATAAAATCAAAAAATACAATGAAAAATGTTTAGGTTCAAAAGAAGAGACACATATTTTTACTTAGAAAAAAGGCGTTCAAATATGTTAGATTGGGTACTATGAACTATGATGAACTAGAAAAATCTGACAGCTTGGTCAACATTTCAAACTAAAATCCTCATATAAAAATCAATTCAAAGTTTGAGGTGATACTAAAAAACGTTTCAGTGGTCATAACAGAAGATTTGAGAACACATTGTTGCAACAAAAACGATACAGGACTAAGATGTTAAAGTTCAGCAGTTTAATTCTATTGGGATTAGCTGTGGTTGTATACAGCAAACCTGTCAACAATGGAGCAAGTGAACCTGGTGTGTACAACCCATGGAACTACATGGACAACCAGGTGATTGACTCTGAGGGTGATAACATTGATTGGAATGTGGAGAATGATTATGACTGGACTGGAAATAACTATGAATACAATCCCCATTATGCTGACCATTATTATGACCTCAATGGTGAGCTAATTCCTGACAATAAAGATGACTACTCAACTAATAAACAAGATGAGAACCAAACTGGTAACAATGGTGAAAACCAACCTGGCAACCAAGAGGAAAACTTGACTGGCAACCAAGATGAAAACCAAACTGGAAATAACAATGGAAACCAACCTGGTAACCAAGATGAAAACCAAACTGGTAACCAAGATGAGAACCAAACTGGTAACACTGGTGAAAATCAATATGGCAACCAAGATGAAAATCAAACTGGAAACAACAATGGAAACCAACCTGGTAACCAAGATGAAAACCAAACTGGTAACCAAGATGAGAACCAAACTGGTAACAATGATGAAAACAAACCTGGCAACCAAGAGGAAAATCAAACTGGAAATAATAATGGAAACCAACCTGGTAACCAAGATGAAAACCAAACTGGTAACCAAGATGAGAACCAAACTGGTAACACTGGTGAAAACCAACCTGGCAACCAAGATGAAAATCAAACTGGTAACCAAGATGAGAACCAAACTGGTAACAATGATGAAAACGAACCTGGTAACCAAGACGAAAACTTGACTGGTAACCAAGATGAAAACGAAACTGGAAATAACAATGCAAACCATCCTGGCAACCAAGATGAAAACCAAACTGGTAACCAAGATGAAAACCAAACTGGTAACCAAGATGAGAACCAAACTGGTAATAATGGTGAAAACCAACCTGGCAAAGAAGAGGAAAACTTGACTGGTAACAAAGATGAAAACCAAACTGGAAATAACAATGGAAACCAACCTGGTAACCAAGATGAAAACCAAACTGGTAACCAAGATGAGAACCAAACTGGTAACACTGGTGAAAATCAATATGGCAACCAAGATGAAAATCAAACTGGAAACAACAATGGAAAGCAACCTGATAACCAAGATGAAAACCAACCTGATAACCAAGATGAAAACCAAACTGGTAACCAAGATGAGAACCAAACTGGTAACACTGGTGAAAATCAACCTGGCAACCAAGAAGAAAATAAAACTGGTAACCAAGGTGAAAACCAGACTGGTAACAATGGTGAAAACCAGCCTGGCAACCAAGACAAAAACTTAACTGGTAACCAAGATGAGAACCAAAATAGAAATAACAATGAAAACCACAATGGTAATCAAGATAAAAACCAAACTGGCAACCATGGGGAAAGTCAACCTGTCAACCAACCAGAAAACCACCCTGGTAAGCAAGATGAAAACTTTACTGGTAATTGAACCCTGAACTATTAAATCATTATCAACTGGTTATTGAGCTTTGAACTATTCTATCTGTGTCTTACCTTCTCTATGTTGGGGCTAGGTGTGGTGAAGTCCATGGTTTCTGCCATACCAGGACTGTCTGGGGGAGAGTTCATCATAAACCTGTCTAACACTGTATCAAAGTATCTGAAAATATATCACTAACTCATCAGAAATGTCCATCAAATACACTTGGATCCAGATATCATCCATGTAAAACAAGGAAGTGAATGGATACTGTCTGGATCCTTGATTTGGAGGTTAGCTCTGGAACTGCATTTTGGACAAATTATTGTTTTGATTATTCTTCATGTACAATTTATATAATTCTAAATATATTACATCAAAACTTTTTGTAAATTATGTTTACCTTGTGAAATCATTGAATGAGTGGAAAGCAGCCATTGCTCCCATTCTCTGACAGGGTGGCAGGTCCCCCATGGTAAGATTCATATCTTCGCTGATGCTAGGGATCCTTGGCATTGACACACATGATTGTCTTTGTAGTACCCTACATATATTTGTACATAATTATATAAGAGTTATGCACTCAAAGGATTAAATACAGGGTTTATTCTTATGGAAATTTGTGTGACAGCAGAGACTCATACTTGAGTGGGTTTGGTATCACCCAGGAATATATATCTTATCTGAGGAGTGGGCAGGATATATTGTATATGTCCCGCTCCAGGCTAAATGCAGGCAGATATAATAGATCTATCCCCCTCCCGGGAATTTCTCAAAAATTCAAAAAAGTTAAAAAATTTAGATTTTAAAAGTTTTAAAAGTTAAATTTTTTTTTAAAGTTTAAATGTTACAGTTTCATAGTATTGAACTAAACAATATTACAAAAATGCTAAATATAACTTGTGCTTTTTCAGTATAGGCCTATCTTGTCATTTGAAAAAGTTGGAAAGGGTTATATCTCCCCCAAACCCACTCAAGTATGAGATACACCAGTTATGCACGGTCGGTTTTGGATATAGAGTATATCCCTCAGGAAATATTTATATCTCCCCTTGGTCCCTTCAGTCCCTCGGGGAGATATAGAGATTATCCTATATGAGGTTCAGGATATTGGGATTATCCCGAGGCGAATATAATATATTTGCCTGAGGGCAATATATCCCCCTTGGTCCCTTCAGTCCCTCGGGGAGATATAGAGATATAGAGATTATCCTATATGAGGTTCAGGATATTGGGATTATCCTGAGGTCAATATAATATATTTGCCCGAGGGCCGCAGGTCCCGAGGGGAAATATATTATATTGGCCAAGGAATTATCCCAATATCCTGAACCGACTATAGGATAATATGTTTATCCCATACCAATCTTGGTCATCTGGTTCACATTGTTCAATCGTGGAAATATTTTAGAATATTCATGTCCAGTTTTGTTTTCTTGGCAGTGAGCGGATTTTCCTGTTCTCTCAAATATTCCCACATTTATTTTCTCGAATTCTTGATTGATTAAAAGGATGCTCCTTCCCTTTTTAAACCATCAAAGAGATCCCTGGTTGTCTGTGTTTTCTCCATTGTCGTTTACAGCCATAATGCGAACGTTACAAATTATGAACAAATATGCGAGCGGCGATTATGATGTAGCGGGCAGATATACTATATCTGCCCGCTCGGAGCGGGACGTAAAGCTATATCTGCCCGCTGATGAAAATATAAGTTTTTACAAACCGGCTTTATGTACATGTAACATGTCCAAGTATGGGATAAATAAATATATCCCTCAGGATATACCCTATATCCAAAACCTCTCAGCACATAACCCTTATGTATCCCACATAAATACCATAAGATGTAATATAATTCTAGCACACATCATTGAGATATAAAGTTAAGAAATTTGAGAATCATTTGCATTAATTTACCTGTTAGGATGTGATGCAGGTAACATGAACTGAAACTCCACAACACATAAGCTATCATTAAGCTGGTGATGCTGTATACAATTGATTTCATATGCAATATATGACCGTCTAACATAAACCTCTAGGGCAGCCATGCGCACAATCTCATTAGAGTGAAGGAAGAAATTAGGGAGGACATCAAATATAGATGTCTCTGAGAGAATGAGTTTTTGTAAATTCTCTGGACAGAATTGATGTCCGTAACTGTCTATTGCTGAGAGGAAGATGGACTCTACTTGGTTGTGACGAAGTTCATAAGGAGGTTGATATGACGCAATAAGCACCTGAAAAATTCAAGTCAATATTTATTTTTGAGTGGTATATTTTAAGATTATCACAAAATATGAGGCAACATTATTAGTTGATGCTATTATTTTTTTGTCTAAAATATATTTAATGAGGACTGCTTAGAACAATTGGAACATCATGATTTCATTGAAGGGATTACCACAAAATATTTATTAAATAATACATTGTTGGTGCTATTTTTGTCTTAAATATTGAAGGGTTCTCCAGCATTGCAAAGAAGTTTAATTCTGTGAGTTCAGTTAACCCACCTGTCTAGCTTTCAAGGCAACTCTAGCATTTTCTGCCTGGCTAAGCCTGGTCAATTCAGTGAGGATCACTTGTAGTTCATCTGTAACACCAGGTTCTTTGCCACACAACTGGTCCTAGAAGCAAGATGAAATAGGGTAAAAACAGAGTGAAAATCTCTTGAAAGATAATCTCTCAAAATGTGAACTTTTTCATGGTATTAATTTTTATTAGATTTACTACTGACACTCATGTTGTGAGAACCATGAATTGTAAATACTTTTAGCTGGTTTGAAATATTAGTGCCATCGTCTTAGTCACAAAGTTACAAGTTATTGACCATATTACAAGATATATATGTGCACTTTAATTGAGCATGCAAAGTGCGCTTTGACTGAGCTTGCAATATTTCCTAACTTACAATCAAGGAGACCACCACTTGGTTCTTCTTCAGGACTTGGGAATGTGAGAATATATGTGCAACCACTTTAGACATGTCATCCTTGTATTTCTCACGTAATTGGTCCACACATTTGTCATAGTGACCTGGATCATGTAACATATATAGACTTATATGAGGTTTTGAGCAACTAAATTAAATCATAGAGCTAGGTGATTTATCTACCACATAATACCCCATCTATTTTTAAGGTAATAAATTATGAACAATTTTTGCAATCAAACAGATATGAAAAGGCTATTTAAAAATTAATTAGATCAGAATTAATAAACTACATGTATTATTAAGAAAAGTGATTAAAATGTCATTAAAGGTACATGAACTATACTCACCACATTGAAACTCCACCTCTACCATTAGATATCTCCTTATCAATTCCTGTACTACAGCTTTCATATGGCCCCTGATTCCATTTCTATATCTAAAAACAAAAAAATAATCAAAAATGATGCATTATTTCACACTTTAATTAAGAGATCAGGTTTTAAATATTTGTTTAAACTCAAGTAAGTTAATAAGGACAATCGATTCTACATACCTTATTAACATTCTCATCAGTATATGATACAAAATGAAAATACTGACAATTGAATTTAAACATTTAAAATCAATCTATACCCTCCAGGGGGATGTCTCGAAATGTTTTGTACTAAATTCTGCTCTTAAACCATTTTGTTAACTGCTTTAGGAAACCCATCGATCCTTGGCAACAAAACAAAATTTTGGACATGAATCAAAAATAATAGTACACTTTTTAGGAATAAAACAGCTTTTTGTTCTGCAACCCACCTAAAATATCAGTTTAAATCAGAAAAATCAATTATGTACAGAATGTACAGCCAATCCACAGTGATACCATAAGTAGAGTGCAGAATGTGGGTGTAGTGGAAATATGAGATTGGAACCTACCTCTGTACTAATTGCACTATGCTCTGTGTGGTAGTGAAGAAGATCTCTCTATCTTGCCTCCTGGATAGAGTAGCTGCATGGCTATCTATTACATTGGCAATCTGAAACATATGACTAACTGATGTTTATCAAGTTTTTCAATTCTTTTTCAAAAACGACTCCCCATTTCAGATGATATATGAGCTTTGTCCATGTGCATGTGACAACAAATCCCTCTCAGGGCAGGATGAGTAAGCACCTGAAGCCATTAGTTTAATATGTATGTTTGTATATATGGAATACACTCCAAATCTAAGCTAGCAAAGGCAGGCCCCATGGAAGAAGGAATTCATAGTGACACCTGTGAAAGTGCATCACATTTGGAATAAAATAGTGCTTTATATCGGGTTATGGGTAAAAAGACAATAGTTCCACTTATGATAGTGTTCCACTTGCAGTTCCATTTAACAAGTGTTCCATTTAAAAGGTTTTAATGTTGTATTTTCTTAGAATAAAGTATTCAAGTACAGTAAAACTCGTCTATTTTAAAGTGGCTTAGAGAGGTGTTCCACTTATAGAGGTATATGTTAGTTGGTCTTGTAACTCTGAAGTGTTCCACTTTACAGGTTTCACTGTATATACAAATGCCTGGTGTTTGAAAAACCTTTACATACCTGCTGACTTGGAAACTGGCTCAGCACTGATGTGATATTGTTGCGATATTTGCCCATCAAAAATCTGATATTTTTCTCCACATTCTGCGGAATACGACTTGAGATCATTGAAATAAGCTCCTACAAAATATATTCCTTCCTTATCAATCGATGAAAAATACATTAAAATGTCATAAAATTCTACAATGACTTATAAACACTGAACATAACATGATATTCCTTTTAGTAAAATCTCACAAACATCCTTGGCTACCTTTATGATTTGAAATTACACAAGTATATTTTATTAAATCATTACCTGAAGTTCCAATAGAGGGAGACAAGGGTCTCGTAATGACTTCATCAAAGTATCAATCGTATCAGCAAGCATGCTTGAAAAATGGGGCTCCTGAAGTGTATACCCTGCAAGGATGTTCTCAAGCCTCGTTCTGGCCTTGCTGAATATATGGTGCAGTTTGTCACCCATGTTGGGTTGATTTTTCAATACTGGTAGGCCCCCTGTATATGGCTGTGCCTACAACAACATAAGGCAGTGAACACAATAATTACAACAGATTACTGGTACAGCCTCAACTCATATGAACCATTAATGTTATATATACATACATATTGTACATGTATGTACAAAAATACATGTATCATAATTTAAATTATGTTATGTTGTACAGCAAAGTACTAGCTTGTGTTCAGGGACCAATTACCTAAACTTGATGAATTTCAAATTGCAAAATGGAGTAGTTGGGAATGATTAAAGAACACCAGCAAATAAAAGCAGAAAATTATACTTGAACTTTGTTCCAATACAAGAGCTACAGTGGCATAATAAAGAATAACCAGAGTGACGTGTTACCATGGTAATATTGCTTGATGTCACATACCATTTTGACCTTGCTAATGTCATCAAGAGTCAATGTGGCCATTATGCCACCTGCTTCTAGGATGGCTCCCGACCTCTTCATATAATGTAAACTAGAACACAAAAAACATGAAAAATATATTTTTAAAATTAGTTTATTTCATATCAATCACATTCATAAATAAAAATAAAAAACTGTTAATCTCGTACATACATGTATATATTACAATACAATGAGAATGAAATACATGTACAATTGAAAATTCAACAAAAATAAATTTTCATAAAAAATGGTTGCCATTCTGGCAGAAAAAATGAAGAAACTTACCGGCCAGACTCTTGCACCCTCAATTCCATGACCATCTTCATCACCTCAATCTCAGCATACACCATTCCAGGATAAACCTGTCCCCCATCTTCTACAGTATAGTTAATCAACTTGCCAGTAGATGGTGCCCTCAGTACAGTTGGATCGTTTTCTTTCTCGAATACACACATCTGGTTCCCGATTGTGATTCGATAGTTGCTCACTTCCTCTCTCATATATGTGGTGTAGCTAGAGCCATTAAATGAAACCAATAACCCACCATCTTTCAAACGATGAACTTCAACATCGGCTGATGAATCATTAAGGACAATGAAGAATCCTGTTGGCCCAGTCTTGGTCACCTACAAAGCATGTGTTTTAGATACAATAAAGAATATAACAAATTTAATAATTTGAGGCTGGATGTGTACCTACACACCAATTTGCAAATCCAAACTCAAATGAAGGACCCACGGTCCTGTGCTCACACAGTTTGGAACCTTCAGAGGAATTTATATCCTGACTTTCAAACAAAAATATTGATTTGGATTTGTAGTCTCGAACTTTGAGAAACTTTGATAGCATAGTTGTGTGACCTAGTTTGATGACCTTTGACCTTGAAAATTTTACTTATTCAGAGCTCAGTAAGGTCTTTTGTGATTAAGCTGACCAAAATTTACATCCAAAAATCAATTTGAAAAATCAACTTTTTTGACCTTTCGAAGGTCACTGAAGGTCAAGTAAAGGTCAAATCCTAAAACTAATGTCAGATTTGAACTCCTGGCAGCTTGTAGATGATTTTGAAAAAAAATTTGGTCAAATTGAAGCAAGTTGAAAAATAACTTATTTTTACTGTTTTTTTGACGTCAAATATCTCAAAAACGGTAAAAATTTGATGCTGACATATATTGAGAAATATGTAGGGAATGCTTAAATCTATTAATGATGTAATTTATTGCAGGAAATGATCAAGTATAAGGCAAACTTTAAGAATCTTGTCAATCACAAAACCTGCCATTGACTTTATACATGAGAAAGTTTCCTGAAAATGACTAAGTCCTACTTTTTTTCAAATTTTATAGAGTAAACACCAAAAAACGTAATTCCAAGAGCTTTGAAATCTTCAGAGGACATAAGTTGCATATACACCAACTACTAAAAGTTATTTGAAAGTTCTACTTCAACAAAGTGTCTAGTATTTACAGAAAATTTGACTTTTTGACGTCAAAATTCGCAATTTCTCAGAAACCGGGCGAACTTGGGAAATGGCGATGATAGGTCAAATAGGCATTATGGATATGCATAAAATGAATGTGGATATGACTCAATCCGAATAGCAGTTTTAATTTGTGCGGCCTATGTTGACGGACGGACGGACAGATGGACGGACGGACCAACGGACGGACGGACGGACGCCTGGTCAATCCCATAGGCTGTGTGAGCCAAAAACATGTAACCATTTGCATGAAGCTTAATTCATTCAGAATATATCCTCATTGGTAGGATTCCTCTATAATATAATAACTAGAAAAACAGCAATTCCCTGGAGCAGCAAATCCCACCTAACAAACATACTTTATCAAATCTCTTGTCATTTTGAACATTACATGATAGAAATGACCAGGCAGCAATGTTGTAATATTGTCAAAATTTTGTGGCAAAATCTACATCAATCTGCAAATGGACAGCATCTTTAGGGGCGGGGTCAAAATATCGATGTTCATATGGAGACGAAAGTACTTTCGCGAGGGGGGGAGGGGGTTTTTGGGCACTTTCGTTGACCAAAAAAAGATCGATAATTCGGATCTGATATACAAAAAATAATTGGACTTACCCACTTTTTCTGGCGCTATGTTCTGATAAAAAGGCTTGTTTTCAATAGTTCGTGAGCTTTTTTGTGTGATAGGTCCAAAATATCGGTAGATAAAGACGATAATTCGATCATTTTTCAAATAAATTCCGTACTTTTCCCTCCTCCTTTTGAAGAGTTCAATGCAGTTAAATTGCGAACGTGTGTTAATTCACCGTAATAATAACCCGGCAAATAGGATACGATTATTAATCAATGTTTTTTTGAAGTGACCTAAGCTTTCGTCTAGAGGGGGGGTGGGGGGGTTGTTGTCCAAACGAAATTACTTTCGTCTCCATATGAACATTGATATTTTGACCCCGCCCCTTACATGGGTGGGATAACAAAACATTCCAGTGAAAATAAATGGGTGTGAATGGAATGATTTTTAAGCAAAACACTAAATGTACAGCTTACCTTGGAGATATATTTGATGTTTTCATGTATGAGCTCTACCACTACTGTGCCATTGAGAGAGTTAGCTGTCTGCACCTGTCCTCTACAATAAATAATACAAAGGGGAAATTCATTCAGGAAATCAACTGAAAATTACTGAAAATCATTTAATATCATCCATCCCTTTATTAGTGATATTCATTCATACCCTAAGATATTGTCAATTTCACAAATGCAAAAAAAAATTGCAAATGCAGTTGACTGATAATGTTATTGCCCAGTCACCAAATCATGTACAATTATGTTGTATATGTATTCTGTAAAACGATTATTCATATGTACAGTATATTTAAAAATTGGATCTTATTGAGCAGCCATCTTGAATATATTACAAAAAATCAAGGTCTTTTCATATCGAATGAAAGTAAAATTAACAGCACTCAAATTACCCAAACGTTTAAAAATATGGATAAATATTAACTTCAGGATTAGAAAGTAAAAAATGTAATGTTTTATCAATGAGTACAGACCTCTCTAATGCAGTTTGAAGTTCTTGTATATTGGCCATTGTTGTTTTGTCTGCTACATGTAGAGAACCACACATTACACCAAGAAGGGGGTCCAGTCTGCTTCTCTGCAAGAATCAGTATCTAGTTTTAATTTATCATTTATTTATTTATACTTTTAATTGACATTTTTAGATCTTCTAAATTAAGAGTTATGCTTTTTGGAAGTCATCCTTGCAAAGAAAACTTTCTTTATAACCTAAAATTACTCAAACTTAATACAAGACAAAGTAATGTAAAGGCACAAGAACTGAGTCTTCGAAATACAATCTGTACATCAAACTATCTCAGTATGTAGAGTATAGCATTTCTTTTATCAACCTTTTATTCCAGGTCTAAAGCAAATATGCGAATACATTATGAATTGCTTACATCTGATGATATTTTGATGCCATCCCCTGCAATGAGTCTGTCAAGCCAGCCTGTATCTATGCTGTTATCAAGGAATTCTGGCATCTCTAGCAGTTTTGTCAGATACTCTACTGTTGTCCCAAAATCTCCTCGAATGGAGAGTTGTTTTAATGCCACAACCATATTTCTAGAAAAAATTGATATAATGCAATGGTTTTCAACCACAGTGTGCAGATTGTCAATTAATGAGATCTATTTTGAAATATCTAAATACTAATATTCTTTCTCTTGTACGCCTTAAGATCTCAAATATTATTAACATTTCAAATATCATTAAGATTTTTCATTATGGAGTTATATGCACACTTCTCAACCACAGCATATCATCTGATTGTGTCAATCCTGGTTTTTGGGTTATTTGGGCAGTCTGATATACTAGATTCCAATGCATGGAAGAATAGCACTCAACCTAAGTTCTGAGGGATGAAAACCTTTTTTAAGAGAATATCCATGTAGTAAAGGCATATTGACCCCATGTAATCTCCATGGCCACTTACTCTCTTGCATCCTCTCTGTTCTCACCCCAAGAGAAACAGTGTCCAAACTGGGAATCTGCATACTCATGTAGCCCCCCAGCTGCGGATACACTGAAATAGCCCCATACATTCTTGCTACTCCGGAAGTTCAACTCCTGCACTGTACCAGAGCTGGGCTTGAACCCCTATAAAACATATCAATCAAATATTAATATATATATGTAGATACGAGTACGTGAATACACTTGCAAGACTTAAAATGCACCTACAATCTTTATATGAGTACCAAGTCTAGTGAAAACACATATTGTACCTAGAAGTAGGAACAACATTAATTTTATATTGAACCACCCTCACAAAGGGTTAGTAATTCATGATATTAATTGAACATGCCTCTTCTGGATTCTCACTGGTGATTCTTGCAGCTATAACATGTCCTCTGGGTTCAGGGGTCTCTACTTGGTTGAAATCAATGGGGCTTGTTCCCCAAGGATCCTCCTCCCCATAGAGCATCCTGATATCCTTGATCCTGTGCAGTGGGATACCCATGGCAACCTAAATAGAAAGTTAAAGTGACAATAATACACTTGTCCCATAAATGGTAGGTTTCCTTAATATAATAAGTGTTTTAATTTTTCTAGATAAGGGTACTGAATAACCAGTAAAGATTAATGTGTCGGTACAGTTGTGCTAAACCCATAGATGTGGGTTGAACTTTTCTATACAAGGAGTACAATTAAATATCGCGCCTGTAATTGGGAATCTAAAAATTTCAGACTAAAATTTCAGTGCAGGGGTGCTCAACCTGTACATGTGGGTTCAACTTTTCTATGTAAGGAGTACAGAATAATTAACACACCTGTAATTGAGCAGCTGGAAGGTTAACGTCTGCTACCATCTCAGTGCAGGGGTGTTCAACCTGTAGACGTGGGTTCAACTCTAAGAAGTGGTAGGTCTCTTCATCAGGGTTATAGAGATACTCCACAGTTCCTGCACTCACATAGCCAACCATCTTAGCCAGACGAACTGCACTCTGTAAGCAAACAAGTGAAGTTCATTCAATGTCAATTTTGAAAATATCAATGAAAATAAATAACTATGTACATTTGTATAATATCATATATGGGGGGTGAATCTAAGAAGAATTATTTAATATCTCACTTCTGAACAATTATTTTGATTGACCAAGGCATTAATTAAGGCACAACAAAACCAAACAAAACAGTGACAAATATCTCACTTTTTTGAGAGGCCATAACATTCTCAAAATTCATTTCGTTCGTTGCGTACCTTCACTACCTCTCTGACGTTGTTAAAATAGTTCTAAAATTCCCGGGGCACGATCTTAGAAAGCTTCAGAAATTAGTACTTTCTTTATTACGAAATCAACAACGCCAAAACTTTGATATTCAATTGATTATAACGTTTACAAATGATTTTACCATCGAAATTGGTAATCAAATGTTGTATTTGATGTGTTTTTAGGTAAAAATCTCCGCGGAGCAACAAATTGTAAAATGTCAAGATCGATAATCACTGGGTTCAACATTACTACACGATTTCAAGATGGCGGTGTCAAAATTTTCCAAAAACGCTTCAAATAATATTATGTTAATTTCTGGCGAGTTCACCAATATCATAACGTGTTATCTAACAACAAGATAAAAAAATATGTAAGAAATTCAATTTTATCGATTAAAACATCACATCGACATGTGGTATTCGTTTATTAGACGATTAAAATAACGAATATGGGGATGACGTCACTTCAAAACGAACTGCATAGCAACGGTGTTAATAAACAATTTCTGACCTTGCAAATTCCTAAGTATTCATTTTTAACAGTTTGCTACGAATTACTTAATATTTTTCTTATGAATGAATTCTTACTACATTAGAAATAAACATTTTATAAAATATACCGAATAAAATCAGTAGCAAACGCAAAGAAATATATTTTTTGAAGCAGGTCAAAATATTTAGAAGGGTAAATTTCGCGGGAATTTAAAGATCTGCATGAGGTAAGGCACAGGAGGTACGGATGGCACTGGACGAAAGGCTCGGAGACTGAGGCCATAATAGAAGGCAAATGTGACATGCTAATACATAAACTGGTAAACATGAATGCTGAATATTTTACATTTACCTTTTCCATTTGATCGACAACCTCAGGTGGTGCCACTGATACAGGAGCTTCTTCAATGATTTTCTGATGACGTCTTTGTATGGAGCAATCACGCCCAAATAAGGAAATAGCATTTCCATATTTATCACCAAGTAGCTGTACTTCTAAATGACGAGCATTTGTAGCTAGTTTCATAATAAAAATGGGCGATCCAGGTACTTCAGTTTGAACCTGGCGGTACATGTTAGTGAAGTTATTGGGGTCTTCCACCTTACGAATTCCCTTGCCACCTCCCCCCTCTGAGGCCTTAATCATAACTGGGAAGCCAATTCTCTGCGCATGGGCCAAGCCATCCTCAGCATCTACCAAGCAGCCCTTGCGGTAGATGTCTTCAGGGACAGTAACAGGAATACCTGCTGCCAAGTCCTCCTCACTTACGTCCACAGTTAACTCTGAAATTGGACAAATGCTACATGTGTATATTATGTTGTATAAAAACAGTCAAATGTTATTCCTAAATTTTAACTAAATTTTGAATTAGGAAATTCAATATTTTCAACTTATCGAAGAGTTTTTTAGGTTTCAGTTTTATTTGTATGTTCTTGAGGAAGGCCCAAATTTATAAAGTATAATTGTCCTCCTTGTTATTGGCCCACAATCCCACATCCAAAGGTCTATTTAAGACACATACCATCTCCATTCCAAGGCAGACATGGCAGTCCTGCACTCTGGGCAACAATGGATGAGGCAATCTTGTCCCCCAGGGCCCACATGGCCTTCTCAGGAGGCCCTATGAATGCTATACCATTCTTGTGTAGAAGTTCTGGAAGCTTGGGGTTCTCTGAGGCATGTCCCCAGCCTGCCCATACTGCCTACAACAAGCAACACATTCAAGCTATTATTTGATACAAAGTTATAAATAAAAAAATATTAAAAGTTATAAATAAAAAAATATTTCTCTGACACATAAACTGGAAAAGTCTGGAGAATGGAACAGCAACTACACAAAACTCATTAATATCCCCATGCATTATAATGTGAATCAGGTTCAAAGGTAGCATAGGCCCGGATTCCCCTTCCTTGTAAAGCACTGGAAGGCCAAAGAGAAATACCAGAGACAAGGGAAATCAGTCCAAATAGCACAAAGTAAGCCCATTGTCAATGTCCATGAGTCATGAGATTAGATTCAAATGAATCGTAGGAATAGCAAGTATACCTGTACTTGGGCTCTTTTAGTGGCAAGGTCCAAGATCAGTTCAACGTTGGCATAGTTATTATTGTTACTTCCTCCTGGCACCAGAAACATCTGATCAGCACTGCGAATATATTCTGTAACACATCAATTATCTCATTATCCTGTCTCATCATCAGTTTAACAGTCACTACCCTATATCATGTCTATTACATACATATAATCTTAGTTTTCATGCTTACAAGATCTTAATGATCTCAGGTGCAACTTCCATGGCAGATGGCCTCTTATGGGAGTTTAAATGTTAGCTCTATAGGAAGTGAAGATGAAGATAAAATTGAGCTCTTGTAAGTCTTTTCATAAAAATAAAGTAATTCAAATTTTTATGTAATAGAGCAACATTTAGTTCTTGAAAACAAAGAATGAATGACAGTAAACAGTTCTTTTGTACCTGCATTGGCCTCTAAATCTTCTGGAGTAACCATAGCAACAAAGGAAATGGCTCGCTCATTCTTGAACATCTCATAGGCCCATCTACGTATGGAGCGCATACATTTTACTGCAGCTATGCCATTGTTTGCAATCAAAACCTATATCAAAGAAACATACAAAAATAAATAAATATTTGCTTCACTTTTTAAGGGTAGGGTTTTCTAAGGTAAACCTTGGGACCAGTTCTTATAAATGTATAGTCAATACAAAAACTACTCAAGTATTGGGCATAACAATTATCTAAATGGTGAAGAATGGTCAAATGATTGTGTCAGCTCAGCACATGTACCAAAATACAGGTGCACACAAATGGTTATACATTTTAAGGGAATTTTTTTAATGATCTTAATGACAAAATGTAACTTAACATGCATTTTATCAGAAAAATCAATATAACTGGTAACAATGTTTAATAGACTCTTTACCATAGGATAGCACAATCAAGACCCTCTGGACCTTTTTGCATATTGAGTTTTACAAAATATTCACCTTACTAGTTGCCACAGAAGAAGTCCCAAATCCCCCGCTTTCAGTATTAATTTTGCAAATGTACTGACTGATCTAATCATTTTTGCGGAAATTAATTCAGTCTGAAGTTTGAATATACCGGGAAGGGGGAAAACCCCCTGTTATCTGATTGGTTGTTGAATTTGTTTATCATGAACCTGATTAGCTACCTGGTTTAAGACGTGTGTGGGTGATTGTGTGACTTGACACGATTCCCCTTGCTAGCCGTGGAATCAATTGTGTTAAATTCTGAAGGTTGATTATTATGTTGATTATTTCAAAATATTGGCATTAATATACCCATAAGTTATTCTCAAGATATCTCAAAGGTAGCCTATATAAGGAATTAGATACAAGATTACAATGTATTTGAATGCAATCCTCACCTTATCTATGACAGTGGTGCCACCAAATCTCTTGACGAACTCTTCAGGTGTGGCAATAGAAAAGTCCTTGTAATTGTAAACATTCACACGACTGCCTCGACTGTTCATACGGCTCAGGTGCACCCCCGACATCCTATGCCTACAAATATCAATATCATTTGAATTTTTAATGAACTTAAATTCCAAATTTTAGTAAGTTGTATTGTGCAGCAAAAATGTAAATCTACAAAATCCACTGAACTAACTATTCAATTGCTGATAATGTTGTCCTGTCAAAAATGGCAATTTGTACATATGCATAACCGATTGATTTATAGAAATAAATGTGAAGTATGTAAAAAAAATCTTGTAAGATGTGGCTGTAAGTGCATCACCAAAATAAGTCTAAAAAATGGCAAGTCGATAAGAAGTCTATCTCGTCTAATAAGAAATGCTTAAAGGTGCAACAATTAGTGCAGAGGGGCCATTCAACGATCATGGACCAGTGTCAAAATATATTTAAGTTTGGATATTTCATCAAGACTAACATCTATTTTTATTATCCACAAAAAAAACCACTAGATAAACATTATTTCAGCATATATTCCTCTTAAAACATGGTGGATCTTAAAAATATAAAAGCGGATTTCCCCTTTTTGAAGCTTCGAACTGAATTTACACTTCTTAATGCTGAAATTGATAGTTTATACATACATTTTAAGAAAATAGGTCTGTCAAAGAAGATGTTAAGCCAAATGTTGCCTTGATAGCTCATAAAAAGTTAAAATTTTCCTATTTTCTCTCTACAGGGCTTGTTGCCCCTTTAAATTGAGTGCAAATAGATTTTCAGTTAAGTAGAAGGTAAATGCTGGGGAGATCTTTAACAATACAGCTTCAGGAATTGGGATTATAGTACATGTACTTTCAACATCATAGTACATGTACAGTGAAACCTGTAAAGTGGAACACCTCTAGAAGTGGAATACCTAGGTTAGTGGAACACTTTTCAAAGTCCCAAGACCAAGTGACTTAATGTTAAATAAACCTCTATAAGTGGAACACCTCTTAAATGGAACACTTTAGAAGTACCAAAGGTGCTCCATTTAGACAGGTTTTACTGTAGTTTCAATCATATAGAGTTGAAAATATCACACTACCCTACCACGTGACCACGTTTAAAAGGGAAACAGGGTACAACTTAGTTGCAAATGGAGGACGTGGGTTTAATTCCATATTTTTGAACGTAAAATACATTTTACATATATTTCTAGTGTTCTACCAGACATAGTATTGATTCATCAAGGAGTGTGTAGAATATTGTTGGCAAAAAAACACTATAGGCAAAGATAGATAATAGTGGGCGCAGTGAAGCAAAACCAAATGCAATACACGATACATTTCAGTAAACCTATCAACGTACAGGGAGCATGTAAGTGTCCCTTCGAAAATGTTACATTGATATGTAACAAAAAAAACAGTTAACTGTTGTTTAAACTGCGTGTCATCGTGTTATAGGTGGATACGTTTTCTAGTATGTTAGTCAACTGTATTTTTGTGAATTTGAACAAAACATTTTGAATGGTCGGGTTTTTAGGACGGTAGTGAATTAGACCATTCAAGGGGTTCTATAGAAAGATTCTTCATATGTAGTTCAGGCAATTTTAATTATTCTGAGTAGCAAATAGTCATTAATACTGATAGCGGATAGTCATTTATCATTAACGTGTTTAATTTAATTTCGTTATTTTATTTCAATTTGATACCCTAGTAACACGTATAATCTAGCGTTCTTGTTAATTTAATGACTAAAATGCATACGACTTGAAAGCCCGTGTCTAAATCTACAAAATAATGTTTACTTTATTTGGATTAAATAACAATTGATGACACCTCAAAGCATCAACAGGCGGCCTTTTTAGCATTACTTTCACTGTTTGCAACGTAAATGTACATGAGGTCGGGACATAGTATGTCTGTATAATCAGCTTACTTTCTCGCTCCCTGTACTGTTGAACAATTTGCATTCCTTGTACCCTGTATTGATCAACTTTTGCAGCTGTGTACCGTGTACTATGAAATATCAAATATTTTAAAATTTAAAACGATATTATTTACATTATTTCTTCAACTATCATATAACTTGGAACATGGACTTCACTATTGCACCACTGAAGTGTAGCGAATAGCAATATTGACTCACTCCGAGCACCAAACGTATTAACCTTTTGACTAAGCAGTCGATATACTCAAAAGCGACATGTTTGAAAGCCAAAAGATTCGCGCATGCGCGATCGAGGTAGGGTAGTGTGAATATCACTCAGTGTAATGGTGACAGAAAGATGCACTAACAATATAAGTACACTGCACTTGACAGCACCCATTAAAGATTATCAAGAATCGACCTCATGAATTGCAATTTTTCATGTAAACAAGTAAAAGCATATGTTAAATGCTAAACTATTAACACACGAATGGTTTGAGATGTTATGGTATAAATTATTCTTGATATTTCTAAATATCCCGAATTTGTACTAATAGTTGAAAGCATTCATAGACTTTCATTTGCTCAATTTTCCATGAATTACATCTTAAATCATGTAAAACACCACAATACCTGTCATGTAAATAAAAAATAAAAATCAGGATATTTTTTTCTAAAAATTGGAAAAATGGGTTATTTGAAAAGAATAAGGGTGAAAATGAGGGTCCTTCTTTTTGAGAAAAAATCAGGGTTTCTAAAAAATTAGGAGGGAAATTGGGGTTACGAAAACTTTTAATCAAACAAAATTAAATCAAGATAAATTGTTTAAACAAGAAATACATTTTAACTCAAATACTGCAAAGGAACCATTTAAGTTCACTATTATATACTTGTATTATAGATTCTATTTTGTATGTTAATAAAGGAAATTAACTATGTTACAAATATAAACTAGATGTTGCAAATGAGACTACAAGGGTAACTTAATAAGGAGTAGATTAGCCAATCAGTAATTCCGATTCCAAATTAAACAATGGGGAAAAATAGAACCATGGGCTAACATCCATTCCCCTGAACCGTCACCATAGCCAAGTCAATACGATACCTAAGAACCAATGGCTTCGCAATTGAAGAATCACTAGTTTTTTCTGCCTGAATATTAGGGTCATCATTTTGTGATTCAGGGGCTTTGGGGCTACCAGTTTGAGATCCTTGGGCTTCAGGGAAAAATTGATCAGTCTCTTCTGTATCAGGGGAACTTGGCTCGAGCGTAAACAGCACCTTGGGGGGCCCTTCAGGTCTTTCTTTGGACTCCTCTGAACTAACAACTTTTGACATTCTCACTAAGTCAGCTGGCCAGAATTACAAAATTAGTTCTAACTAGTCTAGCAGATTGTAAACTGAAACACACAAACAGAGTAAGGTAAACAAATCATGTAACTAAAATTGCTTACGATATGGATGCTTTTCTTGCTTCAGGCAGCACATTATCTTTTCCTTGGTCTAGATAGAATTCTGTCTTAGGTTGCTTTATTCCAGACAACGGTTGTTTAGTTTCTGACAATGGTTGTTTTGTTTCTGGTAATGGTTGCTTTGTTCCTGTCTGGTCAGCATTCTCCATTGTTCCTGCTGATTTCTCCTGACCATCCATGATTTTTTCTGCTATCTGATCTTACTGAAATATTCAAAATTACAATTAAACTTTGAATGGGCTTGAATTTTTCTTAGAATTTACTTATCTGACTGTGAATGTGAAATAAATGACACTAAGGTTAACAGAAGTTTAAAAACACAGACCTGCTCTAAAAGATTGTTCAGTTTTCATTTATTGCTTTTTTGTTTCTGTTTTGGGAAAGTATCAATACGTATCAATACAAAAGATATGGAAAAATTGGAATGCCCGCTTTGTAGAATGTGCTTTTAATATTACAGTTGATAATTTATTCATATTGTAGAGGTTAATATATCTTTAAGGGTTCTTATATTTAGTAAACATTTTTTAGTAAACATGGCTCTGTTTGCTGAAATAAAACTTCCTTCTTTGGAATAACAGTAATTCATAGGAAGAAAACAATTAAAGTTAAAAGCTATGCAAATTAAGAGTCAAAGGTAGCAATGTACTTCCTGGTCTTTAGGGCCCTGAACATGTATAACCTATATTTACAATTGTACTGAGTACATATGCACCATTCAGGTTTAACTCTCCACAAATACAAAGCTGACAAAGAGCAAATAATCAATAGATGGGACAATATCAATTATTCTTTGGACTTGGGTCCATGTCTATAAATGCAAGGTTAGTTACACATCTATTATTTAATCTAGGCTATGTATCAAGAGTTATATGCCTTGTAGAATAACCTTCTATTCTGCAAAAAATCATTGAGAGGCATTGTACTTGATACCATTTTTGATCAGATAAAACATAACTCTACTTCTCTCATTGAGGTTAAAGCTGTCAACCAAACAAGTTTCATCTCAAGTGATTGCTACATAGCAAGTTCATACAAGTTATCATTACTTGTTGCCATAGAAATATATTACAGCATGGGCTTTCAACAGAAGCCCATGATGGCAATTATCTATTTAAATTTATAACATGTATACGATGTAGTGAAAGTTTAGGTGATCCGTAAAATAAGTGACATCGAACTTGTCACTGGTCAGTCAATAAAGAAGCTAACAAGTGGGGGGGGCACATTTAAGTGCAGGAAATATTGTTGGGCCCCTAAATTAAAATTCGGTCAAAATTCTGAGAAATTAAAGCCCCATTTTTTCTAATTGAGGCTATACATTTCTGCCCCCCCCCTCTCCCCCAAGATTGTCCATTGTGTTTGTGAAAAATCGGCATACAGGTACTGTATTTTATTTACAGTTCAGAAATGAGAATCTTCCGCGAATTTCCGAAGATTTGGACTTTCAGATCATTCTTGAGATCAGGGCAAATCCATTGATTATCCCTTACCTGAGTGATCGCTTAGATCTATAATCCCTGGGGAAGTCATGATAGCAGGCTCAGAACAAGTTTGCATGAGCCATACAGCTGTAGGGTAGTTGTGGTTCCATACAATCGAACATCTTCCCTCTGATTCTACTATTTTAGGCATTATTATTGATCGTTTTGTTTAAGGTTATAATCTAATCTAATCGGAGTTTTCCCAAGACGAATTATTCCCACTTTTCAGAGCGTAAAGATTAGGGGTACCATGATACGAGAGATTGAATATCGATACGTATCTACGATACTGACCTCACCTCACGATACGATACGAACGATATGATACAATGATACAGCGTAAGTCGACCGAAAGTTCATTTTATGTATTGATACAGCTCGTATTGGAGGTGCATTGCACGAGCGCTCGAGCACTCGCGGTACCCCTAGTAAAGATAATGGAGTGTTTCGGTAATTTCCGGCAGTGTCCGATGTTGTTCGTCTCTCAAAATACGTCACATCGCAACAAACAGTCAATGAAAGTAAAGGATCGCGCAGCTTAACAAACCATTGTTATTGTTTCTACATGAAAACGTCATGGTGTTTCTCGGTAATCTCTGGTTTGATGTCATCCAGAGTGGCGTCATAATTCTCAGAAAAGACACTTGACTTCGGGAAGTAACATTTGAACAATGGAAATAGCAGAAACACTCCATTATAAATACGCTCAGTTATTTTATGTTTTTATCAACAGATGCTTTATTGAATGTGTGGCTCTAGTGATTGGAGATGAAGCTAACAACAGTATCGAGTTAGTCCAACAACATTAGACCTAGCCTGGGCCTCGTTTCTTATCTGACATGTCTTATGGCCCCGGCTAGGTCTAACCTCCATGACCATTTTGCCCTTGATGCGTTAATTTAATCGTTCCGCAGGTTCCGACAAGCGGAACTAATTAAACTCTGAAAAAATGGTAATATTACATAAAGAATGTGATTCAAGCATGCATACATACCTTATAAATACATACACACCATCCCGTATCCCCCTTAGACCATATTGATGCATAATTACGAAAATATTGGAGACAGGTTTGGAATTTTACGAAAATATAGGTCAGCTCCAGTAACATCGAAATTGCAAATCGTATCAGGAATTAACCGTCATTGCGACACTGCATCAACGAACAGTAGGTTTGCAATTAATAACTATTTTGTGTGTATACAAGCGCTATATAAATCAATCAAAGATACCTGCTATCCTCAAAAATGGTTATTTTATCCCGAGTAATCGCGTGATAATTATCAATCTATTTGACAACAATTTCGTTTCAATAGTTTACATTTTAACCCGGGACGAACAGACACAATGACGGACATGCGGAAATGTCATTTTAGAGATTGGTAAGTTTAACCTCATTTTACTCGTATAAATGACCATTTCATACAATAATATTGTGTTGAATCGCTTGATGTTATGTGTTTTTATATTGTTGTCAAGTATCAGTTGCATGTTATCGCGGAAAAATGGTTTCGGTGGATCCAAAACTTGCATCAATGGAAAGAATATCAAAGAGGTTAAACTCAATAACGGCCCCAAGAAAATTCTTAATAATAAATAACGCCGTTATTGAGTTTAACGACATTGAACTAGAGTCCATTTCACTGCTTCAGTTCGTCAGTAGAACGGCAAAAATAAGAAATTGGGAGACCATTGTGCAATAATATATGGAAAAGTATATTCACAATGTACATGAATGACATTTGTATATCTTGGATTGCTTCTAGTTTGGCTTATAAAGTGTGTGGCCTCTTATATTTGGATGTTTCTCTGCCATGTTATTTTCAATAAGATTAACATGGCTGAAATTCTTCAAATTACAAGACGGCACAGGCTTATTGCACAAAAAACTAAAACATCTGAAATATACAAACGTCATTCATGTACATTATGAATATACTTTTCCATATATTATTGCACAATGGTCTCCCAGTTTCTTAGTTTTGCCGTTCTACTGACGAACTGAAGCAGTGAAATGGACTCTAGTATCGAGTATGCATTGTAAAATCACGGAAATAAAAATTTTCCGAAGATTTTGTGTCTTGTCCTTGAATATATTCATTGTCACAGGGCCGTGTCCAAATCTAGACAGATTTCCTCATGAAATCTGAGTTGACAGCTAAAAAAATTTATCCAAAGTTTGAGTTTGACTGACTGTTTGACTTTTGAGGTGTTTGAGTTTCTTCAAAAAATTGAAAAAAATACCAATCATGAATATTCTTACCTCGTTGTTCATTCATTTACATCGATATGGTCATCTCCAGTAGCTTTTCAATTCATTACTTGATTTGAAAGTATTCTTCCACGTTTTGTATCTGTATCTTACGATAGTGGCGTGATTACTTTTCAAAATAATATTTGAAGTATCCATGTACCTGGCCAATACTCTCTAACCTATACTATAAGCTTTCCAAATACCATATTTTCGGACATTGTGTAAACTATTCAACAATTTGCGATATTCCAAATTCTTGATTTAAAATTATTTTTTCAAAATAATTTGTCTTGTAAACCTATTTTATGCAGAAGCTGATGAAATACGAATTTAATTTGAGAGTATATTTCTTAAACGTTGTCGTTCAGTGTACAAGTTGTCCCACCCCCGGAAGCTGTATTCTTTGGTTTATTTTGATTTGTAAGTTTTCAATATACTTTTCATACACTGTTTCTCGTGGAATACTCTATCTGATTATGTAATAGTTGTGCAAACTCTTCTGATTGATGAAGTTCGAGGGATATATTTGTATAACACAGAGTGCATGTATTACCTTTGTGGGCCACAGCGACCTAAAAATCAACAAATGCTAAAGCCTTCTTCAAGGCTATATTTATAGATATTGGATAGATGGTGCTGTGCTGGCTGTGTTGTGGGCCCCTCGCCCAACTTGAATGACCCACATTTCTGTACAGTATAGTGATATGTGAAGTTGTAACCTAGAACCCAGGGTTCAAAGATGGCCCACGTCTATAATGTAAATCTGTATGATGACCTAACGTCCTGATTAGTCCAAATCGACAAACAAAAGTGGCAGATTCAAAATTTTCTAATAACGCTAATAGAAATGACGAGCACATTTACATGTATGGGTCGTATTCATATTGGGCCACGGTCTGTACTGTACATGTACAGTATGTATTATGAGAGTTTCTAGCATTTATGAACAGAGTGTCTCAAAAGTAGCAGTGATATTTATAAAGTAATATTTTATTTTATCAACCATTTATGCAGTTTTCGAAACTCACAACTGCCTGACTGCCAATGGCAACCAGTTTCCAGTTCTTGGCAAAAGACTTTGAAACATAATTGCCTATTGATTCAATGACAATAGGCTGAATTATGGTGAATTGTGGCAATCATGTTTTCAATCTTAATCATGAACCCTGAATACACTTGTATTTGTTTTTCAGTGTTGATATGCTGATTATGTGCACAGCATGAAGATTGACATCCATAATCATATACTGCCTGAACGATGGCCTGATTTAAAAGAGGTATAACACTTAATCATTATTGACCTCTATTGCATAAGATATATAATTCTTGTGTGTGTCTGCCTTACACCCTTCCCATGCACCCTATGTTAGTTACAATTACTTGTTTGCTCTCCTTTCTACATGGTTTTTAACTTTTTCCTTAGAGATATGGCTATGGTGGATGGATACAACTCAACCATGATTGTTGCCAACCTGGGAAGGCTAATATGATGAAAGATGGCAAACTTTTCAGGGTCGTTGATGAAAACTGTTGGTCTCCAGAGGCCAGAATTCGAGAAATGGATGCCACTGGTGTGACTGTACAGGCTCTTTCTACAGTACCTGTAATGTTCAGTTATTGGGTATGGGAACTTTAACACTACAACTATTAACTGTATTGGTTAAAAGACTATACACTCAGGGCCGTCAGATGGGGGGGTGCGATGGGTGCGACCGCACCCCCCTTTGACACCCCCCAAAAAAAAATTGAAAAAAATTTTTTTTTGAAAAATTTTTTTTTTCATTGACTCATACCACTTTGAAAATGCCCTGAAAGCACCAAATAACATCTCAAAATTGTAAAATCTTCTGGGGGGAACAAAAACAATGGAAAAGTTCTGAATTTATCTTATGTATAGTCCTAGACACTTTTAAAGTGCCCTGACATCATCAAATAGCTCCTTGATATAGTCAATGATTCTTGGAGACTAACACTTACTCGCCCTCTGGCATCCCCACCCCACCTCACTCTATGGCACCCCCCCCCCCCTTTAAACCCCCAAAATCCAAAATTGAAAAAAAATTGTGATTTTTTCGTATTTTTTGTTGAGTCATATACTTTGAAAGTGCCTAGAAATGGTGAATAATGGAAAAAATTGTGATTTTCTTCAATGTTTTAATTGATTTATACACTTTGAAAGTATCCAGAGAGCACCAAATAGTGTCTTAAAATTGTAAAATTTTCTAGGGGGAGTTGGCCACCCCTCATGCCCTAAACAAAACAATTGAAAAGTTCCGAATTTATTTTATATATTGTTTCAGACACTTTTAAAGTGCCCTGACATCATCAAATAGCTCCTTGATATAGTCAATGATTTTTACTCGCCCTCTGGCATCCCCACCCAACCTCCCCCTCTGGCATCCCCTTTGACAACCCTCAAAAATTGAGAAAAACAATTATGTGATTTTTTCAAATTTTTATTGACTCAAAAGCACCAAATATCATCTCAAAATTGTAAAATTTTCTTGGAGAGTTGGATTGAAAAAATTCTGAATTTCACTCATACATTTTTAAAGAGCCCAGACATCATCAAATAGCACCTTGATATGGTCAATGTTTCTGGGGGACAACCACTTGGTCCCCCTCTGGCACCCCACACTTCACCCTCTCATCCTCTTTGACACCCCCAAAAGAATTCCCTTTTTTATTGACTCATACACTTTGAAAGTGCCCAGAAAGCACCAAATAGCATCTCAAAAGTGTAAAATTTTCTACGGGGAGTGGGCCACTCCTCACACCCCATACAAAACAATTGGACAGTTTGGACACTTAAACAGTCACCAAGTGGCATAATGAAATCATAAACATTTCTAGCACCCCACCCTAAAAAACTAAAGCATTCATTTACTCAAACACATTAAAAGTGCTCAGAATTAATCAGACAGCATCTTGAATCGGTAGAATTTTCCTGTGCTGCCCCTCGCTCCCTTAAGAAGAAAATGATTGAAAAATCTAAATTTCTTTAAATTGATTCTATTGATTAAAACACCTTAAACTGTCCAGAAATCACTGAATATGATCTTGAACTGGTGAAAAGTTTTGGGTAAACATTTATGCCCTTCTACCACACCTTCCCCTATTCCAGTGTTTCTCCGAAATTGTTCATTCAATATTTAGTCTAAAAACAATAAAACACTACAAAATAGGCTCAATATAGGGGGTAACCGACCCCCCCCCCTCTGAACGCGATCTGATTTAAGCGGCAAAAATTGACAATTTCATATTCTCTTTCGTAAAAACCGCACCCCCCTTGGAGAAAAGTGTCTTACGGGCCTGACACTGTACTTTGCGGTAGTGGTTATTGAAAGTTTTACCTGAGTAGCAGGCCCGTAGCCAGGGGGGGTTCGCAGGGTTCGGACGATCCCCCCCCTGGCCAAAATTTCTTTCAAAATCATGCAGTTTTTCACCATTTTGAGCACTTCTCAAGTGATTTTAGCCATATTTGGGCCAAAATTGTCAAATGTGAACCCCCCCTGGAAATTTTTGAAAAATGAACCCCCCCTTGGCAAATCCTGGCTACGGGCCTGAGTAGGGCAAACTTAGTATATCTTCAAAAATGTTATGGCATATCCCTTGTATGTGACCAGGTCTAAGTACTATTTGCACCACATTGACTCAAGCTCTTTTTAAAAACATTGAGTCATTTTACAACATGGTAAAATGGGTATTTAAATTTTGATCTCTTTCTTATCTAATAGGCTAAGCCAGAAGACACCCTAGATATCAGCAGGTTACTTAATGATGATTTGGCCAACACAGTGCAGAAATACCCCAGCAGGTTTGTGGGTCTAGGAACTCTCCCTATGCAGGCCCCTGATCTTGCTGTACAAGAGGTACATAGATGTGTCAAAGAATTAGGTAGGTCATATTGGAATACAACTTTAAGATAACTTGTACATGTAAGAAATAAAGATAATTGGTTAATAAATGAACGAATATAAATGTATAAAAATATTATAAAAATGCAAGATTGAAATCAAAAAGTACTTAAAATTCCCTTAAAATTCTAGAGATATCAACAAAAAATTCACAGAGAAAAAGAGTAAAAATGCAAGTTCTGTATATTTTGTTTTAGAAAAATGCCATGGTCTTTGAAGATCCCTGATTTCTAATAAAATTGATTTAACTATGACATCTAGAAACAGAGCATGGTGTACTAATTGTATCAAAGCATAAGTCTTGAAATGTCATTTGATATAATTTAGTTTATTTAAGCCTCTCTTGATGTACCCACTTACTTGTATAACATTATTTGTAAATTCAGATTGTCATATTGTAAGATATTACATGTACATAAGACATAACATGTTTCTTATTATCATTTTGAAAATATACAGGGTGGGCCAAAAAATTTTGCAACTTTTTTAACCTTTAGCGTGCTGCCGGCGGACTCGTCCACCGAGACTAAAATGTCTCTCACAACTGCCGGCGGACCCGTACGCCCGATTTCAAACTTTTAAAAACTTTACTTTTTCGCGCCATTCGTATTGTCCAATTAGATTGCCCGATTTATTCAGTGCCTAACATGACTTCCTGTTGACCTAGAATGGCGATATTTCGAAAAATAATTCTCAATTCAACAATTTAAACAGTGTTTTAGTCGTTTTTAGTGAACGAATCGTACAAAATGGTGGACAAATACGATCACAACGAAAATGTGGAGGAAATGAATTACGATTTCGAGCTCTTTAGGCTCTTGGAAGCCGATAACGGTCATCGAAAATAGAAACTAGAATATTTTCTGAATTGAAAAATTGAACATTCGATCGCTGCAAATTCAGATTTGGATTCTGACCAGACGAAGAGGCGGAGCGGCGGATTCCGGAGGAGTATTCATGGTATATTTATGCCCAGTCGTGTTAATGTACGAAAAAATTCATGAGAACATTTTTTTCATGAGCCAGGCCACTGTATCTTCCCTTTGTGAAAATTTTATCCAGATTCATTCAGTAGTTATTGAGATATTAATTATTATATCATTTTTTGCACTCTTTGAAAAATAAGCCAGTTGCGTGGGATATATTTGCTGAAATAAGGCAGCATGGTAAAGGTTAAAAGGCTAGAAAAGTATCAAAACATAAGGGCATTGCCATAAAAAATTATTTACAGAAACTTAAGGATAGGCATATTTTACCATTTAAATACTAAAGCTAAACTGGACTTCAATTTTTTTTATCAGATCTTTGAATATCAATGGTCTATTGTTCATGTGTCCGAGATTTACCATTTTTCCTAGAAAATGTTTCATTTATGTGATCAACAATAACACATTCATTATGTTCACTAAATCTGTTACAATCTTGGATAACTGTTCAACCAATGTCTAGTACAGTTTACATCATTATCTAGTCACTATGATATTATGTATCTATTGATTATTTATTATTAAACAAATTTTATGCATCCACCTTTCACCTTCTCTACAGCGCGCAGGGAGACATGGGCGGAACTGGTCAATGGCGCGATCCAGCGATTCTTGTGGTAGTTCTCCCCACTTCTCCTGCAGAACTTCTTTTAGTTTAACAATAGTTTGTGGGGGATTATCATTAACTGCAATAAGCTGCTCCAGGTGCCCCCAATGGTGATAGTCACAGGAGTTGGCATCTGGAGTATTTGGCAGCCATTCATCAGGACTAATGAATCAAGGCTTATTCTCCTCCAGATATTCCAAAGTGGCTTTTGCCCGATTGCTGGGAGCGATAGGGAAGGTGAAAGGGGGGATGCATAGAACATTTGTTTAATAGATAGTTAATAAATACAATATAACATAATACCATAGTGACTATATACTGATATAAACTAGACATCGAGGTAGACAACAGTTATCCAAGATTGTAGCAAATTTAGTGAACATTATGAATGTGTTATTGTTAAACACATAAAATCATAGAAAGTCACATTTTCTAGGAAAAATGGTAAATCTCGGACACATGAACAATTGACCATTGATATTCAAAGATCTGACAAAAAAAAGTGAAGCCAGTTTTAGCTTTAGCATTTGACTGGTAAAATATGCCTATCCTCAAGTTTCTGTAAATGATTTTATATGGCAATACCCTTATGTTTTGATACTTTTCTAGCCTTTTAAAAAAGTTGCAAATTTTTTTGGCCCACCCTGTAGTTAACCCTGCCCTAGGAACACCTTTTTCTTGTAAACACCTGTGTCTAGTGAACACCCCTTCTCAGCACATACTCCTCTGACTTCTTTATAAAATTGCCTCTCTGTAGTGAACACATAGCTACAGTGAACACCTATCTGGCTCCATGGGTGTTCACTAGCTGTACATAGGTTTTACTGTGAATTAATTCTGGAGTTTCTCTCACTACTCATTCATCCATTCATTAAAATATTTAATTTAGGTTTCATTCTTTTAGGATTTAAAGGTATCCAAATAGGATCCCATGTGAACGACTGGAACCTAGATGCTCAGGAGTTACGCCCAATATTTGCTGCAAGTTTTTTTCATTATATATTAGTAAATTGCTTCTTTAACCAAAATTTGGTTGAGGGTTAAAAGTGAGACACCCAGAGATTTAGTAGTTGGCCTCTTGATTATATTGCTGAATGCGTTCTCATATCTGTTTTTAATTATATATAACACTGGCTATTAATAATTGTCTTATAATCATTTCCTTACTGTTTTCTTCTAACAAACTCACTGTAAGATATTCGATCATGGGGCACTATTGTCGCATAGGTCTCTCATTGTACATCAAGAAAATATTCAAGTTGGAATGTTACAAGAATTAGCACCATTTCCCCACATATATATGATAAAACTAATTGTTACAGGCATGTGAAGAACTTGGCTGTTCTGTGTTTGTCCACCCTTGGGATATGCAAATGGAAGGACGCATGCAGAAATACTGGCTTCCCTGGCTTGTAGGTAGGTAGAAAAGTGACAATGGACTGTAGCCAATTTTCCATTTGGACTTTTCTTTGGCCCTATTCCTAAAATTTGAATAGAGTTCTTTAATTTCTCACTTTTCAAAATAAGCTTGAGTAAGTACTCCAGGCCTGTTTCCAGCTTTTGCCATAGGGGGTTCACTTTTCAAAAAGTTCCAGGCGGTTCACATTTTACAACTTTGGCCAAAAAGTCTGCTCAGAATGATGAAAAACTTCATGATTTTGAACGAGTTCTTGGCTTAATAGTTATAAGATTAAGCCGACCATTTTGGGGTCTATTTCCAGGTATGCCTGCTGAGACGGCCACCGCTGCTTGTGCGCTCATATTTGGAGGTGTACTGGAGCAATTCCCGAAACTGAAAGTCTGTTTAGCACATGGGGGTAGGTTTGGTACTTAATTTTTAGCACATAGGGTGGGTTTGGTATAACTTAAGGGGACTCATCTCTAACCCTTACGACAATGGTGATATACTTGCCAATTACAGAACAGAAAATAAACATCTTCAGAAAAAGCTTGTTTGTTAACTTCACGTTTGACAAGTGTTTTATAATTAAATGTTAATGACGCTGAATGACGGTATGTGACACTTCACGACATAGTTGCTCATAGCAACTATGAGCTCCTCACTTGAAGCAGTGTTTTATCATGACGTCATATAACACTCTTGCTCACGAATTCTTGGACTATGGTACCATTATCTGTGACGTCAGTGGCACATTGCCCCATCAACAATTAAACAAACAAATGAACTATACGTCACTGATTTCCCAAATAATTGTATAATTTGGGTGTTTGCTTTGTTTTCTTGTATTCGTTCAAGCTTAGTTCTATATATTTTAGCAGTTTAACAAGCAAGCAAAGGTTTTACAGACAAACTAGCATGTCACTTGCTTTTTTCGCTAAATGGCATTAGTATGAGCAATTTATATAAGGTTTCATTAAATATTACCTTGGAAATCAAAATGGTTAGTAATTAGTATTCCCATATATATTACTGATGTTTAAAAAAATCGTTTTAGCCTACGGTACAGCCACCGAATTGTGTGCCTCTTAATAACATCTAAAATAAAAAAGGTTTCACCATCGATTTTTACGTGAAATAATATCAAAGTTTATTGAAATAAAGAGGGGATTGAAATTCAACATGGCGTCATGAACCATTTACAAATGTTAATCTTGTAGGGCTTTAATATATTTACCCTCATTTTAATTTTCTTGGAATTCAAACTATTCAGATAATAAAAGGCATTGCATTTATATAATTTTAAGCGATTGTAAAATGATTCGCATGCCCAATAACACGTAAGCTTATAGCGAGATCATACCGTATTTCGCACTGAAAATTTTTTGTTGGTGATAATTGATGAAATTCTTGAAAATATAAGAAAAAGCCGAAACTCCGAAAATAAATAACAGAAAAAATCGACGGTGGAACCTTTTTATATTTTCAAATGTTATTTAGGGGTACGTGGACTATTGTTTAAAATAATAAAAACAATATGTCAATGTTTTAGTTTTTTCCTCAAAAAATGTCAAAGTTTATGAAAATTGAAAGTCAATTAAAATCTGACATGGCGTCAATTGTACTGCCGAATTAGGGTAAGGGGTCACAGGCCTTTACAAAGATTGGTATAATAATGCTCTATTTACCTCGAATCAAATTTTCTTGGAACTCAAACTCTTCAGTTAATCAAACTGAAGTTAATCAAATACATTTTTAGCGATTGTATAATGATTCACATGTCTTATACGCGCACGGCGGAACCATACCGGTGAGCAATATAAACATTTCTTGTTGGAGATAATTGATGAAATTCTTTAAAAAATATCAGAAAAAGCCGAAATTTGGAATCTAAATAACAGAAAAAATCGACGGTGGAACCTTTTTATCTTTTAAAATGTTATTTAGGGGTACGTGAACTATTGTTTAAAACAATAAAAACAATATGTCAATGTTTTATTTTTCTCCTCAAAGAATGTCAAAGTTTATGGTAATAAGGTGATTTAAGCTCGACATGGCGTAATTTTTATTGCCGAACTTGGGTGAGGGGTCACAATCCTTTTCAAAGGTTGGTCTTGTGATGCTTTATTTACCCTAATTTTAATTTTCTTGATATTTAAATTATTCAGATAATAAAAGGCATTGCATTTATATCATTTTAAACGATTGTAAAATAATTCGCATGCCCAATAACACGTATGGCGAAACCATACCGGTGAGCAATATAAACATTTCTTGTTGGAGTTAATTGATGAAATTCTTAAGAAATATCAGAAAAAGCCGACATTTGGAATCTAAATAACAGAAAAAATCGACGGTGGAACCTTTTTATCTTTTAAAATGTTATTTAGGGGTACGTGAACTATTGTTTAAAACAATAAAAACAATATGTCAATGTTTTAGTTTTTTCCCCAAAAAACGTCAAAGTTCATGAAAATTGAAAGTCAATTAAAATTTGATATGGCGTCAATTGTACTGCCGATTTTGGGTAAGGGGTCAGAGGCCTTTAAAAATATTGGTATAAAAATGCTTTATTTACCCCGAATCGAATTTTTTGGGAACTCAAACTCTTCAGATGATCAAACTGAAGTTAATCAAAGACATTTTAAGCGGCTGTATAATGATTCACATGTCTAATACGCGTATGGCAAAACCTTACCGGTGAGCAATATAAACATTTCTTGTTGGAGATAATCGATGAAATTCATAAAAATATCAGAAAAAGCCGAAATTTTAAATCTAAATAACAGAAAAAATCGACGGTGGAACCTTTTTATATTTTCAAATGTTATTTAGGGATACGTGAACTATTGTTTGAAACAATAAAAACAATATGTCAATGTTTTAGTTTTTTCCTCAGAAAATGTCAAAGTTTATGAAAATTGGAATACAATTATAATTTTATATGGCGTCAATTGCACTGCCGAACTTGGGTAAGGGGTCAAAACCATTTATATAAGGTGTTCTTACTATGCTTTATTAGTGCCCATGAAAGACTAATTGGCATCAAAAGTCTTCAGCTTATCAAATGCCGTAAATTAAAAACAACCTTGGTGGCCGTCGTGACGATTTTCCTATCAATCATCGATAAAATAAGAACGTGTCGCTTTTAAAGCAAGCATATTCTAGTGAAGCGGGTAAATTGAGGCGTTTTTTCCGTAACGTCACACCCATCTTTCAGACGATGTAGGGAAATATTTTGATGGCTAACATTCAGTGTTTTTTACATTAAATGAAAGCATATATGAAACACTTCCGAAAAAAGAAACATAAACAGTGCGTTCAGGGTACCTCCAAATCGGCTAGGTTAGAGATGAGTCCCCTTAATGAGAACTTCTTTTAGCACATGGGCCCTTGAAGGGCAATGATTCTGATTAAGGTTCCAGTATTTATATTTTCTTCAATATAAGTAAATAAATATACATACAGATAAAAATTAATTTTTTCTATTCATCAAAAATCCAAAAGAAAAAAAAGATACCTTGTAGATTATTATAAGACGAGTACATATTTACATTCTATGTGCATGTCATACAGGAAAACTTATTATTCATTATAGGTGGTTCATTCCCTTTTACAATTGGTCGTATAGAGCATGGTTTTAATGTCAGACCAGATCTTTGTGCTGTAGAGAATAATGTCAACCCTAGGAAATACCTTGGCAAGATATATACTGACTCTTTAGTACATGATGAAAGAACTCTTGAGCTTCTTGTGGATATAATAGGACAGGTGAGTGTGTGAATGTTTGGTTGTTCCTAAATACAAAGAAGAAGATTGAAATTACTAATGAAAATATTTTATAGATATATACAGAGTCATAACTCTAATAGAAATTCTTTTTTATGAAAATCCAGGAGGTACGCTTTGATAACTTTGGCTCAAAAATGGCCAAATCACTTAAAAAGTGCTCAGAATGATGATTTTTTAAAGAATTTTTAGCCAGGGGGTTCCAGCCCCACGAACCACACGACCCACTGGCTATATTGGGCCTGGGTATGATCATATTAGACATAAAATAAGAAGTTTAACTTGACTATAATTTCTGATAAATATGTGTATTATGCAGAATTATTTTTGGTTTCAAGGATCGTGTACTGCTAGGCTCTGACTACCCATTTCCACTCGGAGAACACCATCCTGGGAAACTCATAGAATCCATGGAGACTTTTAGCCCTCAACTAAAGGTACAGTATTTCCCTGTATTTATAAAAGCTCCTATGGATACGATGTCTGTAAATCATTTGTAAAATGTCTCTGTGGGAACAATGTCCCTGTATAAAATATTTATTAAGTACTCTTGTCCAAAGTTGATAAAGGTTCTATATTTTTTCTCTGAAATGTGTATAAAAATGAAAAAGTTGGTTAAATTCTGTTTACTTATTTTTGATAATATTTCTCATAAATGTTATACTATAATTGCCTTAAATTTATTAGCACCCATTGTATATATAATTGTATTTCAAATTCCCAATATGCAATATCATATTTTTTATTTTTCACATAATCTCATATCGACAATGAAAATACAGAAACATTTTAAATCAAACAAGTATGATCAAAATAATATGAATCGTCCCTTTGAAAACAGTTTGTAACATGTAGTGTTTTAATTAAAAGTAATCTTTGTATGCTTTCAGGACAAACTTCTAGCTGGGAATGCTTTCGAGTTCCTGGGTCTAGAAAGAGAAAAATACGATCCTACATACACAGATGCACAATCTTTAAATGGAGAGAACTCAAACAAGAAACATAAATCATAAAGAAAATTAGAAAAATCTTAATATATTAAGGTATTTATGTATATTGCTCACATACTTCTAATGTGAAGTCTCTAAACCCCCCTTCCCATCTACATCTAGTGGGCCAGGGGAGCCAAAGGGCTTTGAAGTTAGACTGATTAATCAGTTAAAGGGTAAAGCAGAGATAGATAGTTAAAAGAGAGTCATCACAATTTTAGATGTTCTAGGACTTTTGCATTACATCAATTTAGCATCTCAATGAGTATATATTGTACTTTAGAAAGTTTTTAATTAATTAAATCAACATGTTGATTTGGAAATTGATCGATTTTTATGCACTGTCCACCCAACTCCTGAAATGGCTTTAACGATATTCTATACAGTTCTTTTTTGTTTTGCTTTAACTGTGATATTTTTAACCTGAGATAAATATATACAGTGTATCTTAATCAGAGTTTTAACTATGTATATTTTTCTATAGTGGAGAATCTTATTTGTCTCATTTCTGCACTTTAATTTTACAAAGATGGATGATGTGATGTGGGAAACTTCTGTATATACAGGGTGATCCAGAAGTAACGTCAAAGACATTGTAATTTCAAAAGTATTCATCAGATCTTCATGAAATTTGGTATACATGTACCCACAACATTTCTGAGTTACCATCTCAAAGATTGGAATTCAATCATTTCATTGGTTGAAATTATGGTTACTATAGTAACCCGATATCGCGTAACCCGGGGCAAATTGAAGAGAAACCATAACGTTTTTGTGAATTTCTCTAATTTAAAAAGTCAGTAACATTTGAAAATGTTCATTGTTTGTTTTCTATGATTTTTATATTTGTTGCCATGGTAACAAATATGTAATAGTTGTGATGTCACAATAGGCATTCATAAAAAGCTTTCAATTTCTTTGAATTGCTTCCATCATCCATGACAAATACTAACATGACCAAGGACACTAACCCACCCAATTCAAGATGGCGCCAAGTCAGAGTAAAATAGAGCAAAGAACAAACATTAAGTTCTGTGTAAAGTTGGGGAAAGGTGTAAAAGAGACTATAAGACAGATAAAGAAGGCATATGGTAAAGCTGCCATTGCTGAGAGAAACATTTACAGGTGGTTTAACAAGTATTCCAGTGGATATGATGAAGTGGTAGACAAGCAGCGAGGAGGCAGGCCAGTGTCGTCATTCGATGATCAAACCATCAAAGCAATTGAAGCTGATGTTATGGACAATAGGCAAATTTCTATCAGAGAATTGGCTGAAAAACACGATCTGAGCTATGGGACTGTGCAACGGATACTGACAAAGAACTGTCTGTTAAAGAAGGTGTCTGCTAAATGGGTGCCGCATGACTTGACACAGGAGCAGAAAGACCGGCGTGTTAAGGCTTCAAGGGACTTTCTTGCAAAATATCGGAGAGATGGAGATGACTTTCTTAACAAGATCATTACGAGTGACGAATCATTGCTATCATTCTACATCCCAGAGACCACGCAACAAAGTTCATCGTGGAAACATGACAACTCCCCAACACCAACCAAGCCTAAAATAGTACCAGGAATTCCACAAAAGAAACAAATGGTTGTGACATTCTTTGACATTAGAGGAATGGTGTTAACCCATTTTGTTCCCATTGGCCAGAGAATTAATGCCGTTTACATTGCAAAGGTAAGATATCATTTGTTCTAATAATACATCATACTGTGAATTTTATTTTTAAATTAAAGTATTTAAATGTTGTTCACTGTCAATATAATTATAACTCCATGGCCATGATTCAAATCCAAATCCAATCAATGAAACAACTGGTTTAACAACCATTAAACATTTGTTTTTCAGGTTCTGAAGCGTGATCTTCTACGTTCCCTGAGGAAAAAGCGTCCCGGACATCTGCAGCAGTTTATCTTGCATTGGGACAATGCCCCTACGCACACTGCAATCCTGACCAGCAACACAGTCCAAACACTTGGATTTCAACAACTTGAACATGCCCCTTATTCACCTGATCTTGTCCCCAGTGACTTTTATTTGTATGGGGAACTAAAAAGAAACCTTAGTGGAAATAATTTTCAATCCTGTGAGGAATTGAAAAATGCCGTAGTACTAGCCCTACAAGGAATGAGTTCTAATGGATTTAATTCTGTGTTCAAGGAATGGGTATCCAGACATGAGAAATGTGTTGCAAATGGTGGCAATTATGTAGAATGAACTATTATTAGTAACTGTGCAATAGTATGATTTATATTGTTGTGAAATAAAATGTTGAGGATATAACAATTTCAGATCTTGTTGATATTTTGAGATTACGCATTACACGTTAAGTAATTTGCCCCGGGTTACGCGATATCGGGTTACTATAGCAACCATAATTTCAACCAATGAAATGATTGAATTCCAATCTTTGAGATGGTAACTCAGAAATGTTGTGGGTACATGTATACCAAATTTCATGAAGATCTGATGAATACTTTTGAAATTACAACATCTTTGACGTTACTTCTGGATCACCCTGTACATGTATCATAATGTAAACTTGTATGACAATCAGAAGTTTTAGTTTTTTAATTTAGAACAACGGCAACAGTAAACCATCTAATCTACCATGTAAATTGTTCATGTATATATACAGGCCCGTAGCCAGGGTTTGGTAAGGAGGGTTCACTTTTGACGACTCTGACCCAAAAATTGCCAAAATCACTTGAGAAGTGCTCAGAATATTAAAGAATTTTTTGCCGGAACCCCCTAGCTACGGGCCTGATATGATCAATAAAAGAATAATAAAAAGAATCTATGTCACTCCAAGAGATGAACTGATAAAGCATAATACAGTGAAACATGGTGGCTCACATGTTAACTGAGAAAATGGGTATTTTAGAAAAAATATTGTTGTGATATTTTTCACAGTCTAATACTGTTATTGGATTACTGTGTATCATTCTTCATTCTATAGACTGAAAAATGAATATAATATTTTATGAATATTTATTTATAAAGGAATTAGAAGGGATCGAGTGTGAAAAATGTTGAAAGCATTTATTTTATAAAAAATCATGCCACTGGTTCCCTTACAAAGTACGAAATATCCAATAAGGAGTCTGTACTGTCCACGAAGAAGACAATCCTAATTTTATTTTCTGGAGAATGAACTGAGATATCTGATCAAATATAGAAGTTACTGAAACTTTAAGGTGTGAAAATGTCTTAATTCATTAGAAATGCCACAATTTTTTATACTGTAATAGAGTCAGAAGTGTTACGCTTTTTTAGAAAATATGCATAACAAGGAAAAAAATATTTCAACCTCTATCCCTTCTACTCCATTCTGTGCCTCATTTCTAGTCCATTAAAGCATTACCAGCTGACAAATAATTTATTTTGTATGTTAATTATAGCCAATAAGACTTACATGTACATGTATAACCAAGTAAATTTACAAAATAATTTCAGAGCTGTAGGCAGGATTTGAAACTTACAAGACAATATTGGATGAACAATTATTAATTTTTGCTCTGTTTTCTCATTTGAATTTCTATTTTTACCTTGACTCAAGCCTGGTTACAGCCATGCTTGTGATTTATATATATCTCAGGTAGAGTTTCTTTTCCAATTGTGTTATAGCTTTTAATTAAGGTAGGCATCAACAATTAGGCCCTTGGACAAACAAATCCTGTGAACCTGGGTATTGAAAGCAACACATATTTTAGAAATATGAAATATCTTGTATTTTGAAACACAGTTGCTCAGAAAAATACCTCAGATTGGGTCTGTCTTTAACTTTTAAAAATAATTTTGGTACCTTATGTACATATGGCAAATCCCTAAATATATTTGAATCAAAAGTATAGTTTGTACCTTGTATTTTGTATATCATATAAAATATGATTGAAATACACATTTGAAATAAAAGTATTTCTTGTGTTATATATTTATTTGACAGTCACTTTATAACAGTGGCACTCAAAGGTGCGTCAATATTACATATATGTAATATGTAAACAATACATTTTTTACTAAAGTCCATAGAAGAATATGAGACATAAGCTCAGAGTAAAATCATTAAAACAGGTTAAAATCAAGCTGTGCTATGTTTCACATACACCTTTTTCAGAAATCTTTTTGTACCAATATCAAAATTCCAGCCATTGTCGTGCCCCCAAATGCTAAACACATCATCCCAAAGGATCCACTTTAGTTTCATTTGTGGGGGGAAATATGTACTGAGACACAACACCTTTACTACTTATATCATGTATAAAATCAGCTTCTTGTTTCTGGAAATGAGGGCAGAGGAGGAAACGATGGATGGGATCATCTACAACGTTTAAGTTACATAATTTACAAATGCTGTTACTTATTTTCCATCTTTTCCTGTCTTCCTCAAGGTTAAAGCAGCCTGTTCTGGCCAGAAACTTAAGTCAAGAGGTGTAAAAGTCTGTATGGTTCATGAAGTACTTCTGTTTATTTGTATTAAATTTTAACTTTTTATAGAGGTTCAAGGAGGATTGGCTCCCAGAGTGCAACATCGATATTCTGTCCCATATATGGAGATGTCGTGATACAAAATTTGAGTTCAAACGGCCGCCATTTTGTTCACTTCAACATTTGAAACGTGAATTTTGGTCTTATTTCTTAATGAAAAATTCCAAAACTCACAAGAAATGATCGAGATAGGGGTATGAATCTTCTGAACTGTTTATTTTGAATTTATAGTCGGTTATAATTTCAGAAAATAAGGACATTTCGACGTTTTCATTGTTGGAAAATATTGATGTTCGATCCTGGGAGCCAATCCTCCTTGTAGAGGTTGAAAGACTTTTTATCATTGCTTCAAAAAATTCAGATTTTCTTCAGATTATTCAGCGATTCAGATCATTTGAGATCTTGAGAAATGAATCATACTAGTCTTAATTATCAGATGAAACACAGCCGTCGAGCCCATGGGCGGTTAATATCTTTGACACAGAATCAATATATGGCCATACTGAGCTTTTGCTTTAAAGTTAGAGAACATATGGCTAGAAGTATCACCCAAAATCTTACAACTTTTAGGAGATCCTGGCATTGAAAGCTTCATTGGGAGAATTTGGCTGATGCATTTCCCCAGTCATTAAAATTAGCTATAGAAGGTTTAGGTGGGTTGTTCCCTTGGGTGCTATATTGTGATCCATTTGCCAGTCATCCCATTTAATCTTAGCTATTACATGTTTCCAGGTGAATTTTTTAATGGGTGTATCGTCATATGAAAGGTTAGAACTGATTTATTTTTGGGTATTCTAGGTAAATGTTTAAGGCTATCATTATGGACTTTCAATTCCGAAAATTGTCTATTCTATTCAAGGGTGCAATATTGTTCACCCCGTGTCCTGTTTTATTTGTGGTTAATTGAGGATCAGATAGAGGCACTGTGCCTATTTAAGCACTTCAGTTTTAATCACGGTTTCTTCAAAATATACATGTATATTATGTTCCAGGCTCCAGTCTTGATTTAATCTATAGCATTCTCTCAAGGATTAATTTCAACTAAAGGGTACTGTTGTTGCTCTAATGATCACTCTTTATAGAAACGTTCCAAATATATTTACCTTTTTGCTATAGCCTGTTCAAAAGATCATATCTCCTTTGGATTCAGTAATGTTCACTAAATCTAGTACCCATTTACAATAACAGAAAATAGCTATGGCCATCTATAAAAGTCATCCGTAAAAGTCACAAACCCATTATTAAAAATAAACAACAAAAAATCTAATGCAAATGCCTAGTTTATTTTACTCTAAAATAGCCAGAATTACAATATAATTGGTTGACAAGACAGTCCATTTATACATTACATTATATAACAGTTCTATATAGAGAAAACATTTTACAAATAAATGCAAGCATGATTCTTACAAAAGTGTTGGTGTAGTTTTGTTTGAAATCTCTAGTCCCCCTCCAGTATCTATTTTCTTATCTTATGTAGCAGCTATGCCAGGGGAGGGTACATAAAGGCATGATGCAATCAATTTGTCACAAAAAATGATTTTCAAATGAAGGCATATAATACAAGAATGTCAAACTGACCAGTTAAAAAGCATGATGTTTTTGTTTAACCATATTCCATTGCAATTTTAATTTTTTAAAAACGATACACACTAAAATCTTATCCAATAAAACTGATATCTATAAAATAATGGAAAATGTATAGACTAAAATAAATTTGGTAATGAAAGTTAGAAATTAATGATGATGATCCACCAATGTTGGCTGATTGTGCTGATGATAATGTGGAAAATGCAAGACAAATCTTCAGTAAATACTTTTAATATTACATCACACAGTTCTGAACATTTATCTCCAAAGAACCATAATTTCCCCATGATTAGTGTTTTATCCTACCATAACAGTTTATCGATACATACAGCCTATTATTTAACATGTACAAAACCTCATTTTGAAGCAAATCAAGCTGTTAGGTCTAGTTCTATGTTTTGCAATTTGCACCATTCATTTCCTTATCATTTTTGTGATTGCCACACATTTTTCTGAAAAGCATGTTCCTGACACATCGAATTAAATCTTACAACTCAAGCCACTCCTCTGTATTTGTTTTACATTATAGGTTATATTGCAAAAATCTGGTAATCTGCGGAACATTTCTGGTTCTATCCCCTGAGCAAGTAACTGTGACAGGTATAAGATTCCTGTGACAGGTTTAGCATTTCTGTGACAAGGCTAGCATTATTATGACAGGTCAAGCATTACTTTGACAGGCTAGCATTTCTATGACAAGTCTAGCATTACTATGACAGGTCTAGAATGATATGATAAGTCTACCATTTCTATGACAAATCTGAGTGCTCTGAACAAGTATAGAGACGTCTGACAAATCTAAAGTTCCTGTGACAAATCTAGTATACCTGCAACAGGTCAAATGTTACAAACACATATTAAGACTTCATGAGTTGCCAATGATACTATAAATAGGAGGTTACTTTAAAAAAACCTACAGAACATGTTCATGACAAGGAAGTTCAATGATGTATTACTGTTCCCTCATATACCCTATTTACAGATGATCGTTTCAGCATGGTATGTTTTAAAACACTCAATTTATGATGTGACTGTAAAATAAAAAATAAAATATAACTTTTTGACTGCTTAATATTCACACAATAAAAAGCATCTAAATGTGTATATTTAAGGATATTATGATGATGATGATGACATCATAATAGAATATGCTACATCTGTGGAATTTACTACAGCTGCAGAATATTCCAGTATTTGCTACATCTGCAGAATATGTAACATCAGCAAAATTTGTTACATCTGCAGAATATGCTACACATTTCAGAATTGATACATTTGTGGAATATGCGACATCTGCAGAATATGCTACACCTTTCAGAATTGATACATTTGTGGAATATGCTACATCTGCAGAATATGCCACACCTTTCAGAATTGATACATCTGTGAAATATGCTACATATGCTGAATATGCTACATATTCCAACATTTAATACATCTGGAGAATATGTCACCCTTTCAAAATTTGCCACATCTGCAAGACTATGGCAAATATGCAGAATATGCCACATCTTTCAGAATTTGCTACATCTGTAAGACAATGCCACATTTACTGAATGTGCTACATCTGCAAGACAATGCCACATCTACTGAATGTGCTACATCTTCAAAAATTTGCTACATTTTCCAGAATTTGCCACATCTCCACAATATGCTACATTTTCCTATAGTTTACAGGTACAAAGACTGAAAGCTAAATGTAAGTACAACATCTGAGATATGTAGCACATTCTATTCTGTGTAAGTTTCCACTTCGAGGTATTGCTTTCCATCGCTCCATACTTTCAACATAGCGGAAGAAAAACAAGATTCTTGAACACACAAATATGATGCAAGAATGTTGTTTTGCTCCAGGTACACGAAACTCCAATCTATCTATGAAATGTACAGGGTCATAAGAAAATAATTTGAATGATACACATAATATATAAGTTTTAATATTGAAGTATTTACATACATGTACAATCAATTGTTGAAAAATCTAGCATTTATAATAGAATTTGAACAGATACAGTCTATTTGAGTCAAACTTATGATCTTTACATGTTCATGGTTTACAACTTTGCGATTTAGAAAACGCTGAGCTTTTACGTGTAATAATAGTATGCAATTAAAGGCAGGTTAATCACACAGTTAAGACTGTATTGTTTAAATTCTAATGTTTGAAATTAAATATATATATTTTTACTATAATATCATGATTCTCTCTTATGTACAGATAAAATGATAATTTATAATTTTGCATGCTCAATGTTATATTTCGTGTATAGACTTTAAAACATAAAATAATTTTTATACAGCCATACTCCTAAATATACAGTTCTCTACTTTATATACAATGGGGCCAATTTTACTATACCTTACTGACCATTTATCTTTATTATTCTTTACTTAAATCAATAATTCTTGAGGAAACATTACACTAGATTATGTGAATGAATTCCCCTCAAATGAAGGAACTTATTCTGAATACTTTTCACGTTTGGTTAAAGCTAAAAAATAAAGTATTTCATGCTAGCAAAAATAATTAGACCAGGTTGATCAATTATCACACTGCCAAAAGTACCTGTGTTATTTTGCATCCTTTCTTTAATATTTCAGTGTATCAATCACAGTGGCACGTAATATGTAGCTATCTGTGTCTACTGAGATAAGTTTCATTCAACATTAAAAAAACAACACAGTCTTGCATCAAGACCATGGTGTTCTTTCCATCCTACTCTCTATAAACAGGGAAGAGAAACATAGTTGGGGGAATGCATAGATTTGATGCAAAACTGGGTGTTATTTCAATTCTTCCAAGAAATCATGTGGTACACTCAATTTCTGGATGGTATTTTAATATGTTTGATACAACATGAAATCGCAACAGGATTTGGCCTTAAGGACCGTGGTATATTAAAAACATAAATTCCTACTAAAACAAGTCATTACAGTCCATAAAAATATTTTGATTTGTGCATGTAAAAGTTTGACTAAAGTTAGGTTTCTTGAACCTAAAAGAAGTGATTCTTTTACATCATTGGCATGAAAACAACAAAATTCATAAAACCTTAATTCGAGTATACATTCATGAAATGTACTCCCAAGTTTATAACTAAATTCATCCTAAATGGCATTTGGACAGATCCCCACACTAAAATATATTTTTGTTAACAAAATAAAACATCATATAAGTTGGCATTATTTTACGTTTAATAATTCTAAGGTCGTGTTGCTTACATCTTGGTGCAACGGAGACTAGAAAAACAGCAACTCCCTGGAATAGCAAATCCCACCGAACAAATATATTTATCAAATCACTTGTCATTTTTAAAATTTCATGATTGAAACAACCATTAATTTTTGCCATTTTTTCAAATATCCTCAAATTGAGCTTATTTTGTACAAAAAACACACCCCTATCAAAACTCAAGAAATATGTTATTTTCAGAAATGACAAATGGACCTTATTTTTAAGTAGACTTACGGTATAAATAATGAATTTGTTTTGTCTATTCTATTTAGCCTAACTTCAGGAATACCAAGATAAATGACTGGATATTTTCAGCTTTATCAGTCATAAAAAGATGCAGCAAATGGCTCAATAACTTAGCTTGTTTTAGTTGGATATTAATTAATGAGCATGGTACTTGTTCAATGCATGCTTTATTATGCCCAATTAATGTATATGTATATATATTTGCATTATGTTCAACATACCATAACATAGAAACAATACACCTCCTCAATTCTAAGAGAGGCAAGATCCATTAAGGATTACTTCTCATGTATACTTGCATCCTTATTGCTAACTCTAAAACAATTACTGCCATATATGGTAGCATTTGCAGCAACAGCAATTTAGCCTTATTTGGTTAAAATTCTTATTACGCTGTAATGTGTTGGTTATAGGAGACTTTCAAGAAATCCTATCTGAGAACAATGTGGTTACAATTATGCAACATTGATCAGATGATGTTATTCTGTTACAACCATTTACCCCTTAAGGCTAATATAATATCATAATATCCTAGAATTCATTGCAAAAAATATGAGCAGTGCCTATTATAATTATGGACCTCAGATGTATTTTACAACAAGAACACCGGTACACAAAATATAAACAATACAAATCACCACATTACTCAAAGAGAGTAGTATGGTATATTTGTAAGTTACAAGTTCAGACCATACAAATAACAAACCAGTATCAAAAATTACATTATTTCAAAAACAAAATGGCAGTCAAAGTTTAGCTTGATTCCCTTGGTTACAAAGAGCAAACATCTCATTCGATTTCTCATTTATAGAATGATTATCATATTTTCGTCAACATAACCCACTATGTTGCAGTCAATAGTATCTCTGTTTATTTGGAGTCCTGTCCAAATATATATATAATATATTCTATTATCCTGATTTAACCTGAAGTGCTTTGACCTTCAGAGGTTGACCTTATAGACTATGCTGACCTAGATCGATCCGACCTGAGTCATTCTGACCTTCCAATGACCTTCTAATCTCTGGGGAGAAGTTCATGCAATTTGAACTTTTCTCTTACATGGGGTCTGACATCCGGCTGGAAAAAATGAACATGAAAAGTACTTAGATTGAAAATAATTCAATTAACATAATACATAATAACTCAAAAGAGTACATGACAAATCAAATTAACAGTACTGGACCTTCAGATAAGACTTTTGATATTGTGAGATAGTAACTAAAAGGGCTAACTTTCTCTCCATTTGAAATGCATATGCGCTGAACTACAGTAGTATAACATTTTAACAATCATCCCTCAATATATGAGCTTGAAACTATATATTTTCATGTTTCAACTACCTCCAGCCTTAAAACTCCAACAACCAGTTCCAGCATCCTTCATCTTTAGCTCTATTTTTTATTTATATTTAGATAGTAATTAATGAGACACATCTAAATATTAAGGTTCTCACCACAGTCCTGAGGCCATCCAGAAATGGAACTAGCTTAATGAGCTCCTTGTCATCTCTGTCCATGAACCAACTTTCTATCGGGATTCCATTCTCCAGCTATAACACAAGCAGACACATTGTCAATCAATATTCCTCAAATATATTTTCATCATTTCATATCTAGCTTAGAAATTCCATATTTGAAGGATTCAGCTTTAAACCCAAACATTTTACTTCACATCATTTTCCATGATACATATTTATCCATGTACGTTTGCAATACAAATTTAAATCTAAATATTTTCTCATTATCACTGATAACACATGCAGACATTGCTTCTTTGCTCTTCCTATTTTACTTCATTTAACCAAAAAGGCATTAATATGCAAAATGTCACCACCTGTCATTTGTTAGACACCGACCAATATCCACAAATAAAGTTGGAGACTATAACAATATGTCACCACTTGTGGCGGTGATATAAAAATGCAAGGTCATTAATTCATTTCAATCACAACTACATGTACTTCTTCCAAGTTTCTAACCAGTGGTGTTAAAGATCTAATAGCAAAGGTTTTGCAAAAATAAATCAATGCAGTGTAAAACAAATGTATGTATAATGAAGAAATAAATATTTAATGAAAAAAATAGATATGTGTTTGTAATATTGGTATTAACTTAAGATTAAAAAGTGTCACTATCTCTTTCATTTTTCAACAAATATAGGCTCACGTGACATATGACGCGGGGCAGTCAATTTTGATCTATCATAGACCATATCAGTATCAAACTGCCGATATTTCAACCTCGTCTTGCGAGGCCATTTTTATTTGAAACATCTTGAATTTGGTGTCAAAATAAAGCTGGTCACGCCCACTTTCAGAGTTATCAATGAATCATTTACTACGACTACTATATTCATTTAGGAGGCGTGTAAAGTTAACCAATCAGAAAGACAATTGCTCCATATATGACAGTTCATTAACATATTCAGTGTTTACTATTGTTTTTCGCGTCATGACAACACGAGTAGTAACCAATCAAAATGCCGTATTTTATCACGTGAGTTCAGAGTGACATGCACGACATGTAAGTTTAGTCTGAGCTGATCGCGATGTTGAACAATTTCTTCTCGGAATTTGTCCAGAGAAATCAGCGATTCTAAATTAAGGTAGGATCTCCCATTTCTTCCTGTACAAGTTTTAACTTATCTCTATCGAATCCTAAATAGTATGTGAGGTAGCACCGAAAAATGTACCGGTGTCTGAACAAATTGAAATTACTTGTTTCCTATGTATTTTTATGTGATACTTCAGAAAATTTATGTCTGACACGCCGTATCCGGGGCGAAAGTGGTCAAAATGGGGTTTTTGACCCTAAAAAGGAAAATTACAGGGGGGTACATTATCATCATTGAATAATTAATTCAGTTGATCTTCAATCATTATAATAATTTTATTGAGAGTTGATGAGATCATTCTGAGGTAGTATGTAAAGTTTCAATGGTCTGACACTCATGGTTGTCATGGAAACCACAATTTTTGATGAGAAGATCCATAATTTTTGAAAAATCTGTACCTTCACCTAATATAGAATGTGGATTATTTTTCAAATCAACAGATATCAAAACATTTTAGCATTCTCAAAATTACCAGGGGAGTTCAAACATTTATTCAAATATAAAGGATATTGCAATTAACATAACTGGTAAGTGTCAAAGACCATACAATTACATTAGGGATCAAAAGTGGGCGTCGCCCTTATAGTAGTAGATGATTGCCAATCTCTATAAATACAGAATTTTAGTTGACTTTTGAGATACATTTATAATGATGTTCTTTGGTTATACTTCATATCAAGCATTTTTGCTAAATAATGTACATCTAAGTGTTATACTTATTGCATGGGGGGAGGGGGTAGATGGGGGGGTAACAGAATTGAAAGAGGGTAGAGCTAATCACCCTTAAGTACAAATCTCATCTCCATAGTTCTGAATTTCATGGGTTACATCGTCCGGGTCTTCTTCACATTCATCTCAATATATAGGATATTATAATTCTGCATGATTGGTAAGTATAAAGACCATAGAATTACTCAATTGATCAAAAGTGGGCATCGCCCTTATCAAAGTCAATGATTCATTCTCTATAAATACAGTTTAACTTGACTTTTGAGATACATTTACATTACAACTTCTTTGATTATACTTAATATCAAGCATTTCTGGTAAGTAATGCACATCTAATTGTAATAGTTCTTGCCTGGGGGAGATTGGGGGAGAGTAGTAACAGAATTGGGAAAGGGCAGAGGTAATCAGCCTTAAGTATAAATCTCATCTGCATAGTTCTGGATTTCATGGGGTACATCGTCTGGGTCTTCTTCATATTCATCTCAATATATGGGATATGACAATTTACATGATTTGTCAAACACCATACAATTACATATTAATAAATGATCAAAAGGGGGGTGTCATCCTAACAATAGTAGATGATTGGTTCTTTGTATAAATACAAAATTGAACTTGACTTTGAGATACATTCATAGTTATACTGAACTGCTGTTATTTTAATTTATGTCAAGCATTTCTGGTAAATACATCTGTGTAAGTATTATAGTTTTTACATTGGGGCGGGGAGGAGGGGTGAGTCGTAACAGAATTAGAATGTGTAGATCTAATCTGCCTTAAGTATAAATCTCATCTTCTTAATTCTGGATTGCATAGAGTACATCTTCTGGGGTTTTCTGATTCCTCTCCTGGTGTTGCTATATCACCAATCTCTTATCTGAGAATATCAGTCAATACCCATTATAAAGATGGAGTCATCTAGTTTCCATTCAAGTCCATCTGGTGGTTCAATATGAGGATTTGCAATATGGGCCATACAGACAATAAGTGCTTTTTATGGATGAGATGGTTACAACAATCAGGCGGTCCTTCATAAGACAAACTTAGGAATATTATCTAGAGATGAGATGAGTGTGACACCCATTATGACCTTGGAAAGGCACAAATATCAAGTACAGAAAAAGACATAGAGTTTCTTGATCCATTTACCATTGAGGATGAAGGTCATCTCTACGGTCTATCATAAGGAGAATCTGTGCCAAATGATGTCGCTGTCATCTAATTTTAGTCAAAAGGAAAATTTGCGATTAGTTGAAAAAAAGAGTTCACGATATAATAAAACATATGAAATTGAAAACTACAGCAGCAAACTACAGCAGCAACAGTGACAGTAAAAAAGTACTCAGAACAAGCTTATAAGATGGTTCAAATTCATTCTGATTCTGAATGAAAAATCTTTGAACAGCTTCGATCTTGCTTAGGAACATAAAATTAGCCTAGAATGTCTCCTGCAGTTCCTATTGAGCCCTGTGCCTTGGGCTCTAGGTACACTGACTGGACTTCTTGCAAGAACAGAGAAACCCATTCCTATGCATGAATAGGAAGATTCTACAATTGCAGATTGATTAGTTTTTGTATGTGATAATTACATCAAAAATTCTATAAAGGAACCTGAAAGAGGGGAGGGACACCTTGCCCTATTTAAGGTTGAAAAACAAGAGTCCCTAAAGATTGGAATGAGTTCTTGTATGATGATGAAAACAAGAAGCAAAATACAGCAAAGTGTGCTGCTGGATACTTGAGTTGGAAACAAATGAAGACTGATGTCAGTGGTATTTCCTCCAATATAGACCCTGACATATATGCTGCCTTCCTAGCACTTTATACATTCACAGATGAAGTGTCATGCAGAAAGGGCAATAGCAAGAGCACCTTTTTAAAAGGCAAAAGTGGGGCGCCATATAGACACATTCAACTGAATGATTCTCAAGTCTGCAAGTGTAGTGGTATATTCTTCCATATGAAAATGATCAGACTATGATATTAATACTTAAGACTGACTGGCCATTGGCTCTGCCCCCTCCCATTTCTGCTACTACCCCCCTTGCCTCCCCCCCAGGGAATACCTATTACAATATTAAGTGTAATCAAAGAAGTTTTAATGTAAAAAATATATCTTAAAGTAAAGTTAAACTCCATATTCATAGAGAATGAATTATCTACTATTGTGAGGGCAACACCCACTTACGTAATTGAATGATCTTTGACACTTACCAATCATGTAAATTGGAATATCCCATATATTGAGAAGACGTGAAGAAGACCCAGAAGATGTACCCAATGAAATCCAGAACTAAGTAAATTAGATTTATATTTAAGGCTTATTAGCTCTGCCCATTTCCAATTCTGTTACTCTCCCCCCCTCCCCCAGGCAATAACTATTACAATTAGATGTATATAACTTACCAGAAATGCTTGACATTAAGTATAAATCAAAGATGTTTTTAAGTAAATATACTTCAAAAGTCAAGTTAAACTCTGTATTTAAAGAGAATGAACCATATACTATGATTAGGGCGACGCCCACTTTTGATCACATGTTTTATTCTATGGTCTTTGACACTTACCAACCATGTAAATTCTAATATCTTCTATATTAAGATGAATATAATAAGACCAAGAAGATGTACCCTATGAAATCTAGAACCATGAAGATGAGATTTATACTTAAGACTGATAAGCTCTGCCCCCTCCCAATTCTGTTACTACCCCCCCCCCTCCCCCTCTTCCCCCCTGTATCCCCATGCAATAACTATAACACTTAGATGTTAAAATGCTTGATATCAAGTATAACCAAAGAAGTTCAATATAAATGTATCTCAAAAGTCAACTAAAATTCTGTATTTATCGAGAATGGCAATCATCTACTACTATAAGGGCGACGCCCACTTTTGATCCCTAATGTAATTGTATGGTCTTTGACACTTACCAGTTATGTTAATTGCAATATCCTTTATATGTAAATAAATGTTTGAACTGCCCTGGTAATTTTGAGAATGCTAAAATGTTCTGATATCTGTTGATTTGAAAAATAATCCACATTCTATATTAGGTGCAGGTACAGGTTTTACCAAAATTATGGATCTTCTCATCAAAAATTGTGATTTCCATGACAACCGTGAGTGTCAGACCATTGAAACTTTACATACTACCTCAGACTGATCTCATCAACTCTCAATAAAATTATTATAATAATTGAAGATCAACTGAATTAATTATTCAATGATGATAATGTACCCCCCTGTAATTTTCCTTTTTAGGGTCAAAAACCCCATTTTGACCACTTTCGCCCCGGATACGGCGCGTCAGACATAAATTTTCTGAAGTATCACATAAAAATACATAGGAAACAAGTAATTTCAATTTGTTCAGACACCGGTACATTTTTCGGTGCTACCTCACATACTAAAAGTTTTGGATGAAGATATGAAGCATACGTTTAAAAACGAAGCGATTAATTTGACGATCTGATTTTGCAATTTGCAATGGCCAATTTACTGCAAGTCTGCGTGTATTTGACAAGAGATAGCGCCAAGTCTTGTATCCGAATGCTTGTTAAGCCACTCAAAAACAAGATCCATATTTTCTAAATTTGATAACTTTGCAGAGAGCCCGTTTTCATAACCTGTTTTCCGCGTCTAAATTCAAACTGAGTAGGATTATAGGATCGCTGGGATTCTCAGTCAATGGCAACGGGTCTTCATTCCAGAACGCACATTTTTTTAGTTGATTCTCCATCATAGTACTTGTCTAAAGTCCATATCTGCTCTTTTACTGGCATACTTGGACATATTTCCCCTCCTTAAATTGTCCTCCTTAAATAACACCCTCTCGCCGATTTATATATAGCCATTTCCCAGAACCCGGGAGTCAGAATCGCTGATGTTTGCCATATTGAACATGTTGAAATATGTACTGTAATATCTGTAATACTAGGCATTGCCTGCTACGCGTAAGGGTCATGTGACTAGCGCGATACAGGAAAAATGGGGAATTTCGAAACAACAATTTTTGGGCACTTTTATTGCAAATTTCAGGTATTTATAAGTGTTTGTGGTATAAAATATAATCCACAGACATAAATGAACATCCAAACTACATATTTTATTACGTTTTGGAGCCTTTTTTGCTTTTAAAATGACATCTTTAAATTTCTCAACTGCCTACAGTTTTAACACTTTTGCCCCCCCCCCCTCCCCATCTTTTTAGGCCTTTAGTGCCGGAATAGGCTCACCCATGTAGAGTGAAATGTTGTTTTGTATTGTCAGTACATGTACTCCTATTGAGATTCTTTCTACAAATGTGAAAATAAAAAGCCTTTAAGAACTTAAAAGGTGGTTTTGTACCTGGTATCCAAAAGCCTGGGGAGAGTTGTCCACTATTATGGTTTTGGAAAGATCTCTCCCTAGATTGGTCAAGTCTTTGATATAGTTGCCATTTACACAAACACAGTGCTCCCGGAACAAGCGATGCCTAAAAGATACAAAACAGGCCCTAATTACCAATATCAAAGTAGCTTTGAAGTGTAACATGTTTCTTGAATTATCTAGAAATATTTTTAAATCAGTATAAGCCATATTGGTGGGTTATATTACCTTTGTATCAAATGTCACTACAAATAATGTAAAGCATCTTTATTAAATTCTCAATTTACAAAATACAATGACCAAATTATCAAGAACAATAAATAAATTATGTAATTCAAAGTACAAGACATATGCAAATTGACATTATCGTGGACTTTTCTGCTATAATATGTATACATACAATTCAAGCATTATCACATATATTTTCTGAGCCATTGACTACATCTGTATAGATTGTTATCTTAGCACCTGTGTTTTTATTTACGCACCTGACAAGCTGTTTACGAGGATCCAAGAGATTCATCAATTTGTTTGCGTAAACCTTTTTAGATGCCGTAAACAAGATGACCTCATAGAACTTGGAGACATGCTCAAGGAACTCTCGGAAAAATGGTCTTGTTCTGACATACACCTAAACATAAAAAACACTGATATATGAAGAGGAATTGATTAAGATTGGTAGAAAACAGCTGAATAATGTTTTAAAATATACACAAATTATAAAAGATCAAAATACATGTCCTGAAGGATAAATTTTTTTTTCAACAGATTAGCATAATTTACTTTACTTGAAGTGCATTACAAAAAACTTCAAATTGAATATCTCTTAAAGGTACAAGGCACAAATTATGAACAAGTATAACATATTTACAATAATCAACTAAACTTACATTATATAATGAATACTTCTTTATCATAAGAATTCTATATTTTTAAAAGTATGCAAAAATATGCACATAATTTTTTTTCCTGGTATGAAAGGAAACTACAAATCAGGAATATGCGCTTACTTGGTATGTCATGTCCTCAAAAAGGACAGGGAACGTGAACGCAGCGTCCTCCAACTCATTCAGACTGCAATGAACAAGCGTCTCATCCTACAAATAGAAAAGAACAATACAAGACATGAAGTCGTTTTATGAGATTTTATTTCTCTAACAACTGTCAACCTTCCAAAACTTCAATAATAATATTAGTTTTTCCGACAGTGAAATTTGGAAATAATAAGATGCATTTGTTTTACATACATGTAAGAATTCATTGACAGAAATTATCAACATTTGATGAGAATAACCCAGATGCGAGTAGAAATAATCTTGATTTTCGTCATTAAAAATTCAAAATTCAGTCAAAGTAATATCATATTTGAAATCTACATGTAAAATTACATCTAGAAATGTGGTTTTAAAAAGTGTTTATCAACTTTGAAAAATTAATTTTCTCTGAAAATGTGACTTCTAGCTCGGGGAGATTCCCCATAGACCCCATGCTATAAAATCACAAAAAATGAAATATCTTTTCTTTTAGCGGACAGATAATATTTTGCTTTACTGGACATATTTTCATTAGTATAAGTCAGACACATAAGGGTTATATGAAAATTGAGCCACTTAAATTGATAATATTCAAGTTTAAAGGAACTTTCTTACATACCTGACATGTTAATTGACCCGAATCAGCCACCTGGTGGTGAAACTGGTAACTACCTACTCGCATTTGGGTAATTTCCATCATATTGACTGTTATGTTATGTATATGTAAATACTGCTTCACGAAGAATGCCATAAATATGCCTTATCTATCATTAATTATTTCTTAAAACAAAAAGTGCTCTATATAGCAAGTTGTTTTCTTACCAGGTCTAGTACAAGCGAGAACTCAGGGGTGCTCCGGGTCTTAACTGGCAGAAATGGCACTTTAGCTCTCATATCATCCGACAGCTCTGGTAAATGCTTGATAAAATAGTACCTAAAATGAAAGACAGATATCTATAGCTGTATCTGAAAAGTAATTTATAAAACATTGAAATGATGAACTAGTACTCATTTATCAGCAACTACTTACGGATCAAATTGATCGTACTCCTCCAAATCACCGGATTCATTCACTTCTTCAGACGTATCATCTTCCTCTTGGGGCATCCAGAGGGGCATTGTTGTTGAATCACACTCTGCAATCTCATGGCTGTTTCCATTGGCCTCCACTGTCCCCGTTTGTCCTCCATGTGAGCCCTGAGAGTACATACAACTGACTTCCTCTGAGGGGTTGGCATTTTCCTTACCTGCAATAGAGTAGAATTATTATTAATATATGTACCTTAATGTAAAACCTTGATTCTGCTGGTTTGAAGTTTTTGAAATTTTAGTATAGAGGACATATAGTGGATTTGGGAAAATTAAATCAGACAGAAAAGTGTGCTTTTGAAGTTTAAAAATAAAGAATCTTTATATTCCAAATGAGCTGTTACTTATTGAGAAAAAATTGAAATATATTTTTGAAGAGTTACTGTTTCAAACTCAGTAAGAAAATTACATACAGGCATACAATTTATTGTTGATATAAAATATAACAGGTATATCTGATAATGTCATTGTGATAGATGACAAAGCCTATATGAGGGTATACGAGGGGTGATCAATAAGTCAATAACAATTTTGGCCAGTATGAAGAGTGTTCCATATCCACATCTTAATGAACGAGGTTTAAGTGCTTACTGGAGTTTGTTGTGGTAGATGAACATGCACTATCATTCTCACTCTCCCAGTTATCGTTAATCTCCAAATTCAGCTTCTGTATCACATCCAACTCATCTTCCTGAGTGGCCTCACCTAAAGAAAGATATCATAATATATTATAATAATAATGATTCAGGGTAAGATATTGATAATACTGTAATTTGATTGGTTCTCAGACTGATTAATAATATCAATATTTCATTCTTTTAAGAAAAATGACACAAATAAAATGTTTGTATTATTATTCACTGCTATACATGGGAGGGAGAATATTCAAAAATGTAGGAAGTAGTTGCTTTACCAAACTAGGCATAAAGGCATAATCAGATCTAAGAATCAACCTTTACAAAAAAGATTATTTTAGAAGTTTTAAGTTAGTTAGAACTTTTGAAGAATTTTTTCTACGAAAAAACAGATCATAATTGGCAAAATTAAGGAACATTTTCTTATCTTTTAGCAAAAATAAGATTTTTTGGATTTAGTACAACTAATGTTGTATTCAGTGTTATAGGTTCCCATACCATTTTGTTGGTTGAATAGTTGAAACATGGGGGAGAATATTGTTCCGAGAAGGCTACTTCTTGGTGGACTAGTAGGGTCTTCTGGGATAGCTTCCCCCTCTGTTTCACTGACTTCTGGTTTCGTCTCCTCACATGCTTCTGTGTCTTTTATATCATTATTCTGTTTACCTCTTCCTAAAAGTCATAAAAAAATATAAATCTAAAAATCATTTAATTGAGAATACAACACTCAAGCACATCCACTAAAGAGGTCAAATCATAATTGCATAATAACAATCACTGAATATTATATTTCTCAATATATTAGTTAATGAGTCTGAACAAATAAACATTGAAAACATTGAACCTAACCTAGTAGCTTCTGGTGGCCAAAATGTGGATGTGAGACATGAGTTCTCACATCCACAAAACAAGTGGTGATTTTGGTAAACAGGAAAATTATGCTAATGAAACCTGAACCCTGACAAATAGTTTGTATATTATGTCACCCCCAAAAAGTGATATTCCATACCCTTTCCTCGCTTCCTTCGAGTGTGTTTCCAACCAGACGCAGTGGACTTTTTGGTCCGTGATGTACCCTTAGGAGCGGGGCTATTCATAACATCCCCATTTTGAGTAATTGAAGATGTGCCATTTGTGAGTTTTGTACGTTTTGCAGCACATGGAGTGGATGAGATCAACATGTTGTCATTTACGTCACTACATCCCGACTTCCGGGTTCGTTTCAATGCAGTGACTGATGGAGGCTGAATATATGAAAAAGATAGATACAAATAATAATTACGATATGATAGGGCAAGGGCAGTGTGGATAAGACAAAGGTAAGGTAGCAAGGGTTTTGGAATGATGTAGCTTATGATTCCGAGAAAACAATTGTCTACCTTTAGGGGAACAATGACTGAAAATCAAACTAGTTCAACAATATACATGTATCTCTTTCTCTTGAAATCCCATGTTTTTAGTGATTCTTGAACAAGTATCTTACTATTCCAAGTATTCTGTAATAAATATCAACATCAACATCAGTGATCTCCCTAACATTAGAGGAACCTGACACTACACCCAGTTGTAAATCTGATAAATACATGGCAATCTGTTGAAAATATGTTTTTCACCCTGCCAAAAGACAGAAATTCTAAGTTATTTGGAACAAAACAGGCAAATTAAGATTCATCAACCAGTAGAGAAAATTTTGTCACAACATGCATCGTGTCTGAAACAGGAACTCCAATTTCATTATTATATCACAACACCTTATAGCTTAAAATTACAAGAACCAGCATCTTAATGCGAGGTAATCATCTCTGTTACTATTATAATGCAAGCACATCCAATCATAATGCCAACTTATATTTATTAATTCAAGATACACATAGATGAAGGTACATACGCTTATAAATGACAATAAGGATATCCTGAAGAACATGTTAAATATCATCATTTTATGACATTTATAATGGTAAAATGAAAACTAGAAATAGACAGCATTGAAATGTGAAATGTCACGACCTGCCATTTGTTACAGACACAGGGTGCCAAACACCAACCCCCAAATACCATCCACAAAAAATTTGGAGACTATAACAATGTGTCAGAACTTTTCCACTAAATGGAACAAGTTTGGGGTTCTCTTCATGTATTTTACAGGTGTTAGCACTTGCTACAATTTGGAAGACAAACAGGGAAATGGTTGAGTTGAACTTTAAATATGTTGGGCGGGATGGATGATTAAATCTGATAGTGAGGTGTATAGGGTTTCATCACTGCTTATATTGCAATGGGGTATAAAACCTATCTGATTGAATGCCTCTCTCTAAAGAAGGCTTCTTTTCATGAAATACCTTTCAATTATAAACAAGACGACAGCAATGCCAAAGCGTAGCAAATAACACTGAAGAGACATTTTGCTTTTTCTATACTTTTTGTCAAGGTCTAAAAGAAATCAATCATCTTTGTATGTTTATCTAACTCAACTTATATCCCCTAGTTTTCAAACCTTGGCAATAGTAGTCTCATAAAATATTGCAAAATTTATTTTTATTTAACAATGACACTAAAAATATACCTGCCCTTTTATAGGATTTACATTTAAAAGATTAAGGTCACGATAACCTGGTTAAAGAGTAGGCATAGAATTTTCACATCAGCCCTTAGGACAATTATTAATATATTCAGATCAGCATGACCTTGATTTTTTAATCTGATTGCAGCCATCATTCATTTCCTCTCTGATTTGATTGACAGGTTTATTTTTAATTTTATATTTGGAATGAAATATATCACCAAAATAGAAACTTCAGAGCTAAAGTGTGTAACAGAACTAAAGTTAAGTTTTTTGTAATTCAATAAATATTATACCTTCTTTATTACCAATTATGTATCAATTGACAAGAAAGGCGACCATAGTATAAATTGCTTAATGAATGGAGTTTTAAGTGATAAAATGCTTTATACCCTACACCTGTAACTCGAATATATCGTACCATAAAATAATTTTATTGACTCACCATTTTTTCAGTGTCTTGTGGTTTCTTCTTCTCGGACCAAATGTAACTTTTGATAGTGGACAGTATTCCAGATCCTTTCTAAAACAACAATTTTCTAACATTCAGTCATTTCAATCTCAATTCGTATTTTCAGTCATTCCCCATAATATTACACCATATTACATATTTCAATTCATATTGATGCTAGAAAGATCTTAATATTATCAAATTTAATCATTCAATTCTGTATATTAAAAACCTTTAGGAATTTTTAATACTAGACAATGGTTTTATCAGTGGAATATACTGCACTTCTACTTAATTTGGCGCTACTTATTTTGAAGGATTTGCTGTTTTGAACATTTGGCGGCTACTTAATTTGGCAGACTTGCAATATTGAAATGTATATACCATACATATTTACGATTGAAATATGAAATACATTTATTGAATTTGGCGGTTACTTAATTTGGCGGACTTTTAAAATTTGGTAGATCTGCCAAATTTTCTATGTGAAAATTTTAGCAATTAGATATACCATGTAATACCATTGATTTATTAAAGGACAACAATTTATTGAACGCTTCAAATAAAATAATAATAAAAAATGATTATGGATATTATCTTTAAGGTTTCTACATCTAGATTAAAGGAAGTTCTCGAATATTCAATATCAAATGTTCAATATCAACATGAGATTAAGCAGAGTTGTTTTCATCAATTCAAGGCTAAATGTTTCAACAATGACATAAATCGGTCAGAAATAGAATTAATGTTGTCTTGACTTTTGAAATAATCAATTAGAGTTACCATCATGGCATGATACTGTCTATTTTCATTACTTTATTGCAACTTCATTCTTCATGTAATGATTCAAGCCAAACTGACAGAGACAGACTTGAGTGTACCCTGAGTATCTAGGCAATTGGTATTTAATATGCATATTAATTGCATGAAATCAAATAAATGTAATTTCACTTGAATATTGAGACAAGACATTTATATGAAAAATATCACTACCTGCCATTTGTTACAGAATGATAAATTCTGAACACCAACTGCCCATTACCTACCACTGAACACAAACCACCAAACACCGTCCACAAAAAAAGTTTGAGACTTTAACAATATATCACCACTTGTGGTGGTGACATAAAAATCATGATGGATTATCAATATCATGATTCATTAAATCAGAACCAACATTTCCTTTTCTGTTTTCAAGTAAACAACTTACCTGTTCTTTTTTAGGTGTTCTTTGTCGAAGGTTGTGACCGGTATTATGTGACTCCTCACTAGATGGGGTTGTCTGCTCACGTTCTGTGGGGTTTACATCTTTGGGGGCAGGGGTTCTGCCATTATGGCGACGTGGTCGCATTTCACATACCGCCACTCTGTGTTGTCCTGAAACATAGGAGAAAATAGAATTGATTATCAATATTCTAATCTTTGTTACATTACAGTAAAGGTACATAATTAATATATCTCGGAGCTCAACAGAACCTGCGGAATCAATGTTATATGTAATTGCTCTTTAAGTAAAATGACATCACATTAATACGAAAGTGTGGTAAATCATGCTTTATCTATTTGTTCTCTCAAAGCAAGTCTATCCCTACTGATGTTCCTCCTATCTATTAGTATTTGCCAGTACCTAAACGAGAATTTAGAAATTGTGATTATATTATGGTACATTTTGGCCCATTTTGAATATTTCATAGCCAAAATAGCCAAAGTGAAAATCATAGTACTATAGTCCATGACTTGTTCTACATCTGATCAGTTTTACAAAAAATATCCAATAATAAGGACATTTTTGTACATAAAATTAACATATCTATTACAAAGCATGTGTTTATTACGAATAAAGCAAAATCAGATGTTTCTAAAATATGTGATTACATCATGATATCATAAAATGAGCTATCACAGAATATGACATCATTTACAAGATGATTGAATGCCTTGCTCTTGTGTGAAACATTGATCTTCAGATTCCATTAGCTTCCCAAACATTTTTCAAGGTGCAGATAACTTCTCCCTTTTTCTCTTTGTCCAATTCTTATAACTTCACAATCACACCATTTTTTGATCGAGTCTGTGTATCTTTTTAATTTTTTCCCGCATTATTCCTTATTTTATTCACTCAATTTGATAAATGAAAGAAGTACTTTTTATATGGGATTAACATTGTGATATATGCCTATATTGATTAGCCACTAACATTGCAATGGGAGCCAAGCAATAAATATCACCACTTTCAAATACAATATTTCATAGCAGATACTTATGAAAGTGAGAATGAAGGAAACTGTTAATATCGCATATGGCTCTTTAACAAATCGGAATCTGAACCTCACAAATCAAAAGTCAAAATATTATCTATTTTTATTTATGTTATCATACCATAGTTATTAGAGAATATTACTTCCTCTCGCAATGCTCAGATCATTGTTAAAATATATATAGTGTTCTCCAAAGAATTTTTAATATTGGCAAATATTCAACAAATGTTTACAGTTCTGCTTAAAAATTGGTCAGAACATGCCAATTTTTCTCATTTTCAAGGTGGAGCAAATTCAGCAAAAGGTGCAAATAGATGATGCAAAGTTGATGCAGTACCTGAGGACCTACTTGGCTTAATGCTGAGGAGATCATAGGTTTATAAAACAATATGTACTATACTGAGCCTCCTGCCAGTGAATCCAGTTTTCAAATCTATTTGTAGGTGTAACATTTGGTTGAAGCATACACTATAATTCAAAATAATCCTTTCATCTAGACTAAATCTAATCAGAATATAAAGGTAGAAAAAATATCATTAAATTTTCTCACTGTAAGTAGCAAAAATTTGTTTCATATTTAAACTCCCATAAAAATGCTCTAAAAGCTATACTTGAGCTCATTAAGATATTATTATCAAAGACGTTACATCATTAAAAAAAATTCTAAAACAGGTTGCTTTCTAGTGGTAGCTCTCTCCAGGTTCATTTATTTCAAAATCTGTGTGGTCATTATTTTGTCATGGCAAGCTAAATAAGACTCTAATAAACACCTACAGCCCAGAAACTGTTTCACTGAGCTTGAGCTGTGCCCATTAATGAGTTGAAATGTTATAATGGTACGTAATGGAGTTTTTTATTCTAAAATTGACTCAGAGGGTACAGCGGCTTGGCTATGGAGATCAGGGTGGTTCCTCTATTATGCTAGAGACCACAGATCAACCAGTGTCTTGGTAAAAGCAAATCTGATATACATGTCACTGAGGAGAAATGACATGCTGTGTTAGTTTTATGTTAGTGAAAAACTGAATTGTTATGATACTTTTTCTGCTTATTTATTAAGAAATCTAAACAATATTAAGATGGAAAATAGAGTGCTTTCATAGCATTTGCCAAAATGTAATGTATCTATTTTTAGTTTTTCTTGATGCCTAGTGGTAACATTAGATTCAACACTAACTACAGCATCAAAAGACACTTGTTAAGTTATATGTGTTACCCAAAAATTATTTACTGTTTTATTAAACAAACCAGCTATATCTTCCTTAAAGTAAGATGAAGTTGAAACATGAGTTCTTCACCCTTACACTATCTTAACTAGATACAATGGTTGGTAAACCTGTCAAAATCCATGCATTTACACTTAAAATAAATCAATATTTAATAACAATAAACAACAAATAAACAAGAATATAACTTGCATATCATATCTAACACTCCCTGTCAATATTCATAAAAATTCTTCATTTTTTATTTTGGAATAGATACTTATTCAAGGGGATCTCACAAGCAGCTTCTAATTCGCATTATATTGGAGAGTAGCCAAGTTGAACCTAGATGTTTTCACAACTGAAGAACAAATTCTAACTAAGTACATCTGGTGTATTCCAGGCTCGGTTACAGCTGTATATGTATGTATTTTGAGTCTACTATTTCACTGAAAAAACAAAATCTTTGAAACATTCAGTGTTTGAGTTTTTCTGACTGTCACACCTTGTTCTTATTTGTGTAGTTCACCATGAAAACCTTTCTGGAGATGGAGAACTATCTTCAGAACATAACGTTTTATGCTGAAAACCACTCTGTAGGGAAACCCTCACTTTTAATTCAGAATACATAAACCTATGCAAAAGTAATACACTCTCTTTGAAAAACATACCATTTTAAATTAGATATCCCTGTTTTAAACAAATATTTTGATCTGAGCATATCTCTATTCAACATTTATTATTGAAACATGCATTTCCTTAACTTGAAATTCAAATTAAGGTTTACCATGAAAAACATGTATTTCATATTTTGCACTATCTCAATTTTTATTGATTCATTTTGTTGGAGACAGGAACGTCCACTTTTCATTTCTATCACATGTTCTACAACTACAAAAAACCTTATTAAACGTGTACTTTAACTAGTGCTCTGGGTCTTTAGGCAGAGAATGTCAAGGTTATCAATTCAAACCACCAAACTCCTTTTTAGACATATACTATTTAAACACTTATAAAAGGCAATAAATCAAACAAGTTTAGTATTATTATCACAGTGTGATTTTGGCTAGTTTTTAACTTAACACTTAAGTAACAGCAACCTATGACATTTTGACATGTGATATCAATGTTTCTATCTCCATCTTGATTTGACTAAGCGTGACATTTGTACAATATCAAAATACATTATAACTATCTTTTCTACAAATAATGAGGCAAATGATATCTCTGGATCACATACAAGAACTTATAAAAATTATATCAGGATATCAGTTCACTGCCTGGATACAGTGAACAACATGGTAACAAAAAATAATATAAAAATGACTGTCTTATTTTTTTACCTAACATGCTCAAAATAAAATTCTAACTAACTAGCTCGAGATTTTATAAGAAACATCCCAGAAAATCTCAAATCAAATAATTCTCAACTAGGTCGCTTCATGATGCTAGCGAGATCACTGTTTCTTTTAAATATTCTTTTTGACAGCATAAATAACAGAACCCCAGCCTATATGGATAATAAACATACAAGATCTGATTTTTATCCAATACTTGGACGTGTTACAGGTACATAAAGCAGGTTTGTAAAAACTTTTATTTTCACATCTACCCTCGGGACCTAAGACCCTCGGTCAGATATAATATATTTGCCTCAGGATAATCCCAATATCCTGAACCTCATATAGGATAATCCATATTTATTGTTTATATTTGTTGTATCTCTGCATAAGACTGTATAGTATATAGTTCCACCCTGTATGTAGATTTGTTTGCTGTGATAATATATCCTGAACCTCTTCAGCTAGACAAAATAGCCTCTGATCATAACAGATGATTTGATACTGATCTTAATTAACTCAAATGTAGTTTTGTGGTTATTAATGGCAAATTAAATATGAACTGAAAGTTAGCATTAATAGGTAGAAAAAATAGTGCGGCAGTGCCATGAATTTCTGTCTAGTAGCTTATGAATGTAGTAATCTAGGCAAGGTGAAGGAATTATCTCTAATCTTGTGGTTAAATTGAGCTCTTAGAAAGAGTAATGCTTATAGGTGAAGGGTAGTACAGTTCTAGGTTGTTAACAACTGAACACATGTATGTTACAGTAGTACATATCAAGGTGCCTGTTCTAAAGATGAGAGATAAAACACCTTGCGTTATCTACTACAGTAGTCCTGAACATTTAACATATCGCCTGATCAAATATAGCACTGTTACTCACTGCTCTTATATGTCTAATAAATAATACACAAAACGTACATGCTTTCACTAAGCTGTATGATGTTGTTTTAATATGTCTTCCCATCGAAACGTCTGTTAATCACCGTGGTCTGAGGTAACGCGGCGCAGTCAAGCATATCTGTTCAAAACGAGGCTGCAACGCGGCAAAGACACAAAATGGCCACTCAGTGGAAGGTCGAAAGGGCGGTAAGTTTATTCATAAGCGTCATACACTAGTTTGTGTCTGCTACAGTTATAATAGCATATACCATTCGGTGGAGAACTTCACAGAGTATGTCTGTGTGAAGCTTCTTGAAATTTAGTCAATCAGGGAAATACATTCCAAGTCAATCAAAGTCAATCACTTACTGAAATTTGACAATTGTGGCATTTTTCTAGCTTAAATTCTATGTTTTTGACTTTGTCACTTGACGCATATCTATTTAATCACGTATATACCACGGTAATCTCTATTTCTTCAAAGTTTCATCACTGTTTGCCTTCTGTTAACCGATTCTGGGTGGAAAACCAGGTATATTTTGGAAACGCGGTTCAGACACTTCGGCAACGCGGGTTCAGACATCATACATATTTGACAAAGCTGGAAACGCAGTGACAGCAATGCAGCTGATGTTCTATCGTGTACGATAATTACATTATCAAAGCATTCTCTATCTGCTTTTTTCAGGACAAAATCACCAAGATAATCATGCACCAGATGGGATGTAATGAGTTAGATACATCAGATACAGCAGATACATCATCTAACGATTCTCTAGAAGTTACACATGACGAATACGTAAGTTATCCACACACAAGGCTTGATATGCATCAAATCCCAATCAATGTGATTCAAACACACGGGGTCTATCCAGGCCCCGCTGCCATCGCGAGCAATGAGCTCAAGAGTAGGAACGAGGCCCTGAGAGATATGATAAAATTGGAATATAAAATTTTCTATGAAAGTCTAGTAAGTAAAACTCAGTACAACTTTATTTTGTAGTTCGATGGCTATTTCAATTGCAGGGCAAAGACGTTCTTCAACTATAACTATTTTTATCATATCTCTCAAAGCCCCGCTTCTAACATGAGCTCATTGCTCGCGATGTCAGCGGGAACTTGCTCGCGATATACGGGGCCTGGATATAAGTCACCGTGAAATAATATCTGTTTCCTGAAATTTGATTGAGGTTAAGGAAATAACGAACCACTTGTGATATATTTTATAGGAACAAAGTATTGAGATCAGTGCTGAAACTTTAACTTTTCCTTTGTTATTTTTATTTTGATATTTCAGAGACATCAAGAAATCCCCATTCTCCCACCCTGCAATTCCACACAGGAAAAGCCATGCAGCAACAAAACAAATGAACTTGAGAGATACAGTTGTACGTATACAGAATGCAATAGGAGCTATAAATACAAAAGAAATCTAAGTGCCCACATGAAGACGCATGATGGTACCTCAGCCAAGTATATTTGCCCCCACTGCGGAAAGTCATTCCAGCACAAAGGACACTATGATTGTCACGTCAATAGTCACACTCATGATAAAGAATTCCCATGTCCCAAATGTGACAAAATATTTGCCAGGAAGTCTCACCTTCTTGATCACAAATTAATTTGTAAATCAAGGGCAAAGCCTTTCAAATGCGAAACATGCACAAGGTTTTTCAAGGCAAAACGATATTTGAAAGAACACACCAAAGGGCATATTGATCCAGACCGTTTTCAATGCTCGCAGTGCGGGTGTTTCTATGCATATAGGGGGTCCTTGTATAAACATATGGCTAAAAAGCATTAATAAGGAATCATGTGTATGATTAATGTTTTTGGACTGTATGTTTATTTGGATTGAGATCAGATAGATATAGATTAAATGGTGTTGAAAATATATGTATTTTTATTTTTTAACAGGTATTTTATTTCAATCATAACCGAATGAGAAGTATGTAATTCAAATTAAAAAGAAAATATTATTCATTTTCTTTTGTTTGTAGAGTACACATCCTCGTGAAGGCTTGACAACCTTAATAACTCTCCCTTTGGATTACGTTTTAAAGCCTCTTTATGTATGAATTCGTATTGTCATAATCTGTTAAGATTACTTTAATTAATATTATTTCAAATACCTCCAGTTTAACACGTAGTCCAATGGGGAGCTAAGGTTGCCAAACTTGAAGGGGAGTGTACATTGTCGTCGTGCAATACGATTATAAAATGAATCTACATGACTTTAAAAATTTACAGGACTCTGTGCTTTAGTGTAATTTAATGATTATGCACTGGCATAATACGTACTGTACGTATTCATTTTTGTAAACAGACTTTTCCAATTACTCCCTGCCAGGATCAGGATCAACATGCCCTTTGGTTTGTTCTTTCAAAATTAGGTGATACTAGGCTATGACTTAATTTGCGTTGCCATAGTACTTTTCACCAAGAGCAATTATTTTAAAAAGAGTTTTGGCATTAAAAGGGTGACAGAGCTTATTGACCAACAATTCACCAAAGGTTTTGTTTAACATAGTACAGTATGGTGTTTGTATTAAATAGTTAAGATCTGATTGTTTCTGTTTGATGTAGTTTTATATTTGTATTTTCGAGCATTTCCTCATCAAATGAGAAAACTCATTACATCTTTAAAAGCATACAAGTGTACGATATATATATAGTTTATATCGAGTTTATAAATACTGTACCATACAAATTATGCATGTACCCTACGTTACGGATTGTCCGCACAAGCATGATGAAAAATGACGTTGTGAACATTTGTTCCTGATAATTGTAAAGATCATTACTATGTAATAAAGTGACATGCTAAATGTTTATGAATATTGAAAAATACAATAGAATACATATAGTAAATTTGAAAGCTTAATCTTACAATTTTATGCATTCTTGTCGTAGATATGTCTCATATAACTATTTGTTCCAGTGAACTGCATGATTCTTCATTACTTCCATGGATTGTATATCTTCTGATTTTATTAAGTCTTTATGCCATTTTATTTACATACTCAAATAGAACAAAACCACACGTTGTTAATCAAAACTGCATTATCGGACAGAATGCTAGCTTCTAGGACTAACAATTAGACTAGGCAAAAATTAACAGGTTATACTTATCTATAACTTAATTGTCTCAGTTTAATAGAGTGACCAGTCTTAAAGCAGTAAATGAAATTGCAGTTTTGTGATTAAGTGAATGAGTAGAAGGTCAACAAATATTTCGAATTCTTTATTTCATTAACTTTGGTTTTATACTGCTTTTATCATTCTAATTGGATTCCAAGTCTTTGAGTTGGCAAAATCTTTGATTCGTCTACTCGATGATATTGTCGAACCGGCAAGGCCCCCCGAGACGGAGCTCTCGGATTGGACACATCCCCTGCTTTTCCCTTCCTTTGCTTTCGCGCTGCCCTCTTAACTGAGTCGAAATAATGGTCCCTATAATAAAGGTGGAGATTAATACATCTAAGCTGCCCTGGATTTTTTGGAACGCCAGTCTGTTGGATTTTGAGAACGTACAATTTATACTGCATTTTAAATTGATATCCTAGGTTGACTTCGTGATTTTATATTTGAATTATCTGAGACAAATATGCAGTGAATGTTATTCTAATAGAGATCGCTCCAACTCATTTTGAATATTATTTATTTTTCAGTTTTTTTATTTTTTCCTCCATCCCAAAATATGTTGTTCATTTTAATCATATTTATTAATCAAATTCAATTGAAAAGGTTGTCTATATTGAATTCCGAACTTCACAATTACCTTAAGTGTATGGCTGAGATTTCCATTTTATTTGTAGATGCATTGAACTTAATCTCATCAGGTACAAAGTTTTCTTCCGGATTTGAAGGAGCCTGTTCATCTAGCTTGTGTTGCGGATACACAGGTCGTTTGGCAGTTGACATTTGAAAGGTTCTACAAAAGAAATATTTATAATATATCAATGCACTTCATACATATTTACTTCCTTAACATGTTTAAAGGGTCATGGTAGTATTTTGAGCACTATTAGATGATTTGACATTTCTTAATTTACAATAACCTAAAACCAAAATCATAAATCATAAAACAATTTTCCTGTACGTACTGAATTCGTACTGGATTTCAAATCCCTTCATGAACGTTATTAAAGGATGAGTTCTGGTTTCCAAATATGTACATGTTTCTAAAATAACGACAGGTAATACAGGCAAGAGCAGGAAAGTTTAAGAAGGAATGTGAACGTGACTAAATATTCAGTCATCGTGAATTGTCATACCTGCACAAGGGATTATGGCGATAATGCAGCAGTTCAGTAACTGTAGCCATTAGTCGCCCCACTGTTGTCGCCTTCGGGCATCCAAGCTTTGTAGGTTCGATCTCAGACAGTTCGCCAAAGAAGTTCTCGTTAACCAAGGAACTTATAGCCCGTTGATTGTAGGTTCCATTTCGGCAAAGTGAGTAGAGTAGCATATGACAATCGATGCTTTGGAGAATGCCTTCATATGTGATTATCGGCATACCTTTAATGTATTGCCCTGGTGGTGGGAAACTCCCAAAGTCCACTCCATCCATGAGGTATTCTCTAAACTCATACCGCCTTTTAGCTCGTTCGACTGCAGGTATGCCAGGATCGTCCTCAGCTTCATACCAGCGTCTAATTAGTCGTGTAAATTGCGCTTCCTCTTTGTACTGTAGATCAATCATACATCTCTCAACGGCTTCTGAAAACGTGGTCTTTGCAAACCTGTTATTTTGTTTGTCAATGAGGTCTTCAACCAGACTCTTACTTAGTAAATCAGGCCTAGCCGAAGAAACAGCATGCCATGCAGCTTTCGATACACCTTCTAGCCCGTCCTTGCATACCTTCACTCTGGTGTTCACAAAAATGTGGTCTCCATCAAGACACCTTGGTTCGATACGATTTCGTTCTTTGGAGTATTCGGGAAAATAGAACCATTCATACGGTGACGAAGAATCTAACCCATAGATTTTATTGACATCCACTGTTTTCATTGTTTCTTTCCAGCATTTGTACCGGTAAGGATAGGATAATGTTGCATAAGCAACATTTAAATGGGTTCTAGTGGGCAACTTAAACTGTTTTATGTTTGATCTAGGTTTGATTATTGCTTGGATTGAGAATTCACGAAGAGATTTCATAGTTTTCACTCTCCGTTCAGGTGGATTGATTTCAGAACCATCTCCAATTAACGAAGAGAGACGGTTTACTTTGTCATGTTTTGGCCAGGATTTTCGGATACTTGTAGGTGATATCTTCTGTTTAATGATGAGCTCATTTATGACGATATCTATCTCGTGTACGGTTAGTGATGACATTTCACGAGCATTGCTCAGCTTAGTTTTAATATCTTCATACTTTCTATTCTTCCACTTGATTGATACACTCTCCTTTTTATCAGCCTATAAAATAGAAAAATAGAAAAATAAATGTTTTGTCAAATTTATAGGCCTACTTTATCCCACAAGTCACAATGACAAACCCATATACATTTTGTGTCTGTCTACTCATCAAAATTTCTTGCTATAGTAAATCAAAATGGCTATTATGCAGGTATACATCGACATTTGGTTTGAGTCTGAGGTTAAACTAAATCACTCTACAAAATAGGTTCATAATTTTGTAAGTTGCATGATTTTTTGAACAAACAAAAATCAAAAGACCAGTGTGCAACGTTTAGGAAGGCTACCACAACAATCATACTTGGAAAGAAACGTGTTTTTCTCGATATAAAAGAGTTTTCGCAACTTACTTATAGCATAACTTATGTTTATGCATATAGATACTGTCCTATTCTTTAATACACACGATTATAAGTTATACGTCATAAGGGAGTGCTATACGGGAGTTGCGAAAACTCTCTATTGTTTCATATACGTATTTCCGATATACCCAGTGACCATAGACATCATTTAAGAATTCCTCTCCCAGAATACATTGTAATAAGTAAAAAAAATTCGGAACATGCAAGCCTATGTACATTTGAGCTTCTTTCACGATAATATATTTGTCAAGCATGTTCAAAGCAATGAAGTACCTGAAGTGCTTCAAGACAACCAATCAGAGTGATTTCCTGTGATATCAATTGCACGTCTCCAAAGACAGTGGCGCCATCAACCTCAGTTTCTCCGTCAATCTCTTTCTCTTCACCAACTGCTATTTCATCTATTAAAAGATAAGTATTAAGGGGGTGAGATCGGCAAGGAAATTGGTAAGTTAGGTTTAATAATGTTTCTCTTCCAAGTATTGCCCTTTGCACGATATAACAACAATATAACGACAAAATAAAGGTATACGAATCATAATACACGATCTGTTGAAGGGAGACACGTTATTGTATCATTAATAACCGTAAACTAAAAATAGTACCTAATCCGTCCAGGAATTCGGGAGAATTCGTTTCAGTTAGCAGAACGTCCAAGGCACCATCAGGCAAAGAAGAGACAACGTTTGCGTCAATGGTTGTATTTACAGTGTCATTCGATTCGGCAGTTTTATCATCGTCGGCACTCGTTTCGTCTTGACTTGCAATAAACGTATGGTACAGTTGAGTACGCAGTTTTGCATATGACTTCGATGTTACGTCGAATCCGGTATCAGAACGAAGAACATTGCAATCTGTTATCTTTAATGTACCAAATTTCTCCATCAGTAGCTCTTTTTTCATTCCCCTAACTTCTGTCCAGACGTCCTTTTGTAATTGCAATATGTTCAATGGCTCTGCTTCTTTGCTGCGACTTGCATATTTCGCCCACTGTCCATCAAATACCGTACACGAAATTTTTATCTCAGATCTTTCTAGCTTGTTGAGAATTGTGTCTGTCATCTTTCTCATCACATCGTTTGAAAGACTGTATCCTTTGAGAGCCCAGGCGATTGGAATTGCGTGTGGACATTCAGGAGACCATTCTCTATCCGTCGTACTGATAAGCCACACTAAAACTTCGGTAGCCTTCTTTCTAAGAAGTTCATAGGCTTCCTGGAGGATTTTACTTGCTCGTTCAATTACATCATTTTCCAGTGGGATTGCAAGAACGTGGTCGGCATTGTCTCGTTTCGTTACCAAAAATGGGCAGCCTTTGAATGGTGAACACAGACTTTTGAGGGAATCACTACCTCGTAGAATAGAGTTGGATGCGACTTCACAAACAAATTCGACATTTGTAGAAACGAACATCTTTAATGCTTCTTTGAGTAACTTAGAACTTGCTGTCAAGCGTGTGGGACGCTGTGGATTATCCGAACCGTAGATCAATGAAGCCTCTCGTGACAGCATTTCCCAGAGATCATCATCATAGGTAACTATAAAACACGTTGTGCTTTGATGACTGTAGGACAAATACAGCAATTTCCGTACATCTAATGCAACCATTTCTGACAGTACCTGGGGGACGTGGCCTAGTTCTAAACCATAGTGGACAGGGAGTTTATAATCCTTTGGGAATCGGCATTTTCCTTCGATAGCAATTTCCATTTTTGGAGCCCGACTGCTTTCCATTGCAGAGTCAAATTCATTTTTATTTACCAATGCTCCATCGCCAGATATCAACATCGTCGATTTATCTTTCCGCTTTATTTCACGAGCACCTTCTTCAACGAACACATAATTTGGATAAAATGCCGGTAATATTTTCCCAGTCAATGTTGCTACCAGATTAGGTTCATTGGCCGTGCCATATTCCAGATACGACTTGGTTTCATCTGTAAAATCTGGTTTCTTCTTCCCTTTGACGACACTGTCAAAATGTTCTTGCTGAGCTTTTAATGTACGTAAACCAAGGGCATTGTACAACGTGCTCCCTGGAACAGAATTGAAAAATCAAAATGCGTACCCTCTGTAAAGAAAAAAGGTGCATGGTCCTTTATCAGTCATTACATTTTCAAAATTTTGTATAATTAAACTCATATATCATTATATCGGCATTTATCGTTAATATTCTGGAAAATCTAAAACATGATTTTTCGTCCTTAAATAGCAGTGAAAGTAGGGATAGAATGTAACCATTTTGCTCAATTAACACATTTATATATTATATCTGACATATAGTTTGGTATGCATAAGCTAAGTATAGGATGTATAACATATTCAAGGGTCATTGAGAAAGACTAAGAGTTATAATTATCTTACAATTTCAAGTTTATTGTATGTATGTTACCCCTACCCCTAATTTGGAACTGATGAGAAGAGACCTCTGAATCTGAAGGATATTACCTCTAATTTTATCACAAATGATTATAGTTAGTTGGACTTTTATTCTGTAACTGATATTTTCCACAAAGTTTTATTGGATTGAAAACTTTATAAAATGGTACGTTCCGCTTAACGTAACTAACAATTTGGTTTCATGTCTGATCCCTTATTGAGCACATTGGGGTAGAGGTATAATTTAGAAAATCAAATATAAAGACGAACTATTTTATCTTACAAAGTAAGCTTTTTCGAAAAATGTATCCAACATTTTTGAAGTCATGACAATAATTTTGAATGATTTAACAACATAATTTGCAAAGGGCCTTTAAGGAATACAGGTTTTACTGAAAACAACCCGCTTTTATTATTCACACTTTACAATTCTTACCAGTTAGTCTATAGCGCTGCCGTAAATCAAACCACTCTGGCGTTCGTTGCTTTATATGTTCAGGTTTATTTTCACTTGAAGTGAGATCAACAGGTTCTTTCAAGTGGACCCAATTTTGCTGTTTGTTCTCTTGCAGTTCTCCAAGTTTAATGAGTGTATTTCTTTGCAAGTTGCCCGCCATTTCAAGCTCTTTCAACAATCCATCATTTAATTCAAGCAATTCTTTTACTGCATTTTTGACCTCGTGTAAATGAGCTGTAATGCTGCTAATTACAAATACCAATGGCCCCTTTTTCCAATCTTCTCCACCCTTGTCCTTGAACTTCTTTAATGCAAATGACTGTTTCAAGCTAAGTTCTCTAAGCTCTCTGATTCGGGTGGATACTATCTTTATAAATTCTTTGAGGCCGTCAGCATCTTGATTTTCCCTGTTCTTGATTTGATTAGATACATCTATTGCACGATTTATCTCGGATTTTATTCTACTTTGAAGTTCCTCAAGAGATTTTCCATCCTCGTGACCGAACAAATCAATATCGCCATGAGATTCTGTCAATCCAGATGCAAGCTTTTTACCATCCACACTTAGAACATAAGTTTTATCGGGTTTGGCCATAGGTATGGCTTCGTTGATGATGCCTGCAAAATGACCATATAAGGCATAAATAATATCCATAACGTGAATAGCAAAAGTCAATTGCAATGTACAACGTTTGGATTCGTGTTTTTCAATTCATGAAAACAGTTGCGCCTCGAGCTATAAAAATATCGATGGTCATCTACGAATTCGAAAAATCTACAAAACAATAACTTGAAAATTCCGGAATGAATTCATGTTTTTTCATATGTATCCACTGAAAACAAAATTAAACATTTGTTTTATTGTTAATGGAATATCAAACAATTGATGTAAAATTAAATTGAAATTACATTGGACTAAGTCGTGACTGGTGAATATACGGGCTGCGGGCAATACATACTGCAAAAATCATTGAAAGATGAACAGGTATTGCCTTCCATAGAATGAAATATTTGTTTTATTATATCATTGCTAGACATTCTTTACGATCAATTTGCATTTTTAATCAATAAATATATCATAAACCCATAAGTTAACATGAACACTTATCATTGTTACTAGTTTTATTTTCGTCTAGTGCAGATTTTATTATGGGTACGAAATACTCTGGGCAACGATATAACTGTCCAAAAGACACTTGGCACTATATGTGGTCTTGTGTAACACCAATACTGAAGGATGGATTTTCAGTAAACATCCGATCCCATAACTTTTATAAACATTTACACACCTGGTTTGAGAAACTTTGGAATGTTTGAGTCGAACCCAGTAAAGGAAGATAGTGTGGAATCATTAGGTACGGCAAAATTTATTTGAGAAGTTTGTGGATCGAGTTTCCCCTTTTCAGAGTTTCCAGACAGAAGTGTCCCTCCAAGTTTTTGTCCTCGCATAAACCTCATGAACTTTCCATGAAAGAGTCGCGACCCAACTTTCCAGAAGGTCAGTGACAATGGACTGTATGACATTTTGTGAGCGTTATCCAATGAAAACCAGCGCACAACGTCGAAGAATAAATGCATTGCAATATTGTCACCTGGCAATTGTTCATTTGCCATTGCTTTAAATGCCATTGTAAGTTCAGCAGAAATGTTGTGTTTTTCCGCATACATTAATACATTGGGTAGTAACCCTTCCAGTAAAGTCAGTTTATCAATCTCATTTGTTGTTTCTTTAAATAATTTTCTTTTAAAATGTCTGACGGGACGTCGATGCGCTTTTTTTGGTGTCCAGCGGACCTCGGGAAATGGGGTTGTTGGCCTCCTCCCCCTATCTGGTGATATGAATTTCCGTTTGTTCCCCTCGACATTTATGTTTATTGTAGAATTGCTCCCTATTCTTCGTCTCTTCGTTCTGTATAGGGATAGATTGGTATTGCTTGATCTTTTTCTGAAAAAAATCACATGCCTTATTAAATCAAAATCCTCGACAGAAAAGCATAATGCAAAACTTCTTTGTACTTTACAATACAAAGTTGATGCCTGCACCGCGTTGCCATACAATTTAATCTATGCTGTCGACGCGTTGCCATAATTGCTGAAAATGACTGCGCCGCGTTTCCGGCTAGTTCAATTTTGGAACCAGATTGCGATGAAAATAAACAAAAGTTTCAATCTTAATTTGTATTGTACATTCTATAAGTATCAGGCTATTGAATGTCAATGTTAAATTTGCTCATGAGTGGCGAAATACCTCCTTAATTGGAATAAGAAGATAGGTCAAGAGAAATAGGATCAGGAAATCATATCTGCGTTGACTTTTTCTTTACTCTGGTCAATGCCTGAACAGAAATTCTTGTAGCTTTACATACCTTAAGGGGTTGATCACCGAGTGTGAAGCATGAGTTTTCAAAAACTTACCTATGTTTCGAGGAAACAGAGGACGAAGTGCCTCCGATAATTGGAGTTGCCTCCATTTTGTGTCTTTACCGCGTTGCAGCCTCGTTTTGAACAGATATGCTTGACTGCGCCGCGTTACCTATGCCCACCTTGTTAATCAATCACTTCCAGTATACTAAAACTATTTATTGATATTCCATAGAACTAATGTACAGAGGAATATCGAACGCCAATCAAATTTTTCTAGTTACCTTATCTTTTTTTTATTAACAGATATTTTATTTAATTATTCAGAGATTCAGAGACAAGCTCTTTACAGAGAGGGCATTTTTCAACAGAATAGCTCCATCTATATCATATATGAAAATTACACAAATAATTTGTTATATAGATTTTTATATCAAAGCTATTAATCAAATTCCTCAAGCAATAACTTGGTCTCAGAATATTACTTTTTTTCTCGTAATCAGAACAAATGTACCTTCCTGCTATTTTATCAAATGTTGAACTAAGCTTCTTTATATTCCAGAAATCAAAATTCTGACCTCTTGAGGTGAACTGGAAAAATTGTATACCCCACTGTAATCCTCTTTTTGAAACCTTGAGTGTCTCATTGTAAAGGCATATAATTTATAGGTGACCTTACTAAAAGGATGGGAAACAGACTAAAAATAACTGTACTGTACATACAAGGTTATTGTGCACATATTATTTATAAAATTTACTGATTTATGATTTGAACATGAGCATTTTGCTTCAACTGATTGAATATTGAGTATGTCAGACAATCGTCCATGCATACTATCACACTTTCACTCTAGATACATATATGTACATATTTATTCATAATTTAGTAAATAAAGAGAACTAAAAATCTACATTCTGAATAAACCTTGTAGAATATTTATGGACTTTTGAATGGTTAATATTTTGTATTGTTTTTAAAGTCTGGTTTATTTTGTGTTTTTTCAATGTTGTCACATTATGTGCGATACATACATTATTACACCCCCAAATGCAATCTGTTTTTCGACGCCGTTTCGGTGCCGTCTCGGCACCAAATGGACTGACTAGTCCGGTTACAACGGAACGGTGTCGAAACGGTGCTGGAACAGCCGAATTTTTTTGATGCCGAAACGGCGCCAAATTATATTGGCTGTGTATAATGATTATATATTTATCTTATTTTTTATCCTTGGGGTAGTACATTAAGTATTTCAATCAGGATAAAAGGGATAATCAATATCCTCAAAGAACATATCATCCGTATAATATTGCTTTAAACACATTGTTTAACATAAACGCCTATGTATTTTTGCTTGATGACAATCACAACTTCATAGGGTACGCCTACTCCTGTCTGGTCTGCTTATTTTCGTTATATGAGGTTTCATTAATATTATATTTTTTCTTTAATAAGTGTTTTTTGAAAAAATCAGGTAAAGGTTCTTTATCAAGACTTTTACATGAGAACTCAAAATCTTATATTTTTACCTGCTAATATCTATTATGAACAATTTTATTTGAAAGACCTCATCTTATGTTACAAGAGGTAAAATTAGAAAATGGAAAGGCTTTAACGAATTTTGCTCAGTCTACTTTATGGCTTTATCACATTCATATTACAAAGTGTCATGCTAGAAGCAACCAGTAGGGTTCCTGGACATCATTCTCCCACATCCCTCCTCCTGAGGATGACTAATTGTAAACTACCCTTAATCACCCAGCATTGACGGGCCATTCTTCCCTCTTACTACTACATATGATTTATTCTAAATGATTTCAAGATCTTACTGAACTCAAATGCAGATTTCCTGGCCTGTTATGGGAATTTGAATTAGAATTTAATGTCTGCAATTAAAAGGCAGAAAATTTTGTTTTATGATTTTCCGAGAATAAATTCTGATACGATATTAGGTAGACCTTTAAGCTTTATCTCAAATTAAAAGACTAGACACCTTGAGAAGGGTTATGATACAGCTTAGCATAACATAGTAATTGCACTAAATAACCAATAATCAGCAACATATATATCATTCCTACTACTCATTGCTCATTACTCTCAAACTAAATGCAGTACTCTCACTATTTTTACCACAGACCTGTCAAAACACCATTTTATTCATTCTACCAAGAAGCTGCAGTAGGTATAGGAAGGGTCACCTGCTCGATATTTAACATTTCTTATTTTGATTTTCTGAAATATATAAATGATATCTTGAAATGTAATTTTTTTTTATTCCATAGTTAATGAGTGCTTTAAATGACCATAGCTAGTGGTGAAGTGAAAATTTGCTAAAAAAACTTCTGACATCTGACACATATTTTTGGCTTAATACCCTATTAATATCACAGTAATCATAGAATTAAGGGATATATAAACCATATCCTATTCATATCCTTGGTATAGCTTGTACTCTTATTTAAAATATGATTATTTGCAATAGTAATACATAAAACTGGTAAAGTGGAACACTTCTGTTATTGGAACATCTCCAGAAGTAGAACACCTCCCAAGTGGAACACTTTTTAGAGGTACCAAAGGTTTTACTACATGTATACATTATATAATCATAATACTGAATAAAGTACAATCTCATCAGTATCAAAACTATAAAATCGTTTATGATACTGAGAGGGTAGGATGGTTTATTTGATGATGATTCTGGGTAATAATGATGGCAATACTCCAACACATACTTACTCACTGGACCTGTGCCAAGTTAACATTGATCAGATATCAGACACTTTGAATATTCTAACTTGAATGTTTTAGCAGGAAAGTACTACATCCACATAAAATATGTCCTGTTCAGTTGAAAGGTAAACTGTTTATACAGTTGTATGTGGCACCACATGATTCTTAGAACACTTTATATTAGTTTTGTGTGCCAGCATCTATTCTCCTCATGCCAAGAGTAGTTTTTAGAAGAGTAATTCTACAAAGAAAAAAGAAGTTATTATATTCATCCCTGCAAGTTCCCCATGGGCAGATTTGTTCATTATGTCCATTAAATGATCACAATCCTTCTATAATCTAAAAATTCAAAAGCTTTAGGAATAGATATTTAGAAAAAGCCTTATAAAAGACAGGAGCTACTGTTTATTACTCTGTTGACCAAATTAACAATTACTGAGTGAACCTACTGTAGTTCCTTGTAATAAGACAATTAAAGCTTGCATCTAATTATTATTAATTAGGATAAGCTTGCACCTAATTATTATAAATTAGGATATGATGAATCAACAGACTAGATATAAAAGTAGATCATGAATACTCAGGGACGTCAGAAGGATTTGCCAAGGGAGGGGGCAACTTTTGAGTATGGATGGGTCATGTGTGAAGCACGCAATCTAGGAGGATCGGGTGGCAGGCCCCTGGAAAATTTCCAAATATAGACCCTCTCTGGTATATTCTGAACATATCTCAGCACAACATTTCAATAATAAAAAATAACAAGAAAAAATTGTGTTTTTAGAAAACTTAACTTGACTTTGACTAAAAAACTAACTTTTACTAAAATATACAATTTGCACTTATTCTTCAAGTTTTTACATACTGTACGGGTTCCTGAGAAACTATACATGGTATAGAATTAAATATAATATGAGATCTGCTATGCTTGATGTAGATTAGATAGAATAACTAGATTTTCAATTGAACACAACTTTATTTTTTAGAAACAACACTCCAATTTCTAATAGAATAGAGAGATGTTAACTTAAAAATGTAATTATTACACAAACACAATTTACCATAACCTTTGACATGATATACATGAAGAATTCTCTTATATTCATTCATCAAAGATTTGATTCAAACTGTCAGAAGCTGATGTTTTCAAGTCAGCAGTACATGAACATGTTAGCCAGGTGTGCCGATCTTCTATTTTTACACTACCAACCTGAACATACATCCATGCACTTTCCTGCAATTCATCTGAGTACAAAATACTATTTGTTTCATACAGTTTAATGTATTTTAGTTAAATTTGGTATAAAGTTCTGTAGATGTACAAAAAATGTTTCAGTTTTAAATTTTTAATGCTATTTATCTAATTTTCAGAATTTTCAAGAGCTCATTCTATGTCATGTTCACCCTATGTCAAATCAAATATTTGACAAAACATATGAATGCTAATACCCTTTGCATTCATTCGACTTCGCTTCTCAAAAAAGAGCACCGTCTTCACTCGTTCAGTTTTAAATGAATCTCTGAACTCAATGAGTTGATCAGAGTTTGTCATCAAAATACGGACAACCTTCTATTATGTGGTCATTTTCTCTGACATAATTGCACAATTATTATGCACGCATTTAGCATGTGTAACTTCCAGCTCGCTGGTTGGTTGAGAAAAGATCAGCATGGTAGGATTGAAATGATTTATGACCCGAGCTGGCATGGGCATCGGTCATGGGGAGGCGGGGCTGCTAAACTGTACAAATAAGGCCTATACTAGGCAGAGGGTAGCTTTCTTAAAGGTAAAGGTACTTATACTTTCCATATGATAATCCGGCCTCAGAATGACTGCATTATATACTTTTGCTTGG